CAATAAATAAAATTAACTAAAATCAATTTCTTTAAATGACAATATATATGTTTTTAAAATTTTTAAAAAGAACAATCTTATATGCTGAGGGAGATTGTGTTCCTCCTATACGTTTTCGAAAACGCACCGAGTTTCCGTTACATTCTATCATCATCATTTACAAAAGCATGGGTGTTTGGATCACCAACTCAACGAGTTCACGAAACCAAAAAACTCAACAAATACACAGAAACAAATTGTTGAAGTTTTGAGATATATTTGATGTGACTATTAAATTACTTCCTATGTCAATCACACATAGTTGTTTGTTTTAATTTTGTCCGTTAGAAGCTACGATTGAGTCAAATGCTTTCTTCTTTTTTGTTAAAGAAAAAGGAAAAGAAAGTAACTGGTGAAAGTATATTACATACAGGGACTTACTGTTTTAATGTTTCTGTTCTCTACAACTGATTGTGGTGATTTTCTGATTAGAATTCTTCAATCGGTTCAGCTATTGTCATGAAAATTTTATTATTTTAGTTTATCATTTAATAATTGAACATCTAAACCGACCATGCACTAACTACACTAATACTATCGTAATAACAATGCTAAAGACTAAAGAACATTCAGTTTCTTGTAGGACTCGCCCACGATCCAAACATACTTCAATATTGAATTGAGTTAACGTAATCATTAATCAAGTATGCATGTATGTATATATCTACCTATACAGATATATGAATTAGGTGTATGTATAGAAATATACAAAGTCTCTGAGCAGCAGTAGTCAGAAGCTTGGGTAAGGCGTACGAACCACGCCCTTTCCAACAGCAATTATTGCCTTACATCTGCGTGGTCCACGCTCTCTTCTTTTATTTCGTTTTCTGTAAATCTTCTTTATCTTTAGTTATTCGCCTTGTTTTATTATAGTATAGCTTTACTAGCTTCTTCTTTTTTTTTTTGTTAAATAGCTTTATTAACTTTTCTTCTCTAAATTCTAGAACGTTGCAAGTTTTTATATACGTAATTTTGTTTGTGCTTTGAATGATGCGGAATCAAAATAAACATGAGTTCCCAAATGTGATTTGATGAGACCGCAACCAATATTACACGTAGACCAAAAAACAATTCTGTGTGTGGTATGAAATCATGGTAAATTTCTTTTCATCCCCGTAATCATAGTTTGATTTTGATATTTCTTTGAATATCAAAGCCAATTCAATTTTTTTTTTAAACAAAAAACGCCATTCAGAATTTCAGACGATGTAGCTTATAGAATTGGTCATCAAGTTAACTAAGGAAAATTGATATTTTGCCCAATAAATAAACTAAGAAAGTTGATAATTGTAATTAGAACTTCTAAAATTTTAAACCAGTTTACAAAGCATGGCCATTGGATTTTCTAACGTATATAGGCACGATATACGAGGAAGATGAGTTTCGTGGGTCCTACATGCAAGTACCTTGATTAAAACCTGAGATATATATATATATATATATATTTTACGTCACACTGTCAGAACTCAGAACTTGTGTGGTAGGAGGAAGTTTTGTATTTTAACACGTGAAGTTTCATCATACGTAGAAATTAAACATACCAATCGTGCCATACAGTTAACTTATTTTTGACAAAGTAACAAAACAAAAATACAATATCAAGAAAAAAGAATTGCAGTTACAGCTTTAACCTTTTTTTGGAACTTTGAAATTATATTTTTTTACCTTTGTAACTACACAATTTTTTAAGTGTATGATAAACGATACTAAATTTAAATAAAATATGTGAATTTGATAAATAGATTTTAATTTTAGTAAAATATTCGAATTTTAATTGTTATTTTTTCTTGGATCGATTCTAATAAGTGTTGCTTCTGATATGATATAACAATCATCATATTTTTATTTTATTTTAAGGTGTTCATATTTTTCCTATGATAATCAAACTTTCTGTTAGACTAGCTAGTTTACGCCACGTTGTCTTTCACATAATTAGTTTTTAATCGTATTTATGATAATAACGTGTTTACATCAAATAAACGTCACATTGTCGTTCTCCAACCAATAGAGTGATATGGATATGAACTAACTTTGATTTGAACTATTTGAAAGCTAAATGTTTCTCATCACCAAGTCTATCAATTAATGTGTTTCTGGTGTGAGCGTGCGTGTGGATAGGCATATGTAATTGCCAATGTGATTCGTAGGGCTAAAAACTGATCAAAAGGCGGCGAAAGTATGAATAATATCAACACCATGCTGGCATGCTATATGCTTCATTGGCATGAAATGCGACACGATTTATGTTTGATTGTCCTGTGAAGGCGACAAATTATACGTGAAACGAGCAATGATAATCAATTATATAGTTGTGTACATATGACCTAGCTTTATAAACAATCAATCGGCAGCTACATATACATGACCTAACCTACTAAGCCTTCATTGTTGTAGTTGCTACTCAATTGAAAACCTTCAAAAATTAAAACATACTGTATAAGAACAACTTTTTCTAATAAAAACAAAAGGATACCATAATTCTAAGCAGTGAAGACCGAATCACGAAAACAAAATAACCAAACGATGTCATATATATGTAATTTGATTTGAACCCGGAACTTAGGTATATACTAGCTAGCTCTTGCCAAACAACAACTATATATCACAACTAAGATGCGTCAATTTGTTACCTCAATAATATATATGTTTCTATTTTTATTTTTCATCTGTCTCAAAGCGTACCATCTTACAAAAAAAAACATGTGTAGTATGCCTGGTAAGTTACATATTGGTCGAATTAAAGAGGGTTTAAAAGGAAATTCTGAATGGAACAATGTAATTGCATTAATGGTATGGGCATGCGGGGTAAGAACGGAACGGGAAACGGTAATTTTTACAACTAAAATCATGTTTCAAATTCATTTGTTAACAGGAACATCACAACTAGAAATGAGACAAATAAAACGGAAGAACATCTGTTTTATATATTTTAAGTAAAAATTATTTTAGGTATTATTATTAATCAATGTTCTATATATAACAATTAATATTTGATTGTATATGTATCTACTTAGTGAAAAAGATATGAAATTTTGAAAGCGGGACCATATTTATATAATATGAGATATGCATATGTATATATGTCGGCGAAGTCAATTAAAGTTAGCAAACGAAGTTGAAAATAAAGTTAAAATACCCATTCCCCTCCATATCTTAACTTTTGACTTTGAAGGCAAACGTAGTAGTCTTATCGCTTATGGGCAAATGTTGCATGCATGCCCACTTGGATCATTTTCTTTCTCCTTTTCCCCTATTTTTTGGGTCAAAGAATGTAAAAGTTGGAGCATATATGCACGAAGCCGAAAAGAAGAAGAAAAAAAAAAGCATGAAACATGTTGGTTATATTCAATGGTTTCAAAACTACGTTCAAAAGATGTGTCTCACATTAAAAAGTAATAGAATATTTTCAATTACTGATAATCTGTTTTTCAATAATACAAGTAAAAATGTTAGAAAAAATAAAATTAATAATCGAAGTAAAAAGACCGTAGACAACGCAAGTAAAGTGATAAAGTAATTTCAATCAAAGCTGTAAAACAAACTATTTATATATATAAAAGCATACTATTACAACATGCAAACGCTAAAACAAACACAAATTAACGCAAACAAAAAACTCATGTCAGTGATGTCACGTAGTTTTATTGCAAAATTTGCGATAACCAAAACGAGAACCACGTACCACCACACTTGCACGGTGACAACGACACTGCTTCAACAGCTACAATAATTAAACTTTTGTATCGACAAGAGGTGCTGAAAAAGACTAGCGAAAGTAATGTAAGTCCTATCAAATTATTGAGAAGTTATATATAAATAAAATATATAGATAAAGGTCAAGTCTTAAATTGAATCTTGTTGTCCTGGATTCTTTAATGTTAAACGTCATTAGTATTCGTCTGCATTCGACGTGTACCGGCAATTTGATCAAGCTCACAAGAGATTCCGCAATTATTAGTCCGCACAAGCAGCCAATACCACCTAAAAGTAATTCCTCTTTACTTACTTTATATAATTTCACCACCAATGCATGAGACAAAAATGATAATTAAAGGCATAATCCAACAATGGATTTTTTTTACCTAAAAAACATTAGTAAAAATGTAAAATAATAGAATGGCTATACTTTTATCGTTTATCAAAAGTCCTAATGATTCAATTAGTACAATCTTCAGGACAATAATCAATTGATATTGTGAGGTACGTTGGTCTTATATTGCCGCCGGCCGACCGACCAGCTTCTCATGTTGACTAACCAATCTCAGTACACAGATTGGTCCCAGCTCTCTTGTCATGGATATATAGAAAGTCAATATTTTTGGAATCTTCTCTATATAATTCGAGCTTCACATATTATATATATACAACAAAATTAAACCGTACGTAGTCGATAGGGGAGCCAGATAAATCTGAAGGATGACAGATTTTGTATTAAGGAATATTGATTTTTGAATTATAAATTTCTGGAGTTAAACAATATATTTTCCTCCGTTCCAACGCAAAATACCCATATAAAGTAAATTAACATTCACTGTTTTTCATTAAAGTAGATTAAATAATAATAATAATATCTGTAAATATAAGCTCTATTTTATATCAAACCCCAAAAATAATTGTTATTTTAAAGTAAAACTAACAAAAGTTTTTTGTTGTTCAGTATGAATGATTGATTTCTACGAGATATTTTCGTCAAAGCCCATCAAGTCAAAGACACAACAGCCCATTTAGAAGAATATTAGGCCTTCAATTACACTGATCCCACTATTAGCTGAAATCCAAAAAGATACCAGGAAAAAACCAAATATGGTTTTCGGCCTACTGATTAATTACATGATTCGTTTGTTCATACTTACACACTGTTTCAAGGTTTTTCTTGTTAATTTATTATTTATCTAGTTCTTGTAAGTTAAGAATTGAATTCACCAACTAATCACATTATTTCAAGTTTTTCTCGTTGATTTATTATTTACCAGGTTCTTGCAAGTTAAAAATTGTCTCATCAAACTATACCTGTTTTGAATCACTAATGCCTGTTGTAAATTAAACAATCGTGTTTGAGAGAAAACTTTCAATGTGCAGTAACGAAAAATAGTGTATCGTTACAGAAAAGGAATAAATAAAACAGTAATCATAAAGAATCAATGAGGAAAGACTTCAAGTGCTTGAGGAACTCTTTGGACTTCTCCAAATTCACAGCATGTCCTGCCTTCTTGATCACCACTATCTCTGCATTTTCTCCTATATGCCTGTTTCACCATATGATTTATTTTGTTATATATATTGGTATTATAAATATAATTTGTTGTCTCACATAAAAAAAAAAGGAACTGGTAATCTCAAAGCTGAAACGTGTTGTTTTACCTTTTCAATCTGTAACCTAGTTCCAGTGGAAATATTTGATCTTCTTCTCCCCATATGATCAAAGATTTCTAATTTAACATTAAACAAAAAACATCACAATTCTACAGCAACTTCAAAATTTAAAACTATTCGAGTTTCCAAAAAAAAAAAGAGAAAGCTAAAGTTTGTAGTTTTCACCTGTTTGATCCTAGGAAGATCTGAAAGTCTCCGATCTTTGAGTATTGATTTGATCAAATCTCGCTTCTCCTCTACAAACTCCGTACACATTACCTTTTCACATTTTTGAAATGAAACAAAATAAATCAGTAAAACAAGGGAAAAAAGAAATGGCCACGAAACCTCAAAAAACCATAATTAATCAACAACACAAAGAAATTAAAAAAAAAAACTTACGTCGATAAAATCCCAGAGAAAAAACGATGGAACGCCTTTGATCGGCTTGACGAAAGAGAATCTAATGAGTTCCTTAAGCTTTTCCGGCGTCTGAGGAATCAGAATCCCGGTGGCTTCTTCTAGATTCGGAACCTTGAACAACCCATCCTCCATATCTTTCTCCTCCAAGCAAACCCCGGCGCAGCATAGCACCAGCTTCTCCACTTTCTCCGGGAACTGCGCCGCTAAACTGTACCCAACGAATCCACCGTAGCTAATCCCGACAATGTTCATCCTCTGGACTCCGTGCGCTTCCATTAACCTCATCAAACATCGAGCCTGGAATGATTCCGTTCGGTTCGGTTCCGATGTGGAAGACAGTCCGAAGAAGAGGAGATCGGGAACGTAGACGTTGTATCGGCCGGTGAAAGCTCGGAGATGTTCTCCGTATTGCCACATTGCGTTTGCTCCGAATCCGTGGACGAGGAGGAGATTCGGTTTGGATCGACTTGGGGATTTAGGGATCCAGCAATGCATAGCCGTCGACGCGATCGAATTTCCGTAGGAGAGATCGGTGGTGACGGAACGAAGACCGGCGTTTGCGAATGATTGCCGGAATAACCAATCGCGCGACGCCGTGAAGCTGAAGCATCGCAACAGTTTCAGACGATCAAACATTTTTCAGGAGAAAATAGCAATTTTTTTTTCAAAAATGAAACAGAGAGGAGAAGAAAGAAGGAAAGGCGTGACGATGAAACGGAAGAGAAATATCTGGTTTCAGTTATTTGTCGATAAATTCATATTAAACGTGACGTATGGTCCGTCCGTATAATTTACGAAATTACATAAAGAGACCTGTGGATTATTGAAATTGTATAAAGTACTGTATTGAAATAAAGAGACAAAAAAGACCAACCAAGACATACGATCAAGTAATTAAGAGGTAAAATAAATGGTTCATTTCCAATATCTATACAGATGTAGCCGGAATTAAATAAACCATAGAATTATTAATCTGTTGGAGATTCAATCATGGACCGAATAAATCAAAACCTTTCCTTTTTAGGGTTTAAGAGAAGTAAATGATAACTTGGTGAACAATAATCTTCTGTTCTTTCTAACTCATGAGTTTTCGGAGACGCTTCTCAGCAATCTTCGCCGTCTTGTTTTGGGGTTCAAGTACCAATGCGTGCCTGAAATCTGCAGAGATATTAAACCATATGTTACTCCCCTAAAACCATACCGGAGAGAGTATATTTTCAGATAAGAACTGACAATCAAATCAGGTCAAAATGTTCTCAATAATTTGGCAATCTTGATTAGCTAGATGAAATCAATCTTTTAACATTCAAAACCTTAAAAGCAATATTTTGTTGGCTACTGATGAAGAACAAGTCTCCGGAATGTGATAAAATCCAGAGTCTGAGTTAGTTTTAGTTACCTGCAGCAGCTTCCTTGTACCGTATAAGTGATTCTCTAGCAGTCCCTCGTCTCAAATATGCTTTTACATTCTGGAGAAACAATTAACTATAAGAACCAAAATCCCAACTTCTTTGAAATCTATGAAACATACGTGGCTGTTTCTTTAGTGAGTAAAGTGGTGATGAAACAGTATCCAACAGCTATCAAGAATTAACCAGGAACGAGGCTAGAAGATAGTAGTACTTGCAAAGAGAGCCATGCTAAAAACACATTGTAACAAAAGTAAACTATGCAATTAGGATTTTGAGTATGGAGAAAGAATAAGTAATCAAGTTCGCACCTTCTTGTCGATCAATACAGCCTCGGTACAATCTTCCTCAGCTTGTTGGAAGCTATAAACAAACTCTCAGGTCAGAAGAAGATAACACAATATCTTCCGATCAGAATGAATTATACGAAGAGAACAATTACCGGCCAAGTTCCAAGTAGGCTGCAGCTCTATTGCAGAAATAAGTAGCATTTGCTCCATTCAATTTGATAGCTTCAGTATAAAAACTTGCTGCCTTACTCCATTGTCTCCCCTTGAATGCAGCATTTCCCTGGAATTAAATATATCCACCGTAACATTCTTTTAAATTAGATCATTCCAACTCCAACATCATATAAAATCAGAACCACAGAGACTATCCGTCAAATTCAAACAAAACAAAAGAAAAGATTCTTTTCTTGTTCAGAAGATGGCACAAAAGAGATAGTTTTTACCTTTTCCTTCATAACTTCAGAAGCCCCCATACCATTGGAGTCAGTCACGGGAGCTAAGCTAGATGCAATGTCGGCTTGGTCCTGAAGCGACGCATATACATCGAGAATTGTATCCAGAAGGAACTTATCGCCTCCATAGTAAGTAAGGAAAGACACGGATATTGGATAGTCACCATGTTTCCCTAAAGGAATTGTAACCTGTGTAGAATATGTATACACAGTAGATCTGTGTTATTACTCAAGTCTACAGAGTAACAAAAACGGAACATCACAGTCCTCCAACCACTGAAAGTGAGAGAGAAGAAATGGAAATATACCTGACAACACCCAGACATGCTAGCAATGCTTGAGAGTGCATAATTTCGGTCAAGAAACTCTTTCACAGCGTCCTTGTTCTTTGTGTTAAGCTTTGGCGGGGGATCAGCGACTGTGGGGATCACCAGAATTCCATCTTCCTGATAATAAGATACCGTATATATGGTTTATCATGATACTATAGAGCTACGAAAGCAGAGTATAATCCCTCAAAAATCAAAACTTTAACAATGCAACCCCTCCAATTTTTCTGTATTTCAGTGGCAAAATGTCTGAAGGTTACCTTTAGAAGGCTCTGAATGGCGGCTCGCATCTCAGTTTTCACTCTGTAGAGGGATTTAATGCCTTCGTTTCTGCTCTTCAGAGCTGCAACAACATCATTGGATAACCTTGGCCCTAGAAACGATTTGCATGTTTGCGACCATTCTTCATAATTTGTTTTAAACTCATGCCTGGTTGAAAAAAAAGTAATTTTTTTTTCCAATAAATGCATATAACACGATATATAAACAAAACTAGTTACCTCCGGGAAAAAGAGAATAATAGCAATCTTTAATTGTACCAAGTTGAAAAGGAAAGAGAGAGGGAAAAATAGGTATTGAGGTGGTGAAAATTAAGATAAAAAAAGAGTGAGTATACAAAAAGAGCAAAGCTTCTGAAATACCTTTGTATTGACAACATCACAGATGAAAGAGCCCTCAGAGTTGATGCTGAATTCGGCGATTTTCTAGATTGCTCACAGAATTCCGCTAGACTTGGTACATTTGAAGCGACATATTGACCAACGCTGATATGTTTTGGAGTTTGGTCTGCACAAGCCAGTGGTCAAGAGATATAAGATATGAATCCGGGGGAGGGCATAGAGAAGGAAGCAAAGCTAATGCAAACTTACAGCCAGATAGATTTTCGATTGCCTTTCTGACAACATGCACTGACTTTTGCTTAGGAATATCACAGAGCTCGAATAAATCATCAGCGAAGATTAAAGATCTCTGCCTTTTATGTGTTACTGCACTCAGATTAAGCAAGGCATGCCCAACTTGACACAAAACAGATGGGTCACGGGCAAACCATCCTACAGAACGAATCAAAAGAAAAAGTTATCAGAAAGGTAAGGCGCATAGAGTAACATTTACCACTGAAATTACAAAAAAGGAAAGGGATTTTGACAAGTACAAGGATTAATATCTCTGAATCGATACAAGTACAGTGAAACTTCCAGTCCACGAATGTAGATACTTTGCTAAACATTGTTCAAAGGAAAGGGGAAAAGAATGTAACTTACCAACAGTCTCTAGGCTCTGGGAATTGGGCAAGACTCCAACTGAAGTAACAGTACCTTGAGATGGTCGGAAGCCGAGAATGCCACAAAATGATGCTGGGATTCTAACACCGCCAGTGGTATCGATACCTGCAAATCAAGCATTTAAGATTACCATAAGTAGACCCCCAAAAAGTATATTTACAAGAGAAGACGAAGAGATGAAGAATACCAAGTGCGAAGTCAACGAGTTCAGCTCCAACAGAAACTGCTGAGCCACTGGAACAGCCTCCAGGAACATTAGATGGCATTAACGGATTTATAGGAGTGCCATAGTGCTTGTTTTCACCAGTTATCCTGTAAAAACATCGCATTCAAATGATCTTCACATCAATTACAGAGAACCCATTTTTGATGAGGAGGAGAAAGACGGGAATGGAGAAATACCCAAAACCCATCTCATCCATGATTGTCTTGGCAACACAAGTAGCTCCATTTTTCAAGAGCGTTGTTACAACCACAGCAGTTTCCTCTGCAGCCTCGTGAGTCTTCTTCCATTGTGGACTACCAAATCCTGTGATATAATCCTTAACATCGAACCTGTTCCAAAAAAGAAGCATATCCCCGAAATTAATTTCTTCATTCATTGCACATGACTTCGTCTACGCAAGTCAAAAATTTCAACTAAACCAAAAAAGATTTAAACTTTCAAGCGAGATCGTTAAATGAAGAAGAAAAGCAAAATGCAACATTCGATTCCATCTTAGGAAACGGGCGGCAGGAAGATCAAGTTTTTTTTATAGAAATAGTAAAACCGATGACAGTAAAAAAAAAAGGGAATAAAGTGAGAGAGAGGAAGAGGGACATACGCGTCGGAGATGGAGAGAGTAAGACCGGAAAGGGATTGTTTGGCGGCAGGAGGAGGCGGCGGGGGAAAAGGGAGAAGTTCGAAACGATCTAAGAAAGCACCAAAGTCCTCTTCTCTACGGGCTTTAATCCGCCGCTTACGGGTCTCCGCCAGAATCACGATCCCGGCCACCGTCACACCGATCACTACCCATACCTTCGGATTCGACGCATTGCTTTGAATCGAAGTCAGCGTATTCGACATAACGCGATCTAAGGAGAGAGAAATACAGAGAGAGAGAGAGAGAGAGAGAGAGAGAGAGAGCGAAGGGTTTTAGGAGGGTTTAAGAGCGAAAAGGGGAAAGAAAAAAAAGAGGAGAGAGAGAGACACGATTTGGAAGAAGACGGATGCTATCGTGCGCAGGCTTACGTGTGATGACTTGGTGAGCCGTGAACTCGGGTCGGCGATGCCCAAGGCGAATCTTCTTTTGCAAATCTCATACTTGGTAATAAATAATTGATTTTCTAAATAATAGTTTATCTTAATTCAGTCATCTCATTTTTATATATTAAAAAGTGTACAAAATGTTTTAAATTTTACGATTTTAAAATCTTATGAACTTTTCCACTCGTGAAAATTAGGTTTTAAGCGAGTCAAGGCACACCCAAAACCGCGCACATCTAACAATTGAACTTTTTTTCTTGATAATATAAAACAGAAATTTTTCAAATTTGGAATAAATTATTTGTCAAGTTTCTATATACTATAGCCTTGCCCATCAATCCAATTTTTCGTCTTTATAAAGAAATCCATATTTAGATTCTTTTTCTCTTTCTTTAAAGTGGCTAGCCAATCCAAATTTATTAGAAAAAATGGTATGCCGATCTGCATTTGTAATTTAATAATTTAGCTCAATAATTATTAGAAATAATATTCAAAGACTTGACTATGTGTATTAACCGAGAATAGAGCCATATGATATATCTAACAACTAAGAATAAATGAACTTGTCAAAGTAGAAAACGTAGACGACGAAAGGAAATAGTGAATAAGATTTAATATTTCTATATCTTGAATTTAAATCCAAAGTAATAAATAAAATGGTAGTATTAGCTATGGTATTTACAGAGAAAGCAAAAAGTTAGAAAGTGAGAAAGAATGAAAATGAATACGAAGTCGCTGAGTCAGAAATGTGTCATTCAAGGAGAAAGAGACATCAAAGTGTCGTCGTTCAAAATAGAATCAATGTCAATTAAATCGTCTTCTCCACAGTTGAATAGTTCCTCTCTGTTGTTTATAGATGAACTTGATGAAGCCTGCACAACAATTTATCACAAGAATGTTAAACAAAAAATATGATATAGTTTATGAAATTGCATATATACAATGGTTCTAGGGTACCTCGTTTTCACGGAAGCCCTCGACAACGGTCAGGAGTCTACGGTATTGATCCCGAGCTTCAGGGTATTGAACCATCGACTTAACCCGAGTGAGAGCCTTTTGAAGCCTTTCCTCGGTTTGCTTTCTTCCCTTTTCTAGAAAATCATAGTCATCTTCCTCTGCTCTCTTAGGACATTGTACTGACACAGGCGCTTCTGGTTCCACGGTTTTGGCGACTGCACTGCGTTTAAACCCTCTTAAGCCACTACCTTTGCGTCTCCAACGCAAAATGATTTTCTCCAGTAATCCTACAGACCAAACGATTGGTTTGTATTGTTTCCGGACCTGATGTCCTCTCACATGAGCCTAAAGGTAAAAAAGTATGAAGATTCAAGCAATAAGAAAACAGACAAAGATTTTAAGGAAAGAAAGAGAAAAAGCAGGGGAAAACGGACAAACCTGAATCTTAACTACTCTTTGTCGGATTAAAAGAAACTCTTTCCTCTTCTTCCAACCACGATACTTTTTCTGGATATGGATAGCGGCAGAATGAACAGAGACGTCACTGTGTCCTGGATTCTTAGTTTTAGAAGCTGCAAAAGAAACAGCTAACTCGTTGGAGATATCAATCTCGTCACCATCGCCAAATCCAGTCAGCTGTTTCCTCTGAAACGATTGCATCCTGAACACTTGGTGAAGACGATCGGCTGCTTGTGTAGCATTACGGACAGCGGTAAGTGAATCCTTCAAGGAAAGTGTCTCTGGTGCATCGCCATAGCTCATAGGAGCAGCGGTTCGCTCAGAGACTGTTTGCACAGCTTTTGGTCCACTAATTAAGGCAGAACTGCTTTCCTTCGAGTCCATTGTTAGCTTTTCAAGATAACTAGTTAAGGAAGACTCTGCAAGAAAACCAGAAATCCCCCTGTGTCCATTCGCGTAGGCCAAATCAGCAGCTGTTTTACCCAGTGGAAGCTCTGGAGATGGATCCGTCAATGCCCCAGCATCAGCACCTAGAGAGACAAGCACAGCGACAGTTTCCTCCCTGAAGTTAACAGGAAACAGAGTTAGCTTCATATGGACATGTGGCCCAACTAATATCGAGTGACGCATCAACTGAGAATCTAAAAAGAAATGCATAATCTCAAATCAAAAGACAGCCCAATGAAGTATTTCATGATCAACGAGACATGGAAGAAATGTGAAATAGAGATCTTTTACCTGCCACTAAACGCAGCCCAATGAAGGGCGGACCAACCATTTGCATCACGGAAGTTGATGTTAACTCCTGCTGCTAAAATCGGTTTAATAGCCCAATCGTACCCAAGGGCTGCAACAAAGTGTAAAACGCCCTGTCCCTCTTCATCCAGAATGTTTGGACCTTTACCATCTTCGGTCACTTTGTGGATGAGCCAAATATATACTTCTTCCTCAAACTGTTCCCTGAGAAGCCGTTCTTTTGGTACTTGTTTGGTTGAATCTCTCTCATATATCCCCGGAAGCTCTTTTTCCTCCTTTAGCAACATGATTTTACTGATTTTTCTTCGTTTCTCCCCAACATCATCGAATATATGGTGGTCGTAAACAAAGGCTCTGTGAGCAAGCAGCCTCTCAAACCGCAACTGAAGTGAAGCTTCATTGGTGTAGGTACCATAAATATCAGCAGCATCAAATTTTTTGGTAGAACCAGAAAGGAAATCGAATTCTCGTAATTCACTGCAAGCAAATCTGTTGGAACATGTAATATAAAAGGGCACTTGACCAGCTGTATGCGGCGGAGCGTGACAGCAAAGAACACCATCTACTAGAATCTCAGCAGGAACCTCCACTTCACCAAACATGCATGACCAGTTATATTTTGTTACTTCTTGAGGAGTAAGCAGAAATGTCCCAATAACCATGACCTGTAGATAAAGTGATACATGAGAAAGAAATTAGTCCCCACAAACAAAACGAGCGAAATAGCCGAAAATGAAGAGGCAAAAAGGCTGAACGAAAATCAACAAAAGACCACCAAAACCATTTTTTCCAAGAATGAACAGAGAAGCTACCTCAACTTCGGCGTCAGTCTGTGCGCATTTAGGCCAAATATCAACTATGGTGAAACGCTGATCCTCAGAGAGAGAAGGGCTCAAGGAGGGTCCAGCCGCTGCAGTTTCACAATCAACAGTGGTCCATGCAATATCTCCAAGCGAAGACTGCATCTGCAAATCCTCCATCTCGCCAAGCTCTTTACTAGCCCACCGAGAAAAACTATCGACCTTTTTCAAACTATCTTCGTGTCTTAACAACGATTTCTTTACAGCTACATATTCAGATTCCATACTTGCAGGAGGAGCTTGAAAACTACTCCCAACAGGTTGCTGATTTTCGCTGCAAAGGAGACTAGAAAATGTCTGAAAATTATCTTGTGCACTTTGCTCAAATAACACCAGATCAGTGTCCTCAGTCATTCCAGAATGCGAAACCAGATCCACAGGCCATTTTGGCCTTGATAGGTCATCATGAACTGGAATCTACAGAGATGAGTATCTCGAAATCAGAACACTTAAAAAATAAAGAAGAAGGAGCCATTAAAAACAAGTTTCTTGGCATCCATGGACACTTTCTTATACTTTCACCAATAACATCATAGCCCTTGCATGAAGAATATATAATAAACAGTACACTACCTGCCAGTTTAATTGGGTTTGAAGAGGATTTCTCAGATGTTCTGCAGTTAACAGCCCACTTTTGTCTGTACACTCTTCCACCAGCACCTGAGAAGGTTGATCATATCTTGTCACCAAATTCTCGACGGCATCCCAAGCTTGGACATCAAATAATCTCCGGGAATCACTTTCTCTGACCCTGTTCCCATGAACCTGTGAAGCTATATGCACGCCAGGAGCTGATGTCCAACCATTGCGATTTCCTACACAGGAAAACAAAGGCACTCTTATCAAACATGCAGACTGTAAACCAGAAAGACAGGCGAGTACCCAAAACAGAGCTTGTATAGTAAGAAGTTAATATGCTAGCATCCTGCTTGGCTCTTATCTAAAGGAGTACCAGTTTGAGACTCAGGGGATGCTCGTAAGACAGAACTTGCTTGATGACTATCCCCTGCGCCAAAACTGATATTAGGTGGTGTTGAAAATTACACACACAACCAAGAACATGTGATGTTTACAGATACGTAAATCATCACACCTCACAAATTAGGATGAACATCGATCGATGAGACAACTATATCTTTGAACAAAAGATACCCAGCATACAAAATAATATAAAAAGAAATACCGGAATCAGCATCTTCACATAACGATGACAATGTGCTGGTCGGGCTTGCTATTGAATCAATATTCACTGAAGCTGTGCCATTTACAGAATTTGAATTGTTTTCTTTCATTCCGACACTTGTCCGGTTACCCTGTATAATTTGCAATATAAGATAAACTTAAGCAAACTGAGCAGTAGAAAACAACAGTACAAAAGAATAATATAATGTGAAATGATGGAAATTTATATTTATACTAGTAACAACACAGACATCAAGAGCTATACCTTAACCTCCAAGTAGTGTACGAAAACAATATGCATCAAATCTCTGTTACAATACAGCACAAAAAGAGTGTATAAGCACAAAACTGAAAACACACTATGAATTATATAATAGCAAGAAGCAGAGTGTCAACTTAGACAAGTGAATATTAAAGATTGCATGATAAAAGTATCCGGCTTGGTATTTTGATGTTCCACACTTAACATATGAAAACAGAGTAAGAGAAGCTGAAATTTGGACAAACTCAGACTCACTGTTCAAGCATCCAGTAGACTCGTCTCTGGAAATTCTCGTTGCCTTCCCCATGTGCATAGTAACAATGTAGCACATCAATGCTTCCTACCTATAGACAGTTAAGCAATGTTACTCTCAACAATTTAGATACATAGTATTATCAACTAATTTACTCCAAAGCCAGAAGTGGAACCAAGTAACAGGTTACATGATTGGAAAACACACAACTTTGAAGGAAAGATCACAGAAAAATTATAACCTTGAGCTTCTCATGAGCTTCTTTTATTGTTTTCCCATCCTTCTTCTTCCTCCAGACATGTCCGTCTTTTCTAAAATATCTAAGCACCTTCCTATCAAAAAGAAAGAGCGAACCACCTATAAGGGTGGAGAGATGATGTTAATTTACAGGAAAAAAGTAATATTTGCAAGTTGTAGACTTCACGCAATATAAAAAAAGAGTCTACTTTTTCGAAACGCAAATAGCCAATAGGATGAACAGAGTGGCGCAGGTCTAATTTACGAAGTTCGTTAGAATCCTAGTATTTTCACAAAAAAAAATGGAAGACAGGCTGACTATTTTAGTATTCCGACCGTCGACTATACATGCATTGTATTCAGACAATCGACAATACATGCATTCAATAGCTTTGTAAGATATATTTGTAACCAAAAAACGAGGTGAATCGGCCAAAAACATACTGGCGGGTCGGATGGGAGACTCTGATGCTATATGAAACTTCTTATAGTTCTGAAGAATTTCACAAATCTCAGCAGGCCTAAGCCACCTGTGTTGGGCTTCTGACAGCAACTGTTCCATATCTGCGAATTCGTGAAGAAGCAAATATCCATTAGATTTCCCAAAATTAAACAGTTGAACATATATATGAACATCCCAACGCAACAGAGCAATTAAACTATAACGCAGAAATTTCAAACTTTCAAATTAAAAATGAGCAAATTACTCTGTTTCCTCGCAACATAAGATCATTCAGACGAAATAATCTAAACCAAATCGAGCCGAACAACAATAGTTAAAAAGTGGTGGAGTGAGCCAAGTTCCTCCTCTCTAATGAAAGGACACGGGCTCGATTCCTTTTGCCTACCCAATGTGGAAGCCATGAAAGCAAAAGACGGCGGCGTAGAACCTAATCGAAGCTACCAAATGAACCAAAACGACGGAGGGAGCAAACACTAGATAAGGAAATAGGAAAACAGAATGAAACCTAATCGAGGAGGGCTGATAAGTCCAAAAGATCCGCGATCCGCCATAAGAATATAATAAACCCAAAAATCCACCCAAAGAGATCTCAAACTTCCGTAATCCCAAAGAGAATCAACGAACCCTAGCCGATCTGAGTATGCATGAACTGAGAAGCTTTGTATGTATGTTTTCTTCGTTCGGGATTTTATTACAGGTGTGAAAGCGAAAGCTTTTTTTTCTTTCTCAAAATTGTTTTTTTTTTTAATATCTTCTTATTGGGGCGAGACCGAGGATAATCGACTTGTTTATAAACAGCGAATTATATCACTTACCCAATAGCATTTTGACACGTATACGTATTTTACTGGATTTGTCTTGTCCGACCATCGGTCATGTCCTTCGTATCTTGAAAAGCTTTTTCTTTTTAACTAAAAACTGTTGTCAAGTGACTTTCGCTCTCATTCTCGCTCGCGGCGGCGGTGGTGGAGTTTCAAAAGTCAAGATCTACGTCCTGATGTGACCCAAGAAGATTCTATGAAAATGCTTTCTCTTCTTCTGGTTTCGAGTCTAGCTTTTGCGATTAACACTTTTTAAAAGTTAACTATCACAAAGTATTTCAGATTCTTAAATCATAGCACGCTAACGACATCCATCATGATACCGATATTTATATTCATAAAATTTCCTGAAATCGATATAGGCTTCAGCATTTTCCTCTACAAGATGCTCTATAGATTTGACCTAGTCAAAAGACTCATATTCTTCTTCACAAACAATGCAGAAACATAACACAACTTACGGATTCTATGGACACAAAAAAGAAGAAGAAGAAGAGAAACTATGATCAAAAGAAGAAAGAAGCAGCTCAGACCATGTATGTCATACCGACCTGCATCAGATGCGACTGAGGCACACTCAAATTTGCGATCCCTCTTCTGCAGTTTTTCCTCAGGAATGCATAAAAGTAATTTATAACTAACTTCTTGATGAACCACGAATCTTTTCTTGCTCTTATATCACCATGTCCCAGTAGATACACCACCCCTGATTCTTTCGCTTTGTGTATGAACGATAGCTCTCTCTCAAGGCTTTGCTCCGCTTCAGATACAGAGGAATCCGACGATGCGTCAAACGGGTGGTGGTTTGTGTGATTAGACGAAGTGTTCATTTCCATGATCGGTCTGTTCAAGTCTCTGTATTCTGAGAGAAGAGGAACCCCCATCGAGTACATGCTTCCGTTGGGGCCAATAACAACTCTCGAACCTGGGAAATCTTCCTCTGAGTCTGAATCATCGTTCCCGTCGCTCTCCAAGGAACGTTCTTGAGCTTCTCTCCGAATAAACTTCTCCAGGCTCTCGATCAGTAGCTGCTCAAATGCTTGGTGGTTCTCCTTTCTTGCATCCTTGTAACCATACCTTCACCACATATAACCCAAACTGAGTTCATATTCGCTTTTTCAAGTAACAAAATGGAACAGGATTAAGCACGAAAAAAAAGGACCGACCTGGCAATGCAACGGAATAAGTGGTAGCTTTTGGTGCAGACGCGTCTGAAGAGGAACCTCTCACTCTGGGGTACAACTGGAACTGGGACGTACTTAATGCAGACAAAGATGACCATGGAATGGATTGCAGGAAGTGTAGTCAGAAAATGGCCAAATATTGCTGGCACTCCCTTCACTAACTCATTGTACAACAATCCAATACCGGGAGCTCTTATTGTTCCCAAGTTGCACCCAAGTTCTCCCATCAAATCCATTGACAGCTTTTGTTCGACTTCTGTTTCATACCTGAGCTTGCTTCCATAGTTCCAAACATACATTATACCAAACATGATTACGGCGAAAACCAATATTATCCAGCTTCCATCCCCGACACTCGCGATAACTGACGAGAAAAAGAGTAATTCCACTCCGAGGAAAACTATCAGAAAGGCAAACACGATTACGATGTTTATCTGCCATATCAGAAGCATGATTAACGTCACTAGAACTGTCGTTGTCATCATCACTCCAAGCTCAGCCATCCCTGCGAAATTGAAACAAAATTCAAAAAGAGGGGAAGCATATCGGACCACTGAAGCTGAAAAGGGAAACACAGAAAACAGCGATTACCATATGCATTTCCAATCTCAGTGATACTTGAGATTGAGCAGACTACGACCAGGCAAACGGCAAGCAGGAACCAGTTTAGGACAGGTATATAAATCTGACCCATAAATTTCCGAGAAGTGTGAATAATTTTGAGACGAGGGAAACAACCCAGAGCTGTTGACTGTTTAATACATGAAAATGTTGCAGTCGTCATTGTGCGACTGGCAATCAGAGCTGCAACGTTGGCTATGAAAAGTACGGGCCAGAATGCAGCACCTGCAGAACAGTACGCTGAATCAATAACTAATGCTTGTATTCAATATAAGTCACTAGCCCACACGGCGAAAACAGCCTTTGCAGTGGTATCAAAGTGGTTTTGTTTGCCAAAAAGGCATGGATATCACTGACTGAAGGAAGTAACTGAACTTCACCTGGAACAGATGAAAAGAAAGCTTGACTTGCATCCGCATGATTCTCGATCAGGTATGCAGCTTGTCCCATATAGCCTAGCACGAGGCACGGCAGGACGAGACACACAAATGTAAGCTGCAGAGAACAACTACGAAATAAATTTAAGTTGCAGAAAATAAGAGCACATATATAATATAAAAAGAAAAAATAAACATCAGCCGCCAAAGGCCATTCCACAACTCATATACCTGGACTGATCGAACAGAAAAGTAGCACAGGTCTGCAAATAATGCCTCTGAGCCTGAGAAAGATTATATAGCATGAACAATCAGCAAAGGAAGCATCACATTATCAGGCAGAGTATCGAGCATAAAAAGGCTTACTCGGTTCTGTTAGCCTTTGCTACAAGAGTAATATAATTCTTTTTATGATGAAATTCTAGCCATCCAACAAAATAGAGAAAACTACCTGTAGCACAGAGAATGCAACCTCCAAGGGCATACCACGCATTTACAGAGTTCCTCTTGAAGAAGTAATAGATGTGGACAGGGTTGAATGCTCTGTAAACACTGCTATCGTATTTGATCAGGTTGTAAATGCCAATACCAGCAAGACAGCAGAACCATATGAGTAAGGCAGGGCCTACAACTAGTCCCATCTTACTCGTCCCATACTTTTGTAGACTAAACAGGATCACCAGGAATGCAACCGAAATCATCACCACTTGATCTGCAAAGAAGAAAGAAGATATAGCTGAACAATTGCAAAAGATACAATGAAAACGATAAATAACTAGCACCGAACAGCTTCGAAGTTGATTAGACTATCATCCGCATTACCTTGCTCAACCGCATCAACTCCGACCTTAAGTCCACCAACAGCTGACATTACTGCATTATGCAAATCATGTAATTAAGAAAAACCCATATGATAGTAGCAACCACCTTGTTCAATACAACAGAATCATGCCTATGAACAATACTTGAAAGAGTTTATATAAGAACCTGACATTGCAGGAGTAACAACCCCATCGGCAATCACCATGGAAGTTCCAGCAAGAACTAGCACGAGGAGAATTTTCTTCAGAATTAATGAATTCTCGAGTTTTTCTTTTAGTTTCAGTGATCTCTCAAGCTCAGGGCAAGGCACCTTCAGTCTAAAACTTGAAATCCGGGCGTCTGAGCGAAGTTGATTTGGGATAAGACTAATCTTGGCATGACGAGAGATTAATGAGTATAACGCAAAGGTCCCACCTGAAATATTACAAGTAACCAAAGCAGTTGGAAGTGTATGTACGGAAAATATTTAAAGCAAGACTATAATTAGGAGATTAGAATAGCTTGAAGCATACCTTCACCATCATCATTTGCCCATAGAACAATAAGAACATATTTAATAAGGGGGACTAAAAGTAAGGTGTATAACACTAGTGACAATGCTCCAATGACATCTTCTTTTTCTTGGACAGGTGATTTACTGAACATTACACTGAATGTATACAATGGACTGATTCCTACATCTCCGAAGACAACCCCTAGTGTCTGGAATGCAAGCAACACTCTCCTCCCGACGGTCAAGTCCTAGCAACGTAAAAACAAATAGAATTTTGGTTAAAAACAAGTCAGTGATCGTCCATCGTTCTTTATCAGTTTATTATCTGCACAGCTTGAAAAAAGAAAGCAGTAGCTTCAAGCAGAAAACTCCTACAAAGTTCGCAACACAAGTCACAAAGCATTTCTGATTACTGTTTCTAGTCGATAGTCTCCACTTACTAAAAGAACTTTCACTGAGTCTCTTATGGCATTTTCCCTTATTCAGTGGTGATTTCTAGTTCGTATCGGAGCTCCGTCAAAAACAACTACAAAGAAACTATTTGTGTAAGTTACCAACTTTGTCTAAGAAAACATACACTCGCCGTGCATATCCATGGCTATATCATGATTTGCTTTTTGAGACAGTAAATGCACAAAGACGAAACCATCAATCACCTCGTAATCATTCCTGGGAGCACCAGGTACTTCAAGGGCTTCCACGTCGAAGGAGTCAACACGCGGACCGGTACGGATCAGACGATGCTCCGGTATCTCTTCGTCTTCGGATTCCAGGCCGGTGCCGTCAAAGCCGTCATCGTCATCATCATCATCAGCGAGGGTATCGGAGTCATCATCGTCTTGAATAACCCATCGAGACTCGATAGAGTCCATTGATGCCAAGTCTCCAAAGCCACCACCTGAGCTGCCGATCTCTTCCTTTTCGGAACCATCCAAGCTGCTCTCCTCCGCCATTTTTTCAGAACACTTAGATTGCAATCGAGGCTGAAAGAGTTTCGGAAAACGGATCAGACGAAGAACTCTGAGACGACGCCGATTTGACAGATATAGAGTTACAGAAACCTCTAAGAGACTCCCAGGATCAAACGTGATGAGCCGTAGGAGTAGAGATTCGCATCCGAAGAGCAGAGAGAATTTCTCGACGGGATGTCTTGTTTCTTCTTTACGGCCAAATGCCGATGATGTCAATATCGATGATCTCAATCTCTGCTTTACCAGTTGCTGCTGAACCGAGGTGACTCGTACTGAACTGGTCCGAGACAAAATTGAAGAATTGTACCGGATTAAACCAGAATTTTAATTGGGTTACTTATTTGGGCGTAGTCAAATATTCTTTCTGGGCCTAGTCGATTAATCGGATTAGTTAATATATTGATGTCATATCTCCTCTCCCTTGGCTACGACATAGAACGGCACTTGCTTTTCAATTTTCTTTTTATTGGCATACAGTCGGAATTTAAAACCCAGATTGCACATCTATAGACTATAGGATCACTAACGTATTCTATGGTTTGTGTTGGATCTTTAAGTTTGGGTCGAGAAAATAAAAGACCCGACTGTGGAAGATGACACTCTCCATGTTGATATTGTAGGTGTTGATGCTGTTTGAAAAGTGACGGTAAATATTGAAAAGTGGCGGTTGATGATGGTACATCAGCTTCTTTTACTTTTTTTCGTTTACTCTCTTCACAGTTGATGATGATACATCAGCTTTAATTCATACACAGTTGACATTTAAATCAAATTCTGTTTTGGTCATATGTTAAGGAAAATCTTGCCATCAAGGTACAGCTGTTGCTAGTTTCTCTGGGTATAGTTTATGCTTTATGGCCAAATTACCTTATCTCTCTACTTTTCTCAGTTGTCGAATACTAAAATCAATGATAAAATAAATAAATCCAAATATATATATATATATATATATATTCAAAATGATGTTATTATGTGCTGATTTTGCAGACTAAAAAACAAAAACCATGTTTAGCTCGGAAAAACTGTTAACCTTACGCTAAAAGTACAGACAAAAGAACTTAAAGTAGAATTAAACTTCCCCCGAAGCAACTTCAGAAACCACCTCTTCATATGCCTTCGTCTCTTCGTCGTACTTGTACCTGAATTAGACGGATCGCAAAGTCAGAATCGGAGAAGAAACAGATACCAACCCTAGTTCATATTCTTATTGACGACAAAGATGCTTGCAAGACAAAACACAGACGAGTAATGGTTTTTTTTCTTTCTTTCTTTTAAGTTATAAGCTCGTGAGAAGTTAATTACCATTTGCAGGTTGTTGCGGAGCAGTATAGTCCAGTGTTTGGGTCATAATAGTAACCAAGACTGCTGCTGTAGTAGTACCTGAAAACCATATATAGCTTTAGTATGCATTCAGATAAAAAAGAAAAATGAGACTCACATCATTATACTAATAGCACAACGCTTCAGCCAAAAATCTGGCTAAGCGAGCAAGAGAGAAAGAGAGAGGAGTGTGTGTACACATACCCTGAAGACTCGTCAAAGACATAATCAGATCCATCGTTTGTGTACCCCTGTTGCAAGGCTCCAGCTGTAGAAGAAACTGGTTAAGGCACAGTTCAAAAAAACAATTTCAACTGGAACTCGAGGAGGAAACATTAATTAAAGTTCTTACTTTCAGCAATTGTGGTACCAGGATTAAGTTGAGTGACAGAGGGTAGATTGGAGGAAGGATTTGGAGCATCTTCTTCGTCATCGCCAAACATATCACACGATTCTGTATTAGCATTCCCATTTCCTCTCGCTTGAGCTAGTCTCTCATATCCCTCTACAAAAACCACAAGAGAAAAACAAGTCACGCAAAGCCCGTTGTTCCCTAGTGTTGTGAAAAAGGAAATATCAAGATGCAGAATTTTTTTAGAATTGAGCATTAGCAGCTCTAACCTGCTTCACGTTGAAAAACTTCTTGCTCCTCGTGATAAACATCTTGAATACATAAAACGAGGAACTTATGTTAACAAAGGGAGGATATCATATTTGCTGTAGCAAAGATTTTCATAGCATAAAGTTATAGAGACTTAACTGTAGTCGCCATTTTGTATGAGCTTGTCCGCATCCTCAGTAAGCTGATCAAAGATAAGCTTTGTCTCAGAAGTCATCTTCTCTTTGCGATTATTCGAGTTGCCTTTCAACCTCCTCAAAGCTCGCAAGACCTGTGACAATGAACCCGAGTTATCTTACATGTTTTAATGTATATATGATCAACAATGTTATCTTGAGCTGTTGAAACGCAGAATGAGTCTTACCGTTTCTCCTGGCTCAAGAACGTTAGCTATACGCCTCTTCCTTACTCCAATATCTTCTTGAGAAAGTTCCTCCACTGGTTTTTCGTTCCCACTATCTTCATCCTTCTCAGTATCATTCGCAGCAGACCGTCCCATATACATTGGATTAGTTTCAATACTGTCAAGCCATGCATCCTGAAATAAAATTAAACATGTAAGACAACCCACAAAACACATTAAGGCTGAACTTTACATTGAAGGGATGTGTAATTAGCACCTTGACTTCCTTTTCTCTGACATACTCTACAAAATTCCCATCAGGTTCAAAGTATCCTTCTTCTTTCTCCCTCTCCAGACTAAAAGCTTCTATTTGGATCCCATCTTCTGTGCGGTTCCCGTCATTCTACAATGACATAATAATAGCGTCAGCATGATGCTTTTTATGAACATAAAACCGTATTTGAATTGCACAAATCCTACCTCATAAGCCTCCTCAGCTTCATCATCGTCTTCAAAGAGGTCAGCAGTAATCTGATTTCGAATCTGAGCACGCTCCATAGCAGCAGTACGAGCTTGGCGGCGAGCAACAGCCTCTTCTTCTAAGACTTGGTCAGGTTTATCTTTCTTCCCCTTTGGAAACCGAACCCGCTTTTCTCTGCCAGAGAGAGATCCTCCATTAAAGAAACACCAAACTACTTGTCCATAAATCCATATCTTAGCGTATGCACACAAACTAATCATAAGCTCCGCGCTCAAGTTGTATATAAAACGTAGGCACTGTAACTGACAGATAACTATCGAAAACGATTAAAACTCCAAGGCAATGATATAATCCCTAAAACAAAAACAACGGATTCCTCTAATCTACGCAATCAATTTCAGGTTCAAGGTCCCGCATAATCGAAACGCTTCAAAAATTATAGTAGATGAGAGAATCATACGCAGATAAAACGACGAAAACACTTTTCTCTTACCCCTAAAACTTCAATCACTCAACAGGAAACGAAAAAAGAAAAAGGGGATTCGGGTTTCGGAAAGATTTGTAAACTTACGGTGGTTGCTTATTGGAATCTTCATCTTCTAAGAAGGATCGTTTAAGGTTCTTCCTCGACGAGTTCTCTGCCATTGGAGCAGCGTTCTCACTTCTCAGACGAAACGACGACGGCGAATCGTTGCTTTCCAGGCGATGAACAGCTGCGTCGAGGAGAAGAAAAGGCAAAAGATAAAAAAAAATATGAAGGAAGACCTCCAAAAAATCGAACTATGAGTAAAATCCGATAAGCAACGCCGCTGTTACAGTAATTGGGCCTACAATAATGGGCCTGATACAATGCAAGCGCAACGGCCCGTCTGTTTCCTTTCTGAATGAACCGGTTTAATTTCTCCCCCCGGTTTAAGATAAAAACGTTGCCGTTTCGGTACACCAAAAGGCCCTAATTTTATGTGTTTTCTCTTAATCGCCGACCAGGCTCATTGTTCGCCGTCAGTGAACTAAACGATCGCCGATCAACCAGACTTCGAGTATCAGGCCAAGTTCTGAACCATTGATTTTACCAAATTTTTCGGTTCTGAAGCTTAATTCTCTGTATTTTTATTTTGTATACTCGTAATTGAATGTTCTTCTTCTGTTTTGTCTTTTTTTGGTGTGGTCAAAAGATTAGAATTCAATTGCAATGGAGGAGAAACCACCAGTACGGAAGGTTTGTGGTCGATATCATCTTGTACCGTCTTTTATGCAAGATTTTCGTTTTTGGCTCTGCTGAGATTTTCGTTTTTTGTGTCTTCTTCTGCAGATGAAATTTGCTCCAAAAGCTCCCCCCAAACGTGTGCCAAAACCGGAAGTTAAACCGTAATCAATTTTCTTAAACTCTCTGATCTAATTAACATAAAAAACGTGTTCTTTGGTCAATTTGGCTTCTGAAAGCTAAGTTTGAATTTCTAATAATCTGCAGTGAAGTGGTTGAGAATGATAATACTAGTGCACAGGCTACGGAGTTGCTACGCAGAGTCACTGTAAGCTTTTATCACTGATTGAAATCACCTTTCACTCTTATTTCTGCTTGTTTTTCTAAGTTGTTTTCTTGGTTTTTGATTTTGTTTGCCTTAGGAAAGATCATTGCGTAGGCCGAAAGGGGACAAGAAAGGTAATATCTTTAACTTGAAACTTGACTCTAATCTTATTCTGTTTGCTACAATACTTACACTCTTTCAAACACATATTGATTCAGAGTTTTTTTACTTGAATTATACAGTTTCTGCTTCCCAAGTTGCTTGGATGGGAGGTGTGGTAAATTCCACGAGATCAAATAAGTATCACGATTCAGGTAGCAATCGTTTTGATTTCTTGAAACAACATCTGTAGTTATTATCAGAAGAACTAATCATAAAAAACTGCTGTTTCTTGTGCAGCTGGTGCTTATGGCTCAAACACTACGCAGGAGATAGAGTACAAAGAACCATGGGTCGGTACAACTAGTAACCTGTTACATAATCTCGAACTTATATGCCGATGATGTTAATATGCATAATTACTATTCTTGGATTCCCTTTCAGGATTATTACAGTTATTACCCAATCACACTTCCGTTGAGAACACCCTACGCAGGGGATCCAGGTTTACATATATATCTTTTGCTTGAGGAGAAAAACGAAACCATGTTCTTGACTACCATTTTACTTATGTGTGAGATGATGCTCATTGTTGTGCAGAGCTTCTTGACGTGGAGGAATTTATGCAGGCTGCGGGAAATCATGAAGAGTCACTCAACACAGCCGCTAATCTCGGTCTGATGGTTAGTGACATTTACAAGTATTCAAAAAACATCAAAGAGACAGAAAAGTCAGACGCTAACTTTAGGAAACTCCATGGTTACATGTTGTGGATTACTTGTTGGCAGGAAGATAGTGGAGAACAGAAAATGCTACTTATGAGGTTACCTTCCGTTCCTTTGGTAAATCAATCAGCAGCAAGAACAGAAAATGATTTAAAGGCCACTTTGCCAGAAGGTTTCATGGGGAAACTCCTAATCTACAAAAGTGGTGCTGTCAAGATGAAACTCGGTGAAGTGCTTTATGATGTGAGCGATTTCCTCTCATACCAGTTTTTGTTTCTTCCTTTGATTAGCATGCGATTACCAAAATGTGATAGGATCATTTTTTAATCGTTAGTACTGAAAGTCTAATTCGGAATTGGGAATCGGGTGTAGGTTAGCCCAGGATTGAAGAGCGAGTTTGCACAAGATGTGATGGTTGTCGACTCAAGTGAGAAGAAGTGCTGTCTGGTTGGAGATGTGTACAGGCATGCAGTTTTGACTCCTGATATTGATTCAATCTTGAAAGATATCGACAATATGTGATATTCTTTTACAATATCAATTTTGTTTCCTTCTTTCTTTTTGGAAGAACTCATATAGTTTTGACTTTGAGAAAGAAATTAAAAAGAGCCTTTTTGTACTTTCAATCACACATATGGTTTCAACAGTAACAATGAGAAAATCAGCCACTGAGTAATATTGTAATAATGTTGAGCGGATGGTCAAGACTTTTCAAAACAGAGTTCGGATTTATAAAATAATTTACTCATAGTTATACGCACCTTGCGTTTAAAGATACACTTTTTGATGTTATATTATCACAAAGTCAACCAACGTGCAAACGTGCTTTCGAGATTCGAATTCGATCAAAATCTATTAAAGCTTTGTCATTTGATCATTTGTATCACATCATAGCTAATAAAGCCAATTATAATTAAGGAGATATGGGTTTTGGTCAATCATCAATACGTTCCTTCATGATCTTGATATTCCTCTTCAGCTATCGTCAAGTCTCTGTCAACGGTCAGAATTTAACGGAAGGGTTCTACTCGGTGGCATGTCCTCTTGCAGAAACCATCGCCCGAGCAACCATAAGGACTTACTTCCTTGTACAACCGAACATCGCACCGGGGCTGCTAAAACTGCACTACAGTGATTGTTTCGTCGAAGGTTGTGATGGCTCGGTGCTAATCTCGGGGCCTAACACCGAGAGAACCGCAGATGCGAACCTCAACCTTCGTGGGTTCGAAGTCATTGAAGACATCAAGAGACAGCTTGAGGTCGTTTGTCCAGGTGTTGTCTCATGTGCCGATATTTTAGCTTTAGCCGCTCGTGATGCCGTTGTCCTCGTAAGTATTAATTTGAAGTAACTTTGTGTTAACTACTAACTAATCAAAGAAAATTACAAAACAGCATAGAAAGATTTTAGTAGGCAGAGACAGTAACTTGAATCTTATTTATAAAGCTTTTTGTTTTGTTTCTCATAGAGTTTCCTAAAATATTACTTTGACTATAATATGTTCGTTTGGAAATGAAAATAAATTAACACTAATGAACTAAAACTTTTCGAAAAATATGAATGTTAGTTAAGTTTGCAAAATGATATTTTATTTTTAAAAAAACACATATTTGTATCTAAAGAAGAAAGAAAGAATGAAATACTTTGTTCTTGACTTTTTTGGTAATTTTTAATTACTCATAACTCATTGTATGTGTTCAATTAATAAGTGTTTTATATTGGGTTGCATGTACGCGAATAACATGAATACAGACGAACGGACCAAGTTGGGACGTAAAATCAGGACGTAAAGATGGACGAGTTTCTTTAGCAGCCAATGTTAAAAATCTCCCCTCTCTTTCTCACTCCATCACCGTTCTGCTCAACAATTTTGCTGCATTGGGACTTAACACAGAAGATTTCGTTGCTCTTTTTGGTTAAAGTTTTGAGAAACTTTATTCATTTTAGAATTCCAAGTAAAAAAAAAAAAGGTTTTGATAATTAATACGAAAATAATATAAAAAAAAGAGTTAATTTTTATGTAGCTATTATTTGGACAAACCTTGACCTTCCTTTCTCTGTTGCATTGATCTCTTATGATGTGTATCAATATAACGTATGGTTTTAACTAATTTAACAGGAGGGCACACGATCGGAACCGCCGCGTGTAGGTTTATCACTGATAGGATATTCAGCACCATCGATCTGACCATCGACCCACTGTTCTTGGCGCAGTTGCAAAGTTCATGTCCCATAAACGGAAGCGGTTCGAGCCGCGTGGCTCTAGACACGGGAAGTGAACTCGTCTTCGACACCTCTATTTTCAAGAACATCCTCAACGGTCGCACGGTCCTCAAGACGGATCAGATTCTTTTGACCAATCCAATGATTTACCGTATGCTGCAGGACTTCGTAACTTTTCAAAGATTCAACACAATATTTACAAGGGCAATGGCCAAGATGAGTGGAATCGGGGTGAAAACAGAATTAAATGGGGAAATTCGTAGAAACTGTTCTAAGGTTAACTAGAACTTTGCTTCAAGGAAAAGAAAGGGTTAACTGGTACTTTGATTAATCACTGGCTATGTATTGTGATGATAAGACTGATAATGTGGGTGAAATGATGGAGCTAATGTACCCCCTTTCCTGAATTGTTCCTTAATAAACAGATATGCTTTACCAAAACTAAATATATATAGCGAGGACTAAATTATTGGCTAGTGTTTTGAGAAACTCAATTTTTTTTTATAGAAACGTGTCTATGAAAGATCAGAGAAACAAACAAAAAGTTGATAAATACTGTTACAATTTACAAATACAAAGCAAATCTTGATTTCGATATACCGTGTGATCGTCTTTCTTATTTTGTGTTTGATGTGCTAGTTTTGAAATCGCTTGAATACTTATTGACATCACTGAAACATATCCTCTGTTTCTATCTTGAATGGATAGAGTATTTTCTACTCTTCAAGTTAAAATGGTAAGAGTAGGAACAACAACTACACATTCAAAAAAGAAAAATCTTCTTAAATTTTCAAAAAGTTGTTTTGGTAATAGTAACAGACAAAAAAAAACAACAACTTACAATCACAATTTAAAAAAGAAATCATGAAAGTTGTGACAATCAAATATCGATTTTTCTATTAAAAAATATAAGTTTTGTAATTTTCTTGTTGACATTTTCTCATATATTATTACAACAAATAAATGACTTTCAAACTATCACATTTCACAGTTTTTTTATTCTCACTAGAATATTTTTAAAAACGCGGTTTTGCAGAATGCAACTAAAATAATTAATTTTGTAATTCCGTTGAGGAAAAAACATATATAATTGCGCGCACACACACCATGCATTTAACGATACATTTTTAAAATAACAACAAAGAGACAACCAACGTGGAAAGATGCTTTCGATCAATAAACGTGGTCGTTCACTTGAGGTGCTGGACTCCTAGCTTATATATATGTAGCATCATCATGTCACAAGCTATTCACAAAAAGCAAGCACCTAAAAACATTATTTGATATTTGTATCGAAACAAAAAAATTTGAGATGGCTTTGATTCGATCGTTCTTATGCTCTTTCATGATCTTGACGATCCTCCCCATCTATCATCTAGTATCAGTCAACGGCCAGGGTACACAGCCAGGATTCTACAACCTGACGTGTCCTCTGGTAGAAACTATCGTCCTAACATCCACGACGGCTCGTTTCCTTTTACAACCGAACATCGCACCGGGACTGCTAAAACTGCACTACAGTGATTGTTTCGTCGAAGGTTGTGATGGCTCGGTGCTAATCTCAGGGCCTGGCACTGAGAGAACTGCAGATGTAAACCGAAACCTTCGTGGGTTCGACGTCATTAACGACATTAAGACACAGCTTGAGTTCTTGTGTCCAGGTGTTGTCTCATGTGCCGATATTTTAGCTCTAGCTGTAAGATAAAATGCTTTGTAAAAGACTCTGAATACTACTCTATTTATTCATGAAAGAGAAATGGCTTTATATAGCCTTTACATTAAACGAAACTCCTAAAAATACTGAATCAAAACAGATCCTCTACTTTAACTAATTGACCGTAACAATCGGTCCTTATTTTGACTAAGAAACTCCTAAAGACTCGTTCAGACAATGATCCAGAACAACGACTCCTTCAACTCCACTTCTGCACTCCTTAGTTCCATAATGATTTGCTCTAACAAACCCTCCTTAAGCTAGACTTGGTTCACAAGACTTAGCTTATCTCCAACAGAGCAAATCCCAAGTTTCTGCCTTAAGTTCTCAAACGTTTCCCTCTTCAATGGCTTCGTGAAAATGTCAGCAACTTGATCTCGTGATCCACAGTGTTCAAGACGCAACACACCTTCATTGACCAAATCTCTTAAGAAATGAAAACGTACCCCAATATGCTTGCACCGTCCGTGAAAAACAGGATTCTTGGACAGCTTGATCGTTGACGTATTGTCACAGAGAATGACTGAACTTCCTTCAACACTGTATCTCAATTCTTCCAGTATCCTCTTGAACCATATGACTTGGCACGCACAAGCTGACGCAGCCACATATTCCGCTTCAGTAGTGGAGAGTGTAACAATTGGCTGCTTTTTCGATGACCAAGCAACAGCGGCATTGTCCATGAGAAAGACGTATCCCGATGTGCTCTTCCTGCTATCAACATCTCCAGCAAAGTCACTATCTGTATAAATCAAAATCTCTCCATTTCCACCTCTCTTGTACCAAATACCAAAGTCCATCGTGCCACTCAAGTACCTCATAACTCTTTTAGCAGCTTGTAAATGCATTTGCGTGGGCTTAGACATGTAACGACTAAGGAGACTTACAGAAAATTGCAGGTCGGGCCTCGTTGTTGTAATGTACATGAGACTCCCTACTATTTGTTTATAGTAAGTCTCATCCACACGTTCTCCTTCCTTGTCCATGTCAGGCTTGTTTCCTGGCACCATCGGGTTGCAGACTGCATTACAACTCTCCATACCAAACCGCTTCAGAACTTCAAGAGCATATTTCCCTTGAGATATATGAATCCCGTGAGAAGTCTGCAACACTTCAATTCCCAAGAAGTATCTCATCTTGCCCAGATCTGTCATATCAAACTCCCTTTGCATAGATTCCTTAAACCCTTTCATCATCGATCCATCATCTCCTGTGTATATGAGATCATCCACATAAATACTGACAAAGAGATGATTACCACGTGAGTTTGCTTTGAGGAATAATGTCTCTTCGTTCTGCGACTTCATGAACCCCTCCTTGATGAAATATTCCTCAATTCTGCTAAACCAGACCCTTGGAGCTTGCTTTAAACCATACAAGGCCTTGTGGAGTTTGTATACTTTATCTTCTGCACCTTTGATCACATACCCCTTTGGCTGCTCAATGTATACATCTTCTGCGAGGAATCCATGTAAGAAAGCAGATTTTACATCTAACTGATAGATGTCCCATCTCTTCTGAGCTGCTCTAGCCAACAGTGTTCTGATTGTATCCATTCGAGCCACAGGCGCATATACTTCAGTGTAGTCAATCCCATGTTCTTGAGAGTATCCCTTAGCCACCAGACGTGCTTTAAATTTATTCACTTTTCCATGCTCATTGAGTTTAGTTTTGTAAATCCATTTGACACCAATGCACTTTGCTCCTTCTGGTAGTTTTGAGATCTCCCAAGTCTGATTTTTCACAATCGAATTCATCTCTTCATCCATAGCTTCTCTCCACTTCAGACTCTTCTCTGCTTCTTCAAAGCTTAAAGGATCAGTTGAATTGATTTCAACCATGTTGACTTCATCTTCTTCATCATCATTTCCAGTGACATAGTCATTGAGATATCGTGGACGTCTCTTCACTCTTCCCTCCCTGACTTCGATTTGTGGCAAAATCTGAGTCTGAGCTTGAGCGTCTTCTGAAATCTCTGCAATCTCTGCAGTCTCTGCAGTCTCTTGCACAGGCTATTCTGCTTCTTCTACGATCTCTGCAGTCTCTTGCACAGGCTGTTCTGCTTCATTATCTGACTCTCCTTGGTCATTGCTTTCATCTCCACTTTCCTCCCACGTCATATCATCGTCATTCCAAGTCAGCTCAACATTTGTATGGTCGTGTTCTTCCTCCCAGTACCAGCCTTTTGATTCCTCAAACACCACGTCTCTGCTCACTATCACTTTCTTGCTCTTTGGGTTGTATAGCCGATACCCCTTTGATTCTTCTGAGAAACCAAGAAATATGCAGGTGGTGCTCTTGTCATCGAGCTTACTTCGTTTCTCATCAGGAATGTGAGCATGAGCAATGCTTCCCCACACTCGAAAGTGTTCCACACTCGGTTTTACTCCACTCCAAGCCTCCTGTGGTGTGATGTTCTTCACCGCCAGTGTAGGACATCTGTTGAGAACATAGAACGTCCAGTTCACAGCTTCTGCCCAGAACACTCTTGGTATTTTCCGAGTTGAAAGCATAGACCTGACCATATTCATAACAATGCGATTCTTTCTCTCTGCAGTACCGTTTTGCTGTGGTGTGTAGGCCGTGGTTAACTGTCTCCTGATGCCCTCCTCCTTACAGTAATCAGAGAACTGATGAGAAGTATACTCTCCTCCCCGATCAGTTTTCAAGCACTTAATGCTTTTTCCAGTTTCAGTTTCCACACGCCTCTTGAATATCTGAAATGGTTGAAAGCTTCTGACTTCTCTTTCAAAAAATATACCCAAGCTTTCCAACTATAGTCATCTATAAAACAGAGAATGTACCTCTTCCCACTGGTGGAAACTGGACTGATGGGGCCACAAATGTCTGAGTGGATCAGCTCAAGAGCTTCTTTGGCTCTCCACGTGCTCTTCTTAGGGATGGGATTCCTCGGTTGCTTCCCTACTAGACAGTCTGAGCAGGTAAACTTCTGTGTATTGAAGTTTGGTAGACCGTGCACCATCATTCTGCTCTGTAATGTTTTCATGCCGCGATGACTGAGATGCCCATAGCGCTCATGCCACAGTTTTGCCAAATCCTCTGACACTGTCTTCAAGCACCGTTGTTGATTGTCTTCATTACCGCCTTGATCAATCAACATGAACATCCTGTTCATACTCATTTTGCTCTCAGCTATCAGACCTTTCTCATCATGATAGATCTTGCAAAAACCTCTCCGTATGATGATGGTTAGCTCCTTCTCCTGAAGCTGGCCGAGACTCAATAAGTTGTTTTTGAGCTCCGGTACATAGTATACGTCGCTGACAGTGTATATGACTCCGTTTAGCACCAGCTTCGCACTTCCTTTACCAACTACATCCATTCGCTTGTCATTTCCTAGCTTGACAGAGTGCTTGAAGTCTTCATTCATCGTTGAAAACAATTTTCGATCTCCACTCATGTGGTTTGAACATCCGGAGTCAAGAAACCATGCTCTCTTTCTCAAGTTCTCTTGCTTCCCAGAGTATGTCATCAACAGCAGCTCTGCATCTTTCAAATTCACTTCTGATTTTTCACCATCTTCGTCAATGTAAGCCATCAGAAGTACTTCTTCCTTCTCTTCGGAATCAGCGTAATTTGCTTCTTCTTCCCACATTGGGCATTCGCTCTTGAAATGTCCAAGCTTGTGACACTTGTAACCTTCCACGGTGCTTTTAGAGAACGTCCTTCCTCGACCGCGTCCTCTGCCTCTTCCATTGAATCCTCTTCCTCTGCCACCATTTGTTACCTTAAAAGCTTGATCTTCTCCTCTATCTTGCTTTTTGAACTTCTGTTCATGGACTGACAGAGAGCTCTGCAACTCCTCAAGTGAAATGCTTCCAACGTCCTTGGACTCCTCAATCGATACTACTACGTACATGAACTTCTCGCTCAGTGTCCTTAGGATTTTCTCCACCACCTTTGAGTCGTCCATGACTTCCCCATTGCTTCTCATCTGGTTAGTGATGGCAAGCACCCGTTTGAAATACTCCTCCACGACTTCAGACTCTCTCATCTCCAATAATTCGAAGTCTCTTCTCAACTTCTGCAGCAATGACTTCTTCACCCGATCATTACCTCCAAACTTCCTCTTCATGGAGCTCCAGATGATCTTGGATGTCTTCCTGTCCAGGATCTGCTCAAACGTTACCCTATCAATTGATTGATAAAGGTAATGCTTGACCTTATGATCATTCGTTTTTGCATCCTCTAACTGTTGCCTCTGCTCCGCCGTGAGCACAGTTGTGGTTGGTGGTTCTTCAAAGCCAATGTCGATGATACTCCATAGACCCTTTGCTCTGAAAAAGTTCTCCATCACCTCGCTCCAGTGATCCCAATGACCATCAAATTGTGGCAACTTCATCTTATCGTCTCCCATCTCTCACTTGTGATTTAAAGCTGCGGCTTTTTCTCTTTAGTACTCAGAGCTCTGATACCAATTTGTAAGATAAAATGCTTTGTAAAAGACTCTGAATACTACTCTATTTATTCATGAAAGAGAAATGGCTTTATATAGCCTTTACATTAAACGAAACTCCTAAAAATACTGAATCAAAACAGATCCTCTACTTTAACTAATTGACCGTAACAATCGGTCCTTATTTTGACTAAGAAACTCCTAAAGACTCGTTCAGACAATGATCCAGAACAACGACTCCTTCAACTCCACTTCTGCACTCCTTAGTTCCATAATGATTTGCTCTAACACTAGCCGCTCGTGATGCCGTTGTTCTCGTAAGTACTTATATATCTACTACTAGAATCAAAAATATATATATATATATACATATTACTTTGGCTATAAAAAATATAATATTCATTTGAAAATGGAAGAAAATATACTGTGACACTTATATAAAGGAATCTATTTTTATTATAGAAAAGTTGAATGCCTACCTAGGTCTAATAAGAATACTACTCGTGGTAAATAAGATTAGTTGTAATTCTAAAACAAAGTTGAAATATGGTATTTGTTTTTTAAAATGAGCAAAATGTTTCGGACGTAGGTCCATAATTTTTTTTGGGGATCAGGAATTTCTTATACTTTTACATAAAAAAAAAAATGGATGCGCGGACGAAGTTGGCGTGTACCATTAGGACGTAGAGATGGACGAGTGTCCTTGCGACAAAACGTCATAAATCTTCCGTCTTTTTCTATTAATGCCTCCATCCCCGATCTGCTCAACAGTTTCCGTGCTCTCGGATTTAGCATGGAGGAATTTGTTGCTCTCGTTGGTCAGTTTTTTTTTTTTTTTATATATATATATATGATTTATGTATACGTTATTGTTTAAAACATAACACATGGTGCATGTGGTGTTAATATATTAATCGATTAGGAGGGCACACGATTGGAACAGCGTCGTGTGGGTTGACCGCTGATGGGTCATGTCCAGGACTTCTGCAGCGCGTGGCTCTAGACACAGGAAGCCAATTCGCCTTCGACAACTCCATTTTCAGTAACATCCTCAACGATCGCGGAGTCCTCTACGTGGATCAGAGCCTTTCGCTCTCTGATATCACTAGACCTGTGGTGGAGTTGTTCGTAAATGATAAAGATGCGTTCAACACCGAATTTGAGAGGGCAATGATCAAGATGAGTAACATCGGGTTGAAAACATTTCCAAATGGGGAAATTCGTAGAAGATGTTCAGCGATTAATCAAATGAGTAACATCACGCTGATTAATAACGCGGGTGATTGAATTATTTTCCTTTATGTTTTTTTTTTTTTTTTTGCGAACGACGTTTTATGTTTTTTTTATTGCGTATGTAATTGTTGGTTTGGGCATGTTTATGTGTCTTGTAAACTCATCATGCTATCAAATATTATTGTATTTTCCGTATAAATAATATAATTATATCTTTCGATAACTAATACAGTAACACATTGAAAGATATGTTAATTAATTAATATATTAGATAGAAACCCAACAATTAAGTTAAATGAATAAATGAAGTAAATACAAGAGAATGGAATATATCATTGGTATTAATAATTTGATTCGAATTTTAATCACGTAATTTATATATAAGATACAAAATAATAATAATAATAATCGTAGCTGATGACCAGCGAAAACAAATTCAAACTTTGACGACCAAATATTTTTGAAGAAAATAAAATAAAATGAAAGAATCACGCAAAAATAAAACAATTGTTTATGTATATTTTTGTGTGTGTGCAGTATCCATATACTGCATGTATCTAAAAGTTGGTTTACATAATCAAATCTCATGGCAATTTTCAAAATATTATGAGCCACATGACATTTTATTATTGAAAAACCATTTACTCAATCCCAATAAATACCACCATATTTAACCAACTGACATTAAATTTGCTGATGGAGATTAAAATTCCACATCAACTGGCTGTGATTGGTAAACTTGGTGGAATGGTGAAATGGTAGAAAAACTCAATTCCGCAAGAATTTTGCCAATCAGAAAAACTTGCGGAAAAACGTCAAAACTCGAGTTCTACGGAATGGCTAAAAAACTTACAAAAAAATACAAAGAAAATTTAATTAAGTAGAAAAGTATGTTTCAAGTAACTTATTTGCGGAATCAATATTTTATATCATTCAATTATATAACTAATTATATTTTATTATTTAAATAAATATATTTATACTACATATATTTATATAATGATCAGATTATATTTGTAGATTAAATATTGCAATGTAGTTATATATTTTATAGTAAAAAAAAATAGTAAATAATTACAATAAAAGTTTTAGATTTTTCTAATTATATTAAAATTATGTTTTTATAATAATTAATATTTTAATTTTTATTATATTAAATTATATATATAATATTATTATAAAAAATTAATTATATATATTTTCTGTCATTCCATTTTCACCATTCTACCATTCCGCATAATTTATCCAATCATATCAAATTAATTATTCCATTATTCAGCATTCTGCCATTCCGAAGCTTAATTTTTTCTATCATTCCACAGTTTTTATTGTGTTACCAATCAGAACCTTTATGTTAAACTTATCTTGGTTTTATTGCGCGTAAGATATAATTTTCTTAAAACGAATAAACGTATGTTAAAATACTCCAGTTATATATATAAGATTTGTAAATCACACAAGCTATGCAAAAAGGAGAAATATAAATATTATTTGCCATGCGTTTTTAAACGATTAAACAAAGAGAGCCACATAGTGCTGATATTTTAGCTGTAGCCGCTCGTGATGCCGTTGTCCTCGTAAGTACAGTATATTCTAGCAAAATATATATTAGCAAAATTGTTGTTTTTGGTTAAAGGTACTTTTATTAATTAAAGGCAACTACAAAACAATATAGAATGGTTCTAGACGGAGAAAACAAATTGTTTAAAGCTTGAAAAATATTTACAAAAAATGTTTAAAATAATTTACAAGTTTTTTTTTAGAAAAAAGCTAATTAATATATTATGGTCTTACCAAATATTTGTGTGTGTGTGGAAAATTTTTGTTAGATTTTTTTCTTTAAAAAAAATTCCAGAAAGCAAATTGAAATCTTGAATTATTAGTAACTTTTTGACTACGTTAATCAATCATCGTGTAATACGGATACGCAGACGAACGGACCAACTTGGGACGTAAAATCAGGGCGTAAAGATGGCCGAGTTTCGTTGGCAACCAACGTTGATCTTCGGTCTCAAGCTACCTCCATTATCTCTCTGCCCAATTTTTTCGCTGCTCACGGATTTAACACCGAAGATTTCGTTGCTCTCCTTGGTCAGTATTTTCCGAAACTCCATCTATATCATTAGTTATATAGATATTAAGAACTACGGCAAGAAATACAGAAAGATCTTGTTTTTAATCGTAGCTTTACTGAATAGACCCTGATCGTATTTTGCTTTTGAATCTGATGTGTGTTAGTGTTTGACTGTTGAATGCATATATATATATATATATATACTACTGAACAGTTCTCCTTTTTTTTCTTCGTAATTTGCTTTTTCACATTTGTAACTGTAGACAGCAGTGCAACGTACCGTTTAATATTTTAAAAATTAAATTCGATCTTTGACGATACATTACATATCATAATAAATTAATAATGATATTGTTTTAAAAAAAAATAACATATGGTTTTAATTAATTAATTTATCAGGAGGGCATACGATTGGAACCGCAGCGTGTAAGTTCATCATTGAGCGGATATTCAGCATCAACGGAAGCGTCATTGATTTGACTATCGACCCTCTATTCTTGGCGCAGTTGCAGAGTTCATGTCCCATAAATGGAGACGGTTCGAGCCGCGTGGCTCTCGACACCGGAAGTGAACTCGTCTTCGACACTTCCATTTTCAAGAATATACTCAATGGTCATGCAGTCCTCAAGACTGACCAGAGTCTTTTTAGCATTTCCGACGACATTGTAAAGACACTGATAAATCTCACACAAAAACAGAGATTTCGAAAAGCATTTGCGACGGTAATGCCCAGGATGAGTGAAATCAGGGTGAAAACAGGGGTAAATGGGGAAATTCGTAAAAACTGTTCTAAGGTTAACTAAAACTTTGTTTATAAATCACTTTTGATGTTTCTGATAATAAGATTAATATTCACTGCTCGGTGAATATGCCGTATGTAAATGTAACTAAATATATAATGAGTGTTTATGGTATATTTGTTTTATTTATTTGTTATATATTCATACATGTATTTACAAACCCAAAATAGTGAAAAAAATAATTATCAGATATAAATGAAATCCAGCACGGACACGAATACACGGCAAATATGGCATGAAAGAAAAAGTTTGAAAACGAAATCCTCAGATTTAAGGAAAGCGTGTGAAGCAGAAAATACAACTTGTAATTTCTCATTTCAGCCTTTATTTCATCTTCTTCTTCTTCAATATTCTTCAAACAATGCAAACTATTTTGGTGATAAAGTTAATGTTTGATATAAATGCTCTTAACTAAGAAAGTTGATTAAAAAAAATAAAGGATAAAATCAATTTCAAAATGGGTAAGTTCTTTTCACAGAAGAATACCACAATCACGCATCATATCGTTTACACACGAAACGTATCACGCGTACATTTAAACGACATCGTGTTACAGTCACCAAAACAGGTATGTACCTCTATATAACCACAGCCTTTTTCCACTTGGTTCTATCACATTTCTTATATTCTCCGTTTTAAACGAAACAAAAGGAATCAAACAATGGCCGTCTTCTCCGCCGCGACATCCCTCCTCGTCCTCTTTCTCTCTATTTCATCTCCCTTTGTTCACGTAGATTCGGCACCGGCCGTTGATTGCTCCACCGTGGTACTAAGCATGGTGAATTGTGTGGCTTTCGTGACGATCGGGGGTAAAGATGATCAACCATCGGCTTCATGCTGCTCCGGTCTCAAGAAAGTGCTCGATGTGAACCCCGAATGCTTATGTGAAGGGTTGAAGAACAGTGACTCTCTCGGAGTCAAAGTGAACGTCACTAAAGCCGCTACTCTTCCCGCCCTTTGCAAACTCACCGCTCCTCCTGTCTCTGCTTGCGCATGTCAGATTTTCTCTCTTTGCTTCTCGTTTTTGATTCTTGTAGAGATCCCTGATTTATTTAATTTTCTGGATTTTGAAAACGGTTTTTTTTTATTATTATGTTCAAAATCCCTATTTTGTTTCCAAAGATTTTCTTGCATATATAATCTAGGTCAAGTAATTTTTATTCATTCTTCTGATTTTCGCGTTGATCTGTCCTGTACTGTGATTACTTGATCATAAACCATTATGATATTCAATATATGTCACATTTTGTTACAGTGTCTTTCGTAGTCATATGATTATTCGATTAACAGAGATTTTGTTTTTTTGTTTTTACTCTTGTTTGCAGTGTCTGGTACTCCTCCTGCTAGTGCGCCAGGTACTTGACTTAATTTCTCTTTGTTGATTTCATTTTCAATCACTTTTTTTTTTCATTTGATTAATCCTCTCTTCTTCTTTTTTCCTTGCCTATACATGCCATCTGAAAATAATTTATTTTATTTTTAAAAAGAATTTATTCAATATTATATCTGGTCTATATTCTGGAAGAATCAAATGAGTTAAATTAGTATAATCGTTTGCAATTAAGTTTCGACGATGATTTCAGTTTCATATATTCTTCGATACCGATGGAGTTTAAATGCTATATAGATATCAAACTTGATTCGGTGTTTATGACTCTTTATCTTGTTATGTTTTTGTGGCACCAGTTCCCGCTGCTGGACCAAGATCAGCACCAGCCTCTAATTCAGCTCCAAGCCCTTCTCCAACGAACCATGGCTCTTCATTGATCCCAATCTCTGGCTTGTCATTTGTAATCAGCGCCGTGTTGGTCACCCTTTTCTCTCGTATTTAAAACCCTTTTAGTTAAGAGTTTGTTTGTTTTCTTGTGAGTGATGACTATGGAATTCTCTTGCTGAGACCTTAGATTAAGGTTACGATGTTTCCATTAAGGACTTGGTTTCAATGTGTGTCACTGTCACACATTGGTAATTTCTATTGTTTAAGTTGACTGGTGATTATTTACAGATTGTGTTTTATTGAACCACAATTAGTATAAAGAAAAAACTATCTAAGAAAACTCAAAATGGGTTGAACAAAAAAAAAGCTCAAAATCGAATTATGAGATACAGGAGTTATTTGCAATCTCGATATATTCCCTATGTAATAAAAATAGGCCATTAATTATGTTTTGTAAAAAGAGACGGTCAAAACTTATAAAATCCAACTTTCCAAACCTATACACTCTAGTATTGGCATCTAGATAATTACGCAAAGAATCCGAATTCGCATTAAAAAATTAGCATGGTTATTTCTCATCTGGAGTAGATCCAGATAAAAAATTTCTTTTGAAGATCGGAACCATATAATCCGGTTTAAATCATAACCTGTATCTTTTTTTGTAAAGAAAGAAAAAGTTTTCCAAATTCATATTTCAAAAATATTCAATGCCTATTTGGACTAGCTATTATGGTATAAGATTTCTTAGTCAATGCACAGTATAATACAGATTTCATTCTTAGTTGGTCCCTTCTTGTTTAGTGTATATAATTTAATACACTAATTTATAGAAATATATCTATCCCCTATATGTTATAAACCAATTAATCATGTCTGTCAAAAATGCATATGCATATAATAAGAGTTAACATATGAAAAGACGAAATAAAATTAGAGGAAAAGAAATATAACAAAATTACACTATCACAGATAATTCAAACACAAGATTTATTACATTTGACTGAAATTATCTGTTGAGAAGAATAACCATGGAGTTCAAGCACAACCTTCGAAACACAATCTTTAATACCCTCGCTATAGTCTTCTCCCTCTTTGTTCTTACAACCCAAATCACAGAGGCCAAAATTCATCGTCACACTTTTACGGTATGATTAAAACAAATGTTTTTTACAAGAGAAATTAAAAAAGAAGATGAAAAAATATTGGATTTTTATCTATACAGATAAAGTCAAAAGCATACACAAGACTTTGTAACACAAAAAAGATATTGACGGTGAACGGAGAATTCCCCGGACCGACGTTAAAAGCCTACCGTGGAGATAAACTCATCGTCAAGGTCATCAACAACGCGACTTACAATATTACCCTCCATTGGTAAACAATCTTATCATCACAAATTTGATTTCGCATTTGACTAATATTGCTTATAAGATATGGAGAGACATGTTTAACATTGTAGGCATGGGGCGAGACAAATCAGGAATCCGTGGTCTGACGGACCTGAATATGTAACTCAATGTCCGATCCGACCAGGAGAGAGTTATGTATACAGAATTGATCTTACGACTGAAGAAGGAACGATTTGGTGGCACGCGCATAGCCAATGGGCACGTGCTACGGTCCACGGTGCGTTTATTGTCTACCCTAAACGTGGCTCGTCTTATCCTTTTCCCAAGCCACACCGCGAGATTCCTCTCATTTTAGGTGAATTTATACTTCTTTGTTGATGAGATTAGTACATTTACGTGGAACAAAACTCATTTCGGTGTGTGACAATTTACAGGAGAATGGTGGAAAAATAAAAACATAATGGATATACCAGGCAAAGCTGATAAAACCGGAGGTGAACCAGCCATCTCTGATGCATATACCATAAATGGACAACCCGGTTATCTATACCCATGCTCTAAACCGGGTACGTATCTCCCAAGCTCCAAAACGAGCTCAAATCTTTAGTAAATAAAAAAGATTCATGTTTTTTTCTTTGTTATTTCGAAACAGATACACTCACCATAGATGTGGTGCACGGTCGCAAATATCTTCTCCGAATTATCAACGCCGTGATGGACGAAGAACTCTTCTTCGCAATCGCAAACCACACCTTAACCGTTGTCGGCAAAGACGGTCTCTACTTAAAACATTTCAAAACTGATTACCTAATGATCACTCCCGGCCAATCCATGGACGTCCTCCTCCACGCAAACCAGCGCTCAGACCGTTACTTTTTGGCGGCTCGAGCTTACTCCTCCGCCTTTGGTGCCGGTTTTGACAATACCACCACTACTGCCATCTTACAGTACAGAGGAACCGACGAATCAAACCGAAATCCACCGGTCCTACCATATTTGCCTCCTTACAATCATACCGAGGCAACCACTCGGTTCACTAACCAGTTTAAAAGCCTTCGATGCGGTAAGCGTCACGTTAACGTCCCGGTTAAAATCGACACTCATCTTCTTTATGCGATCTCCGTGAACTTGATGAATTGCACCGACGATAAACCCTGTAACGGACCTTTCGGGAAGAGATTCTCGTCGAGCGTTAACAACATCAGCTTCGTAAACCCATCGATCGACATTCTCCGAGCCTATTACCGCCGCATAGGAGGCGTTTTCCAAGAGGATTTTCCGAGAAACCCTCCCAAGAAATTCGATTACACCGGAGAGAATCTTCCGTTTCCGACGAGGTTCGGAACGAAAGTGGTGGTTCTAGATTACAATTCTAGCGTAGAGCTGGTTTTGCAGGGGACAAACGTGTTGGCCTCAGATAATCACCCGATCCATCTCCATGGTTATAGCTTCTATGTCGTGGGTTCGGGTTTTGGGAACTTCGATCGCCGGAAAGATCCGTTGAGGTATAACCTAGTTGATCCACCGGAGGAAACCACCGTTGGAGTTCCCCGTAACGGTTGGACAGCCGTCAGGTTCATAGCTAATAATCCAGGTCAGTGCACACTCTACACTTCGTTAATTTTCCCGACGTGAAATCGGATATTAAAACGTTGCATGTATATATATGATTAATGTTTTTCTTTCATTAGGTGTTAAAAAAAAATTAAGTAAACTTTTAATGGTCTACAATTTACACGTTACCGAGTTTGAATCCTATCATAACACATAAATAGTTCACATTAATTACGTGCTTTGGTCAAAGTCAAACGTAGATGTTTTAAACATTCGACTATTATTTGAAAAATTCAAAAAAGACAATTGGAAAATTGTTTTTATCAAAGACATTAGAAAGTGAAATAAAAGTTAGGCACATTGGGAAGTAAGATTTACCAAATCTCATTTGGGATATAAAATGATTCTTATGATCGTGGTTCTATTTATTTATATAGGGGTGTGGTTGTTGCATTGCCATATAGAGAGACATGCCACATGGGGAATGAACACAGTGTTCATTGTGAAAGATGGACCGACGAAATCATCTCGAATGGTCAAGCCTCCTCCTGATCTACCTTCTTGTTAGCGAATACCATCTATTTTGATTGGTTGGACCATTTATTAGTTTCAAATTTTATTTTCGTAGAAGATTATTGCTTGATGTTTCGTTTTGTGGCCAATGTAATAATTTCAATCAAATTAACTTTTCTTTTCTTTCATTATATGGTTTTTCAAGGCTAGTTAAATTCAAAATTTTAAATATCCATGTGACGCCAATAAATGGAGGGAAAACCAAACGAAATTGCTAGGAAGAGGGATTCAGCTCGCGTGGACTTACCAGCGCACGTTAGATCCCATCATTCGACAAAATTAATTAAACAAAAAACAAAAATTGAATTTAAAATACCGTCTCAACAATAATTACTTCCTCTCTCCCCTGGACAACGGCTGAGACAAGGAAAACCGCTACCGGCAGAGACGAGACGGCGGCGATTGAACTCGGCTACTTCTCACTCCGCATTTGAATTTTTCGAAGCTTGCAACTCTTAGTAAGACCGAATAGTGGGTTGCTTTTGAGAAGCTAATCACTGGGTTCTCTCTTGTTCTCCTCCCTGAGATTGTCTCGCTTCGGAGCAAATTTCTCCTTCTTTACCGGTTTTTATTGAGAAGGAGACAATGAATCTGTTGCTTTATGCTGTGGATTTTCGGAGATTTTAGGTTAAGCTAGTTAGGAAAAGGTGTGGTTCACGGCATTGTCAAGTCCCAATTCCCTCGATTGGGTATTGTAATTATGATTTTTAGTTTGCGGTTAGATAGGAGATTAGGGTTTTAAGTGAAGAAAGTTTAGTGTAGAGTTTGATTTCTGTATCTGATCTTGGATTTGGTCGAGAATCTCTTGGATCTGCTTCCTTGTTCCGGATGATTTGCGTCTTTGAGGTGGTAGGATCATCGAAATGCAGATGGAGCGGTTTCTTTCACTGGTTCGAGGTGAATCGGCTGAGCCACCCCGTGAGATCACCTTGCCCAGTAGCCTCATTGGCGAGTCTGGCTCAAATGGGTGGCTTATCCGTTTCTTCGATTCGTCATTCTTCTGTGAGTGGATTGCAGTCAGTTATCTGTACAAGCACCAGCACTCGGGCGTGAGGGATTACTTATGCAATAGGATGTATACGCTTCCTTTATCCGGTATTGAGAGTTACCTGTTCCAGATATGCTACATGATGGTGCACAAACCAAGTCCTTCGCTTGACAAGTTCGTGATTGATATCTGTGCAAAGTCGCTTAAAATAGCACTGAAAGTGCAGTGGTTTCTGCTGGCGGAGGTTGAGGATTCTGATGATAGTGAAGGCGTCAGCAGGATTCAAGACAAGTGTCAAACTGCAGCGACTCTGTTGGGTGAGTGGTCACCTCTTTTGCGGCCACAGAACGAGCCTTCAACTCCAGGGAGCAAGAATCAGGTCCTAAATAGGTTTTTGTCATCAAAGCAGAAGCTCTTCTCGTTGAACTTATCTCCTCCTACCCAGAAGTCTTTGTTATTCTCACCTTCCTCAGGGAGCAACTTGCAGGATGATGGTAGTCAGTTATCTGCGGATGACAATAAGATTTTCAAGAGACTTATCCCAAGTCCTAAAGTTAGAGATGCTTTATTGTTTAGGAAGTCAGCTGAGAAAGATGACGAGGAGAGTGAAAAGGAAGGATTCTTCAAGAGGCTATTGAGGGACAGCAGAGGTGAGGACGATGAGCAAGGGTCTAACTCAGATGGGTTCTTTAAGCGTCTTCTGAAAGACAATAAATCAGAAGAGGAGGAGATGACCAACAGTTCCGAGGGGTTCTTCAAGAGGCTATTGAGTAGTAAAGGAGATGACGAGGAACTGACATCTAGTCCCGATGGTTTCTTTAAGAGATTGTTACGAGACAAGAAAGGAGATGAAGAGGAATTAGGTGCAAACTCGGAAACTTTCTTCAAGAAGTTGTTGCGTGAGAATAAAAGTGAAGACGAGGAGCCAAGTGCAAATTCAGAAGGGTTCTTCAAGAAACTATTCCGTGACAGCAAGACTGAGGATGAGAAAGTTTCGAAAGCAGTGGGTGATCAGAATAGACATGGTAATGAAAGGAACGAGACTGATGAAACTGTGTGTGCTGATGAAAAATCTGGTGAAGACAATGAAAGGGAAGGATTTTTTAAAAAATTATTGAAGGAGAAGTGTGAAGACAAAAATGACACTGGCAAAGCCGATAATGGGAATGAAAGCGAAGATGAGGAATCTTCAGACTTCTCGTTGTTCAAAAGATTTTTCCGTAGAAATCCAGAAGATGCAAAACCTACTTCAGTGACTGAACTTAACAGCAATGGCAGCTTAACTGAGAGCAGTCCGGGGACAGAAAACTTTTTCCGAAAATTATTCAGAGATCGTGATCGGTCTGTTGAAGATTCTGAACTTTTCGGATCGAAGAAATATAAGGAGGTTTGTCTTCATTTGGCTTGATCTTTTGTTCTCTAAATTGCTGCTCATTTGTACTGCTTTGACATTCTTGTTATTTTCAACCCTTATCTTTACAATAGGACTACTGCTCTCAGGCCATGTCAAATTTCTCCCACTTAAGTGAATTTTCGTTTAAAAAAAATATACCTGTCATTCATTACATGTACGTTTGTGCGTGGTTTTTCTCATGCTAATATTTCTTTTTTCTGACCTTTGCAGAAGTGTCCAGGATCACCTAAACAGCGAAATGATACCTCATCTACTAAGCCCCCACTGCCAAGCAAGACTGCAGCACAATTCAGGAAAGGTGCTTACCACGAGTCTTTGGAGTTTGTGCATGCATTATGTGAAACGTCATATGATTTGGTAGATACTTTTCCCACTGAAGATCGGAAGGCTGCTCTTCGTGAGGTGATCCTTTCATCCACATTTTTCTATATGGATGATTAAATTGCAAATATTGACATTGTCCTTTACATTTAACTAAGATTTCATGTTCCTTTTGTTTGGTTTTAGTCCCTTGCAGAGATCAATTCCCATTTAGCTGAGGCTGAAGCTACTGGAGGTATTCTATTAAATTTAAACTTAGTCTTTGCTTGTATAATTGTGTTCCTCACATTGGAGAGCCAGATACCTCAATCCTTTTGGCATTTAAACATTACCTCTTGAATTGAAAAACGTTTTTAATTGTTTTTTACTCTGTTTGCGTTGATTCTAGTGTGGTAAATGATTCGAAAAAGATATTGATAATTTTTTCAATAACATTCCAGGAATCTGTTTTCCAATGGGGAGAGGAGTTTATCGCATTGTTAATATTCCTGAAGACGAGTCTATTCTTTTGAATTCTAGGGAAAAGGTGCCCTATATGATATGCGTGGAAGTTTTGAAAGCGGAAGCACCCAGGTAACTATAAAAGACAGAAAATTTATTAGGCTGCTGCTTTTCTTTTCAGAAATTACGTTACTATTCATGCCTTCTAAGTTCTAATTGCACTTATAAGGGGCTTCTTGATAACACTCTCTCATTGTTCTTATTGTCTTCTGAAATTTTGTAGTGGTGCTAAAGACATATCTAATTCACATAAGCTTTCTAAAGGAGGCATTCCATTGGCAAATGGGGATGCGTTTTTGCAAAAGCCACCCCCATGGGCATATCCACTATCAACTGCTCAGGAGGTTTACCGTAACAGTGCAGACAGAATGTCGCTATCAACTGTTCAAGCAATTGATCAAGCAATGACTCATAAGTCTGACGTTAAACTTGTGAATGCAAGTCTCTCGGTGGAGAAACGTAGTAATTCAGTTCCAAAATCAGTGAGTAGTGGTGTGGCTGGGGTCCTGAGGAATGGTCTGGACAGTGATCTTGAGTGGGTTAGGGTGGTGCTGACGGCTGATCCAGGTCTAAGAATGGAAAGCATTGCTGATCCAGGAGTCCCAAGCCGAAAGGAACATCGTCGTGTTCCAAGTCTTGTTGCGTTTGAGGAAGTACGGGTGAGTGTTTCTTGATAAGTAACTTGTAGAAGGCAAGTACCTTTTTTTTGCTCAAGTGAAATTTATCTACTGTTTCATTGCTTTTATGAGTTGTTGAAAACTGCTCTGACATTCATTGAGTAGTGTCTCTGCTTGACTTGGCCTGCCAAATAGATCATTCACCGAAACATGCATCTAAGTTTGGGATAGAAATATCAGCTGTTATCAATGCATGTGTTCCTGTTTGATGTCATCATTTCTTAATTAACTCCCTTATTCAGGCTGCTGCAGCAAAGGGCGAGGCACCTCCAGGTCTTCCTCTCAGAGGGGCTGGTCAGGATTCATCAGATTCACAGACTATGGTGATTGCATGTTGATCATAAAATATGGATATTCCATTAGTTGTTTTGTCTTCTAGATGTTGAACATTTTTTATGTGGTTCATCAGGCCTATGGTGGAATGCTGAAAGCAGGTGATGCCTTATCTGGTGAACTTTGGGAGAAACGGCGATTGAGAATTCGTAAAGATTCAATATATGGCAACATACCGGGTTGGGACTTGCGTTCTGTAAGTACTAAGGATAAAGTCGTTCCTTTTATCTTCTGCTGGCGTTTCCTTATAAAGTTTATTTTTCTGCATGAACTTCTTGTGTAGCGATAATGGCTTTGTTTTACGCCATGCTCAATCTTTTTGAACAGAACTCAAAGATTTCTGTCTTTCTTGTCAGATGTATTTATTTGCAAAAGTAGTTGCTGATGCTGAGTCTTCTGTCTTCAATTTTTTTTTTCTCCAACTGCATTTAAAAATTGGTCTATACTTGTTGATACTGAAACTGCGTCATTCTTTGTTATATGACCTTTTTTTGCGGGTTTTTTGTTTGTTTGTTTCTGCCTCTTTGCAGATCATTGTGAAGAGTGGTGATGACTGTAGGCAGGAACATCTTGCGGTGCAACTCATTTCTCACTTTTTTGGTAAGTAATGTATTTTCTCATGTATCGATGCCTGTTAATTTCAAAGTTCTTATTTATTAGGCTATGGCTATGCTTTTATATTTCAAGTTTTTATCTTACATAATAAATAGTAATGATCTTGTTCATGTGCTAGATATATTCCAGGAAGCAGGTCTTCCCCTCTGGTTACGTCCTTATGAAGTCTTGGTTACGTCTTCATACACTGCCCTTATAGAAACAATTCCAGATACGGTAATTATGCTACTTTAATCTGTATTTTGTAATCGATCATGTTTTCGTCTTGGAAAGCGCATACTATAGTATAACCTTCCTCTCCTGCAGGCTTCTATTCATTCTATTAAAAGCAGATACCCTAACATCACAAGCTTGCGTGATTTTTTTGATGCCAAGTTCAAAGAGAACTCTCCAAGTTTTAAGCTTGCCCAGGTAATGTTATCCCCATGTACATCTTATGGTTCAAGTCCACCAGCAAGTTGGCTGTTTTGTTTCAGGAACGTTATTAACTTTCAATCTCTTAAGTATGCTGTCGTTCAAATGCGAGGTGTGGAATCTGCATAAAATGTGTTCTCTAGTCTCTATAATAGACATTGTGCAACGAAGGACCCAATTTTGTTGTTTGATATAGGAGCGTTTCTTGAGAGTGAGAAGTATAGAGCTTGATAGGTCTTATGCAGTTATGCTATTTTCGTATTTCCCTTTTCTGTAGCTATCTTTTCATAAAATTCACAAACATGGTTTATTATATGAAAATAAGCTGCATTTAAGGCTTCTCCACGCATCAATTAGAAGTGTGCGTATAATAGACAATTGTGTAGAATGTCACATTTTGATGTGAATTGTCTTCTGTTGCAGAGGAATTTTGTCGAGAGCATGGCGGGATATTCTTTGGTCTGTTACCTTCTGCAGGTAGATATCCTTCATAACCGTGTCTCTTATTGCATAAGTGCTTTGGAACAAGAACGAAAGGAATCTATAAGTTTAGCACTCTGACCCTCTTCATAAGTTCCATGATGGTTTGTTCTGACGTTTCATTGCTCGTGATGTCCATGGTGTGATTGTCTTCTCGTTTAGGTAAAAGACCGTCATAACGGAAACCTTCTGATGGATGAAGAAGGTCACATTATACACATTGATTTCGGCTTTATGCTCTCAAATTCTCCTGGAGGCGTGAACTTTGAGAGTGCCCCATTTAAGCTAACCCGTGAACTTCTCGAGGTAAGACGCATGTTCTCGGTCTCATATACTCGCCTCTTTGAAGCAGTTAAACATTAGTATTAGTATTATTTTAAACTCGAAAGCACTTGCATATAGGTAATGGATTCTGATGCCGAGGGGGTTCCAAGCGAGTTCTTTGACTATTTCAAGGTAAGGCTCTTTTGTTTGCTCTTCTCGGACTTCTGAGTCACTTAAAGTCACTTAAAGGCTCAATGGTACACTGTTTTAGGTGCTATGCATTCAAGGATTCTTAACATGTAGAAAACATGCAGAACGGATTATTCTTCTAGTCGAAATGTTACAGGTATCATCATTATCTGAGTTATTATTTGCTATTACTATAGACTTCTCAATATCGAGAGAACTGTTATGAGTTTTTTTTTTGTTTAGAGAGAGAACTGTTATGAGTTTATGAAGTCATTAAATAATTTCCTGGCTGAATAATTTGCATTTTTTTAATTAAAAAATCAGGATTCGGGGTTTCCTTGCTTCAAAGGTGGTACTACACGCACCATTCAGAATCTAAGAAAAAGGTTCCATCTAAGTTTAACTGAAGAGGTAAATTACATGTCTCCTTTTTATTCTACCAATTTCAACACCATTCATAGGATAATGTCTCATGTCTCCAATCACAACTGTTTCCTTTTCTTTCTTTCTGTTTTATTGCCATAACCAGCAATGCGTCTCTCTGGTGCTCTCTCTAATCAGCAGTAGCTTAGATGCTTGGCGAACTCGACAATACGATTACTACCAAAGGGTCTTGAATGGAATCTTATGATGTTAACTATTTGCAAAAGTTTGATCTCATTCCTGAATCAACCTGATCAGACGCCAAACATGTATATTAATGTGGGTTTGTTGTTCTCTACGCTCCTTTCAAAACTATAGTATCAGAGACATTCGAGCTTGAAAGAACTCTTGAGTGTGGTGTTTGAGAGAGGAAAGAAGAAGAAACCAATTACACGATATATACAGTATATAGAGTGAGATTGTGTGAAATTTGTATAGAATATAGTTTTTGTAGAGGTCTGATTCTTATGTATCTATAAAAGAGCAGGCAAATTCAAAAGTTTCTCCACCTTCTCAAACCCTTTCAAGAACTACATCTAAGTTTTGTTTGGTCTCTATTTTTACTCTTTTTCTTATACTTTTAGATTAAGTAAATAGCTTGCTTCTGTTATTGGTTATTGGTTTTATTGATGTGAAAAGAAAAATATGAGGAAGACGTGATATTTGTATTATGTATTTATGTGTATCTTTTGCTACAGATATTAAGGTAGAGGATTATGTTTCACACTTTCACTCTTTCTCCATTTCGTCATTTAAATTTTAAAAAATGATGTACATACTGTCACATTGGTTCCAAAGTCTAAACTATTCTTTCTAGATTCTCACATGTGCACCCAAAAAAGAAAAATTATTCTTTTATTGTTTTACAAAGTGCAGAGAAAAATATTGAATCGGGAAAGATAGGCTGAAAAAAGGGACTTTGAAAATGTTTAAACAAAAGGAGTAAAAAAAACAGAAAATTGACGGCCTTGTAAGTTGTAAGGCTTTGATTAAAAACAGTTGGGCCCACCAGTATCTTAGTAAACGCCTAGGGTCCGGAGCTCCGTCGTATATAATACGCGTAAGTGCTGGCTTTTCTTTCACGCCACTCTCTCTAATCTCTACCTCTCTCGCTCGCCTCCCCTTGCGCCGACCGTCCTCTCCACTGTCTAGTTTTTCCCTCTCTCCGGGTACGAGATTCCTCCCTGTTTCTGATTCTGATTCTGTTCCGCCGTTTTCTGTATGGTGATTTTGTGTTTCCGCTCTGAATCGTCGGTTTTTAATCCCTGAATTTGGTTCTTTGTCTCTTTTGATCTTGATCTGAAATTCTGGAATTGATTCATTTTTTTAGGGTTTTTCTCTTTTTGGGGTTTTGCTCGTTTGATGACTTTTGTCTTTAAAAGTTCTGTTTCTAATACCAAATTTCGTTTGACATCTGCTGTCTCTTTTCGTTTCAAGTTGGTCGTGTAGTTCAATTCTTCTTCTTTTTTTTGTTTGTTTCAATGTCTAAATAGCAGGCTTTACGTTGTACACCAGATGTCTGTTGATCTCTGCAAGAAGAATCCATCTTTTCTTTGGTGCGACTGTGGTTATATGAGCAGGGGGAGGTTGTGGTGCTTTCAGATAATCTTGTTCAGGCACTGGACTTAATCGTCCTCTCACCTTCTCTACTTCTCTCTTCTCTTCTTTTCTCTTCTTCCTCGCTTCTCTCCAACTTTCCGTTTGATTTGATTCCAAAGTTTTCGTTTGTGTTACTGTGATATTGAAGAAAAAAGTTCCTTTCTCTGCTCGAGAAACTCCCACTTTACTGGCTAGGAGTTTTCCGTAGCAGACTGCTAGTTTTCCCCTTTGGATTCGCCAATGGGGAAAACTCAGCTTGCCCCTGGCTTTCGGTTTCATCCGACTGATGTCGAGCTCGTGAAATATTACTTGAAGAGGAAAGTGTTGGGAAAAAAGCTCCTCGTCGATGCAATTGCTGAACTTGACATTTACAAGTTCGAACCACCTGATTTACCTGGTAATCCAATCTTCTCCTTCTTCTGTTACCAAGATTGTTCAAGTTTTAGGATTGTTTCTTCATTCTCTGTTACTTATGAGTCTTACTCTTGACAGATAAGTCCTACATTAGGTGTGGGGATCTCAAGTGGCACTTCTTCTGTCCGAGAGAAATGAAGTATTCAACTGGAGTTAGGGCGAACCGTGCAACTGAGTGTGGTTACTGGAAGACCACTGGCAAGGAGAGAGCCGTTCTGTGCAATGCTGAAGTTGTGGGAAAGATTAAAACTCTGGTTTATCACTTTGGCAAGTCCCCTCGTGGGGAGCGCACTGATTGGGTTATGCATGAGTACCGTCTTGAAGACAAGGTGCTCACTCAGAAGAATATCCCTCAGGTAACAACACTAATTTGAAAATGGCTATATGATTACAAATGTACATTCCTGTACTTTAATGCATGGCTGATTTTGTTTCCATCGATCCTTGTTACCCTCTTATATATTGTTTCCTTATTGCTTGATTTTGATAATTAATTAGTTCTCATCCATGTCATGTAAGCTTACATCACTCTTTCGTTTACTGTGTGTTTGGGCTGCAGGACACTTATGTGCTGTGTGTTCTATTCAAGAAAGATGGACCGGGACCTAGAAATGGAGCCCAGTATGGAGCTCCGTTTAAGGAAGAGGACTGGAGTGATGAGGAACAACACATTGATGTTGCTGCGACCAACAATCCCGCAAACCTCGGTGTGACTAACCAAGAAACCAGTCTGGTTGTGGGGTCCTCGCATGGCCCTAATAAAGATTGTTTCGGTGGCATGATCTCTGAATCTTGCGTCTCTGACTTCCTACCAGCTGCAGCTACTACCAGCGAGCTTCATCATCTGATGAATGATGCGGCTAACACTCCTGTTTCTGCTGCGCCACTTCTTGATTCTAATAACACCGCCTCTCTGGCACAGAGCCGTCAAGCTCCCAGCACCGATGATGACATATATTCAATGTTGGATCTCTTTGTCGACGAGGATGAGTACTTGCGTTTCAATGTACCCAACAACAATGAGGTATATATTTGGCATTCTTCCTATTATGGCTTATTCTTACGATAGCTAGTGTGAATCATTGCGTGCTAGTCTAGTGAAGCAACTAAGGAACCATTGAGTTAAATGAATAATTTCTTGCTTATCATTTTGCAGGTGAGACACGATCCAAATGTTTCAGCTCCAGTTTTCTTGGAAGAGGGAGGAGACATATTCAGCAGCCTACCAGACTTCAGCAACATGCATAATAACAACGGCATGCCAATGATACCCTCTTACGACCTAGTTGAGAACTCGGAGTTATACTTGGAGCTTCAGGATCTCACTGCTCCATTAGCACCTCCTCAGCTAAGGAATGTCAATGTCTCGAGTGATCAAGGCCTCTTTGATTTCTCCACTCCTGCTACTAATGATGATGATCCCTACGGGTTTTACTCGTCCATGGGACATGGACCACACATTTGATAAAAAAGTTTTGAATCCTTGGAATCTTCTTCCGCTCAGTTCGGCCTCTCCTCGTCTTCTCAAATCGACAGAAGCTTTTCAGACAGACCATAACAATGAGCACCCTTGTATATTTATTTCTGAAATTTTCTCGTCTTTTATTTCTTATTTTCATCATCTCTTCCTGTCGCAAAACCTCCCTTGTCACATTCGCTGGATTCATTCAAGAATGCTATTGGATTTTCAATTTTTGTGATTTTTGACTCGTTTCTGCTTTGTTTTAGCCTCACGTCGTCGTTTGGCTAGTTTCAATTGTTTGTTAACAAATTTAACTTTACTTGGAAGACCCAACTCGATCACGAAGGGTTTCTGATTCTGTGGGCTTTCTTCTTTGGATTGGGCTTGAATGGGCTTTCTTCCATTCATAATGAAGGCCCAGTCTTTGCTCATTGCTTAGTCTTCTTCCCCAACAGCATCATTGGTCTCGGGAGCAGAAGCATTGGATGAGTTTCTCTCCTATAGACAGATTTTGAATTCCGATTTGAGTTCTCTTCTCTCAACCTTGGCCAATTTCCCCTTTCCCGTTTTCTCACTACTGAATTGTTCGGAGATTTGAAGTTTAATTTGACGTCGATTGTACGAATCCGAATCCGGGTGGTGATCGTCGATGGAGAACACAGACGTCTTCCCCGGGCTGCATGACTTTCTGGAGCGGATGCGTAAACCCTCCGCCGGCGATTTCGTCAAATCAATCAAAAGGTTCTCTCTCTAGCTGAAGAAGATATGCATAGTGTTTGTGTTTTTAGGTCTGAGCTAGATTCTTAGTGATTTGAGAGTTGCCTCTTTTCTTTCCGGAATGAATAGCTATGTTGGATCTGAGTCGTTGTCACGATCGTATTAACTTAGATAATTTGCTGTAGACTGTAAGTGATTCGCTAGAAACGAAAAGCAGATTTCTTAAGAGCTTAGATCTTAATTCCGCTGAACTTCCATAGTCTATCATCGTTGGTCTCTGCGATTTCTGTTTGCCGTCTAAGTTGAGCAACTCTTCATGCTGCAGTTTCATAGTTTCATTCTCGAACAATGCGCCAGACCCAGAAAAAGACTGTGACGCGGTTCAGGAGTTCTTTACCAAGATGGAGGCTGCGTTCAAGGCTCATCCACTTTGGTCCGGTTGTTCTGAGGAGGAGTTGGATAGTGCCGGTGATGTGAGTATATCAATTATTCTTCTTCCTTTTCCGTCTGGATTCTCTCTATCTCTTTCCTCCCTTACTCATTGCTGCGTTTGTGTAATACACAGGGACTAGAGAAGTATGTCATGACAAAGCTATTTACCAGGGTATTTGCATCAAACGCCGAGGACGTTATCTCTGATGAGAAACTCTTTCAGAAGATGTCATTGGTTCAACAGTTCATTTCTCCTGAAAGCTTGGATATACAACCAACTTTTCAAAACGAAACATCATGGCTGGTGAGCTGATTTAAGTCACATCTAGCTCTCGATACTGTAAACTATTTTTCTTAATGTAATAATAATGGTTCTATGTTTCTGATATCTCTCCTTTTTGGCAGTTAGCTCAAAAAGAGCTCCAGAAGATTAATATGTACAAAGCTCCTCGTGATAAGCTTATGTGTATCCTTAGCTGCTGCAAAGTGATAAACAACTTACTGCTAAATGCCTCAATTGCTTCAAAGGAGAATGCACCTGGAGCGGACGAATTTCTTCCTGTTCTCATATATGTTACCATTAAGGTATGTGAATGATTGAAAAATTTATGTCGTACTCTTATGCTTGGATTGTGCAACTACATTCACTTATGATCATTATGTACTCTGTTTTTCTTCCAGGCTAACCCTCCACAGTTTCACTCAAACTTGTTGTATATACAAAGATATAGGCGTCAATCTAAACTGGTTGGTGAAGCTGCCTACTTCTTCACAAACTTACTCTCTGCAGAGTCTTTCATCTCAAATATTGATGCCAAATCCCTTTCGATGGATGAAGCTGACTTTGAAAAGAAAATGGAATCTGCACGGGCGCGTCTTTCTGGACTGGGAAGCCAGTCTTATCAGATTGATCACGGTGCTGCACCACCCTCTCGTGTTGAACCCATTGCTCATAACACTACTAAGAGGGAAAACACGATTCTGCAATCAAAATCGTCTGATAGTCTTTCTGGTGGGACCAATGAACCACTGAATCCAAACAGTGAAATGCCGATAAAGAAAGCTGAATCCGTTTCGGATTTGGAAAGTAAGGGTGCTGCGACACTTTTGAACGATAGCAGCGAGGCAAGCAAAGTCTTTAAAGAATATCCTTACGTATTTGCGAGTGCTGGTGATTTAAGGATAGGAGACGTTGAAGGCTTGCTAAATAGTTATAAAGAGCTCGTTTTCAAATATGTTTGCCTCTCCAAAGGCTTGGGTGATGCAAAATCTCTAGCTCCATCCAGTTCACCCTTGCAGGCGTCTAATAATGATTCTGAAGATCATACAACATTGTCTTCAGATCTTCAAACGAAAAGCGAAACGGACAGGAGTGTCGATGATTTGATCCGAGCTCTACAAGGTGAGGGAGACAATGTTCATAAGCTCTCAGATGTAAAACCTGGGGAATTCGGTGAAACTTTTGTACAAGGAAGAGCTGAAGAACTTGATCCCAAGGTTCAAGAAGAAGCAGATACCGTAGACACTGATTTGAAGAAGCAAAGTGCAGAGAAAGAGGGTGACAGTTCTAGTTCCAAACCGGCAGAGGATGATGATGACGTTGATTCCAAACATCTAGTTTCAGAAGATCAGAATGACACTTCACGGTGATCGGTCTCTTGTATTGGATTAGTCCTTGTTCAGAAGAAGCAGAGGCCAGAGCATAAAACTTGCAGCTTTGCGTTTTGATGATTGACTAAGAGGCTGCATCTTCTGGGAAACAGTAGAAGCCAAATCGTAATTTTACATTCTCTGATCACATTTTTGTTTTGATCGAAGGACATGATGTCTCGGATGTGTTGTGCTTATTCTTCTTTTAGTAAAAATGTGTTGTGACTTTGTTAATTGATATAGTTCCACTATTATTATAATTTTAATAATCCGACAAATTGAATACAACAATCTGGTTTTATCCGAGATGAATTGAAAACCAAGATAAGCCAGAAGGGTGTTTTTGTAATTTCTAAAACTCCGTTGTCAAACGACAGAGAGGGAGGGAGACAGAGCCTAGCGGCGAGTATGGAAGGGATTGGACTGCGAAGTTGCGGAGAGGAGATTCTCCGTCTCGGATTTATGGTACGCCGTGGTGTCTGCGGCCGTTTTCCGATCATGAGGCGAGCTATGGAGATAAAGATGAGAGACCGTAGCAAGAACAGGAAACCATTGCAGAGAGGTCGGATGCTCAGTATCGAAGCGATTCAAGCGGTTCAAGCCCTGAAGCGAGCCAATCCTCCTCCATCTCCTCCTCCTTGTTCCACGTCCCCGTCTTCCCCAGCGATGTTGGATCGCGTAATCGTTTCTAAATTCCGTCGGCTCTTGAAATTTGATATGGTCGCCGTTCTTCGGGAACTATTACGCCAGAACGAGTGCTCTCTAGCTCTCAAGGTTCGTCTCTCTCTCACTCTCACTCTCACTCTCACTCTCACTCTCACTATCTCCATCATGTTTCTGCTGTGTTCTAGTATCTCAATTTTGGTATCGTTTTTAGGTTTTTGAAGAGATTCGAAAGGAGTATTGGTACAAGCCTCATGTGAGATTGTACGCAGATATGATCACGGTAGTGGCGGATAATAGTTTGTTCGAAGAGGTCAATAATCTTTACTCCACTATGAAATCAGAGAATGGATTAATGGCCGACATTGAAGGCTTCAACACTCTCTTGGTGATTCTTCTGAGTCATAAGCTGTTTGATCTTGTCATGGACTGCTACACCTTTATGCAGTCAACAGGGTATGAGCCTGATAGGTCTTCCTTCAAAATTCTAGTCCAAGGTCTTGAATCCAATGGCGAAATGGGTTTATCGGCTATTGTTAGGCAGGATGCTCATGAGTATTATGGAGAATCACTCGAGTTTATCGAAGAGGATGAAGAAATCTCTAGTGGGACTAGTGTGTTGATCTAACAATGGAGCAAAAAAGTTGAGAGATTGGAGCTTAATAGCCTGAAACTGACCATACCAATGCGTATCTAAGGCTAGCCAAACCATATGATGTAGGCTTGTAAGTTGTAACATAGGAATGTTACCGACTATGCGATTTTGGATTGCACCAAACAAAGATATTAAAGTTGAATTTACTCAAGTCTATGGAGACAATTAACAAGTCCACAACTACTTGTTGGTTATAAAAATTACATTTGAGTATTCAAAGCTTGGAGTATCGGAAAGTGTATCATTTCTAAGTGTTAAACATTGTGGAATTAAGTTCAAAAAAAAAAAAAAAACATTGTGGAATTACTTTGAAGATTGTAAATTTTGCTGAGTAGTTTTACTTTTTGAGATTAAGATCAGATACAAATAATATACACAAAAATTTCATTCAAAATAAGAAGAAGGGATTACAAGTTTGTTGTATGTTATCATTATTTTTAGGAAAAAAATTGAGGAATTTAGTTGTAAAAAAAAAAAAATTGAGGAATTTTGTGATAGGAGTTCATACGTCCGCCCCTAACTACGATTGTACAACTGACAATATAATGATGACTTAAGATACGACTGGCGCATTAAAAAATACGAATTTGAATTATAAATTTTATTTTTGGACTTCTAATATATCGATAGTATAAGCCATAAGATTTACTACGAAAAAGAACAATAATGAATTAAAAATCCAAATCGGCATAGAAAAAAATACGGTATACAAAAACTAATGATTACTAAACTATTTTCAAGTCTATTTAAATGAAACATAACATTACTCATAAATTTTAAACATAACATTATATGAGATTCTTTGATTCTCAAATAATCATCGGATATAATGAAATTATTATTTTTTTGTCCTAAAAACACACATGCTATGAGTTTCCATTCTACTTTTATGTTTTATATGCAACTTCATAAAGATCATCATAGTATTTTAACAAAAACGATTTCAGTATATTATTTTAGGGTCTTTGATTGTTTTCATTAATAGTTAACATTTAAACATTAACATTATAATTTGTAATCTCAAATCCAACATGAGTTCGACAATTATTCATATCATAAGTTTAGATACTTGATGTTGACAAAACAAATAGAATCTTAGATACGAGCAGTTTATGATTTGGATTGTATTTTCAATACTAAATCTTTGGGAATGTAATTACATAATCATTTTCTAATTATGATTTGAGTTATGATGGTTAGTCTAAGTTTAAGAGGACTGAAGTCTTGCAAATCAGTAGTATTTGGTTAGAAATTATAAACCGAATAAAATCAAATTATAAGACTGGTAGTATTTCTCTTTTTTCACAATATAAATATATTGGAAACTTTATCAATTAATTTTTGATAAATTAATAAATTTTATAAATTAATAATTTTTTTTTTAATTTTAAATTGAGTTGGTTCAAAATATAATATAAATTGATAAAATAATAAAAAAATATTTTTTAAAAAAATCTATACATATACGATTTATTAATATCATAAATTAATAATTATCATAAACTAATTATTATTATAAAAATAATCGTATATAAATATATGACTATGATAAGTTATTAATATATAAATATGTAATTGTTTGTTTTTATCAAAATTGAAATAATATTATAATTCATTTATAATTTAAAAGTGAAATGTTTAAAACGACATTTTCATGGTGTTTTTTAAAAAACGCCGAGGAATTTTGTGAGAGTCTTCAAGTCTTACACCAAAAACGACGTCGTGGCATACGGTGTTCGTTTAAGAAATGGTTTATTCGTGAGAGCTTTTTTCTATCTGGCTAGTGGCTGAACAAAATGGAGGCTTCACGGAGCGACGACCCCAATCTGAACCCTAATAACAACCGGAGTTCGAATCCGAACCCTTTATCTTCGATAATCCCTTCCGCGCAGGTTTGGCCAACCATCGATGGTCCGTTGGGCTTAACGGAGGAAGCATCGGTGGATTACGCTCGTCGATTCTACAATTTCGGATTCGCTCTCTTGCCGTGGCTCTGGGCTGTGAATTGCTTCTACTTCTGGCCGGTTCTCCGTCACTCTCGGGCCTTCCCTCAAACCCGTGGTTGTAAGTACTCTGATTATTTACAGATAACGTTTCGATTATGTTTTTCTCTTTCCGATCTTTCGTATCTCGTGAATTTGGGTTCATCCTCCATCTTACATTGGGATCTTTTGATCTGGCATTAGATCTTCTGAAATCGCACAGTCTTGCTCATTGTTATGGATCAGTATTGTAGTGGCTATTGATTTGCCAGTATTCAACCTTGTTGTTATTGAATTGCGAGTGTCAATACTCAAACTACCTTGTATGCACGGATACATGACAAGTCTAAGCATTGTGTATTGGCCTACTCACGTTTAAATCTTATGAACTTCGATAGTTAGTGTGAATGATAATTTAGTAGCTAATGAGGTTATTTGAAAGTTATAGGTGTTCTCTGTTTATACATTGTTTGATCTTAGAGACACTATTCTTAGGATTGTGAAATCTTTCCCTCTGTTCATGACTGACTTTGGATTGCTATTGCCCAATGTGAATTCAGAAAGGAAATGATGACCATTCTTGTTTTGAGTTATATATCTTTACTTTCGATTAAAGTTGATTCAAACTTTTGTATCTCTTTGTCTATTTTTTAGATATGAAATCTTCTGCATTCTCCTCTCTTACACCTTTGAAATCTTGTGCGGTTTGTAGATGTTGTTAGGTCGGCAATTGGCTTCAGTGTCTTCACGGCTCTTCTTTCAGCGTGGGCATTGACATTCTCGATAGGAGGAGAACAGCTCTTTGGCCCTGTTTGGGATAAGCTGGTTATGTACAATGTCGCTGATCGTCTCGGCTTGTCTGGCTTGGCCTAGCTCTTACCGGGGAAAAGGGGAGATGTCACTGTTACTTTGTCCATTCCCTTCTTTATGTTTTGAAATGCTGAGCTTTGCTTAACGAAAATTGAGGAGATCCATGTTGTGAATATAAGCTGGCTTGGATCTCAAGAGATATGGTTAGTTTCATTATGACTGGTGCTCTGTTAAATGTTGGATTTTGGAAATATTGACTTGTAAAATGTCTGTTAAGCTCCAAAGTTAAATTGAATGAATATAATGATAGGCTATATAAGTCAAGATACCAGACGGGTGCTTGGTGAATCTTTGTAAAGTTGTAACCAGTTTGGTCTTTAGGAAGCATTTTATTTAGTGGGCCATTAAATAGTAACCTGATGGGCACATGTTTGTCTGTCTTTGCCTCGTTCAGTCTTCTTATTGCGTTAGCGTTTGACGATGGCCGCGATCGCGGTTCCCAGATTCCACCACTTTAAAAATTAAGGAATCAATGTCTTCGGGAAACACACTCAACAACTACACTCTAAACAACTTTTCCTCTCTCTCACTCTCTCTACAAACGCTACACATAATCTTCTTCGTGCCGCGTTGGGTCGATTTTCTCCTAGCAAAGTTTTTCTTCGATCGATTTCTTAAACAAAATGGCTCATTTTTTGAAATCATCGTCATCGAAATCGGCTTTACTCAACATTCTGAAACATAACCTCGCTTTGGTTACTCCGGCTCGTCGTCATCTCCGCCAAAGCCTTCCTCCGAGTATTCGAGCATCACAGAATCCAATCAGTCGTTTGTGTAACACCATGGCAGAGAAGCTCTCGAGTATTGGTTTTCACGAAGACGCCAATAATCAGGTGCATGCACTCTTACCGATTCCGATTGCTCCGTTACAAATCTGCTCGGTGTCTTCGAGATGATTCCATGACTTTGATACTCTTTTGATTGTTTGAGTGAATATGGAATCTACTTTTTGTTTTTCGCTTTTTTGTTTCTCTGGGTCCACCAAATCGTTTCGTAATACCATTTTCCCCTGAATTTAATCATTGCGTTGACATTTTATATACCTCTGGTTTTGAATTACAACACCTCAATGATATAGATCATACAAATTTGTGTTGATATTGTTTTCCCGTTTCATAAATGTTCAGGAGGTAATGGATTTTCCTGGAGGAAAAGTAGCTTTCACACATGAGATTCATTTCATATCAGAATCCAGTCAAGAGCGTGTACCTTGCTACCGTGTTCTTGATGACAATGGCCAACAAATCACTAACAGCCATTTCGTTCAGGTTACTACTACATTGGTGAATTCTCATTACACGACTTGTAAAGATTTGACAAAAAACCAAGTGAGGTTCTTCTTCGTGTGTAGGTCAGCGAGGAAGTAGCGGTGAAGATGTATAGCGATATGGTTACTCTTCAAATAATGGATAACATATTCTACGAAGCTCAAAGACAAGGGAGACTTTCCTTTTACGCCACCACGATCGGAGAAGAAGCCATTAATATTGCATCTGCTGCAGCTCTCACCCCTGAAGATGTTATCTTTCCTCAGGTTTTGATTCATAAATGAACACTGACCATTTTGAAACGAAAACGTTACTTAGCCTGATAAATTGGGGCGTCTGCAGTACAGAGAGCCCGGTCTTCTACTATGGCGTGGTTTCACGCTTCAAGAGTTTGCGAACCAGTGTTTCGGGAACAAATCTGATTATGGAAAAGGCAGGCAAATGCCAGTTCACTATGGCTCTAACAAGCTCAATTACTTTACCGTTTCAGCCACAATCGCGTATTGCTTTGACATCTCAATTCTTACTCAACCGATTTTATATTTTTACAATTTCTCCTTTTATGTTGCTGATCGTTACATTTTGTCTGCAGTACGCAGTTACCAAATGCGGTTGGTGCTGCTTATTCCTTAAAGATGGACAAGAAGGATGCATGTGTAGTCACATTTTTTGGCGATGGTGGCTCTAGTGAGGTGAAGTTAAAAGTTCTTTAAAGTCAGATTTTGACTTTTTATCAGAATTCAGAACGTACATCATTCATGAGCCTATTAGATTTTATGTATCACAATGATTACAGAAACTGAAAAGAGATTTTTTTTTTTGTTTGGTAGGGAGATTTTCATGGTGCATTGAATTTGGCAGCAGTTATGGAAGCACCTGTTTTGTTTATCTGCCGGAACAATGGATGGGCAATCAGTACTCCCACCTCAGATCAGTTCCGAAGTAAACTCTGTTTTCTTTTCCTCTTTTCCTCTGGATGATTTAATTCGCCTCTTTTGGATTTTACAATACTTCTGCGAAACAGGTGATGGTGTAGTGGTGAAAGGCCGTGCTTATGGAATTCGAAGTATACGTGTGGATGGAAATGATGCGCTTGCTATGTACAGTGCGGTGCATGCTGCTCGCGAGATGGCAATTACAGAACAGAGGCCAATCTTGATCGAGGTAGCTTTTGGTGTTGATATTACATATAACATCAAACAACTTCAAATCATATTTTTTGTTTGTCTTGCGTGTTAGGCCTTAACGTACCGTGTAGGACACCATTCAACATCAGATGATTCCACTAGGTACCGCTCTGCAGATGAGATAGAGTGGTGGAGCAAAGCAAGAAACCCACTGTCTAGGTTTAGGACATGGATTGAAAGCAATGGCTGGTGGAGCGATGAAGCCGAATCTGATCTAAGAAGCAGAATCAAGAAAGAGGTAACAAAATAACCTGGATCAGGATCACTGCATTAAAAAACTTGACTTTGGATGTATGATCCGATCCTCTTTCTTCTTGTAAACAGATGTTAGAAGCTCTCCGGGTTGCAGAGAAGTCCAAGAAACCGAATCTGAAGAACATGTTCTCGGATGTCTACGACGTTCCTCCTCCTAACCTCAAGGAACAGGAACTTGTGGTGAGGCAGACGATCAAAAGTCACCCGCAAGATTACCCATCAGATGTTCCTTTTTAGGTCAAATTAAATGCTCTATGTAATAAAAATGTAAAATATTATCTTCATTGCGAATCCAAGTCTTTTATTGAAATGTAGATCATTTTTATTCAAAAGCATACAACTTTTTTAATAGAACACAAACTTGTTCAGATTCAAAGAAAATAAAAACATTGCAAAAAAAACAAAGGACGATTGGTGTTGAAGATTGATGTTATGACCTGTAATTATAAACGAAGATTTGGTGGAAACATGCGTTTACATTTTCTACGATGTTCCTCCTCCTAATCTCAAGGAAGAGGAACTTGTGGTGAGGCAGACGATCATAAGTCACCCACAAGATTACCCATCAGATGTTCCTCTTTAGGTCAAATTAAATGCTTTATGTAATAAAATGTAAAAGATTATCTTCATTGTGAATCCCAACTAATACGATAAAGCAAAGTATAACATCATACATTACTTTAAAAATATTTGGATAATTACTTTCGAGTTCCAACTAATACTATATAATATTTCATAGAGGTTTAATTATGTAACTTATCGCAATGATCGTCCCACATGTAAACAGAAGAATAACAACGCCAAATAGAATGAATGAAAAGCTAATGGTATAACAATGGTGCAGACAATAGCCTATAAGTAGGGAGGAGCAGATAGATACAGTTGTAAACACAATTACAACAGAGCGGTTAACTTATGATGTGATGGCGTTGGCGGAGATTGCTGAGATGTAGATGCCTCAGATGCAGTGGGCTTAGTTGAACTGTTGCTATAAAGGAAAAAAAGAAGATTTGATTAAATCATACAACAATTTGAGAGAAATTATATGTATAACAAAAGAACACTTACAGATTGATGAGACTGATGTAATTCGTTAACAAAATGTTCATTACTAGTGCAAAAACCCTTGCGAATCTGCCACAAACTCCTACTTTTGACTATGACTATGGACATCGACATTCACACTTCTGATTTATTATTACAATATATATTTATAGTATAGTTATTATTAATATATTTTTGAATTTTCTAGAAGTTGCAACATATTCGTAAAAACATCAGAAGAAAAAATATTTAAATAAAATTAATATATGAGATCGTATATATATAAATTACAACTATTATTTTTCTTCGTCAACAGCGGTAAGAAGAACAATTGCTCTGTGCCAATGTTTAGGGAAGCAAAAAAATAAAAACTTAAAATATATATTTTTGGAATCGAATTAATTTCACTGCAAATAGTCATAAAAAACCATCATTCTAATACTAAATATAGCATACCAAGAAAAAGAAAAAACAAGTAGTTTAACCAAATAAAAAAAAAACAGTTTTACTATTTACTTGTTGCATTTAGAAGGTTACTCCAAGTTGTTACAACTCACAACTTCTCTAGTTCTTCATGAACTCACACTATTGCTTTTACGAGACTCCGCCCAGTTACCCTCCTCCGCCAAGTGGTGATGAAGTTCATCAGTATATCCAGTCGATTTGTGCAGTCATTGGAGTGATCTTCGGTGCAATCATGGTATACTTTACGATACACATGTGGTGTATCAAGTCCGAGGAATGTGCTGATCGTTGACAGGATTTTTTTTTTTTTTTTTTTTTTAAATATTAGGATTGTATTTTTTTGTTTGACGACGAACATTAGTATTATCTATTCAGTTGTTATTCTAATTCTCTAGCTCTCTATAAACGGTTATATGTTTATATGTTATTCATAAATAATTATACTAACGGTTATATGTCATATTATTAACTTATTTTAATAAGAAACATTTGTTAACTAATTATTGGTATAAAGTTGTTATGTTAATTATGTTATGTAAGAAAAATAGTCGTATTAATACAATTGTTATATTAAAAAAAAGTAATTATTATTATTAACTATGCTATTGCATTGATGCTATCATCATAATTATTATCAAAATCTGGAGAGGAAAGTAAATAAAAAAATAGTATTAATAGTAATAAAATTAAAAAACATAAAGACAATAAATACTTTATACAATCAACAACACTAATAAAAGAAAATGTCAGCGGTTAAAATTTAATTTCAATATTATTTGTTTTCATTCATTAGTATATTTCTCTTAGAATATTTCAATTAATCCACAAAAGTGAAAATTCCGAAGCAGCTTACAAATCGCTTACAAATCACTATATTCTTACAAATCGCTTACAAATCGCTTACAAATCTCTTACAAATCTCTTACAAATCGCTTACAAATCGCTTACAAATCGCTTATAAATCGCTTACAAATCGCTTTAATGGCCAAAATTCCGAAGCAGCTTACAAATAGCTTTATTCTTAACAATCTGTAAGTTCTCTTGCTTGAGATGGCCACTTTCAAAAATTAGTTTGAAGATTTTAATAACCAATATTTATTCAGACTACCACATCCTCCTAAAACGGTTCCACAAGAAATCAGCTAAACACATTGCTCATATACAATATCACCACACGTCCAGTGCATTACTAATACAAAAACCTATGTGAATTTGCCACAAACTCCTCCTTTTGACTATGACTATGGACATCGAGATGACTATCTAGATAGTGACACTCTGCCCAATGACCTTCCACATGACACTCCGCCTAGTGACATTCCACATACTTACACTCCGCCAAGTGATGAAGGTCATAAGAGAGACCAATTCTGAGCTTGCGCCATCAATGGCAGACGGAACATAGCAGAAGAAAAAATAAGAGGGAGAAAACCCTAAAATTGAAATCGAATTGCTTTCCCCGAGAAAGCTGAAAACTTTTTTCATACCCAATACTTAGCTTGGCCTTCTTCTTAAAAAAGTGTATTTTTCTCTCTCTATTTCCAAGAAATATGGTGGTCATGATTAGTAAACAAGAGAATGCTTGTTCCAGGACTCTGGAAAGTTTGTATATTTTCAAGCTCTCTCTCTTTGCCATAAAAAGAAAACTCTAAGCTTGCAAATCCCCAGTCTTGGGTATTTTAGTGAGAAAAAGATGTGAAATTTAAAATAATAATTTTCATTGAGTGTACATATGAAACTATTTGACTGATTCCATCGATAGATCTCATTCTTCAAAACAACATAACTTGTTATCATAAACCTCAACCTTCATCTTGAATCTTGATACACACCTCGAATCAAGAATAATGATTAGGTTCATGAACATCGCGTTAATTCAATTCTTGATCGTTTTGTTTGCGGCAAATGTCTTGGAAGCCACGGAACTGAATGTAATGGACAAATGCTGGAGACCAAACCCGCATTGGCGTAGAAGCCGCAATCAGCTGGCGCGGTGTTCGGTCGGATTTGTCAGAAAAATGATGGGAAATATCGGAAAAGGAGTCACACAATACAAAGTAACCGACCCTTCTGATGATCCTTTAGACCCTAAACCTGGAACCCTAAGATCCGGAGCAACGCTCGTCAAAGGTAAAAAATGGATTACATTCAAAAGAAACATGAAGATCAATCTTCATAAACCATTACTAATCAGCAGCTTCACGACACTCGACGGTCGTGGTGTGAGCGTTCACATCTTGGGTCCGGCTTGTCTCATAGTCTACAAAGCTACCGATGTGATCATTCATGGGCTTAAGAACCATGATTGTAAAGCTCACCCACCAAGCTCAATGATGGGACCAGACTCACAGATCTTTCAACTTGGACAAGTGGACGGAGACGCGATCAGGCTAGTCACGGCTAAGAAAGTGTGGATCGACCACAACATGCTCTATGATTGCGAAGACGGTCTGTTAGACGTCACAAGAGGGAGTACTGACGTCACAGTGTCGAACAATTGGTTTACGAACCAGGACAAGGTCATGCTTCTTGGACATGATGATGGCTATGTAAGAGACAAAGACATGAGAGTCACTGTTGTGTTTAACCACTTTGGTCCTAATTGCAATCAGAGAATGCCAAGGTATATAAAAAATCGAAACTTTCATGCATGTACTGTTGTTTGAAGTTCTTATATTGATGGACTATGTGAAATATGCAGAGTGCGATATGGATATGCTCATGTTGCAAATAACTATTACCAAGGATGGACCCAATAGGCAATTGGAGGAAGCATGAGCCCTCGCGTGAAAAGCGAATCAAACTATTTTGTCGCACCAAAATCCGGATGCAAAGAGGTGCATTTCACAATCGTAATCACGAAACATGAAAGGCCTAACACATTTTCTTCTCATCTAACATTCGAGTCTGTACTTTGGTTGTAATTTGGAAGAAACATAGCAAAGGAGATCAAATGCAATGAAAATTTTATATTCTTATAATTTCTTTTTTTTTATGTTGCTGATTGTATATTTTGTCTCGAGAACGCAATTACCAAATGCGGTTGGTGCTGCGTATTCCTTAAAGATGGACAAGAAGGATGCATGTGCAGTCACATTTTTTGGCGATGGTGGCTCTAGTGAGGTGAATGTTAGGATCTGAGACCCTCAAAACGTCGAATTTTCCTGAGATAGACCCGCACAAACCAAGAGAGAGATATTTGAAGCCGAAACAGAGGAGAAAACAGAGAAAAACAGAGGAAGAGGAGAAAGAAGAACAAGAAAAAATACGCAGAAGCACACAGTGAACTTTCACGAGTTCACGCCCCTTAGGGTCGCTACGTCTTGCCGAGCCTTGCTCAGAATCCACTAAACACAGAGAATATACAAACAATAGATTCAGAACAAGCGATCCTTTCTATCGCCCTTCATTAGCGTATAGAGTTCACTCTGTTCTTCCTCTTGTAAACCGAGAAGATACAATGTAAAGCTTAAGCTAAGAACTGTATTTCTCTCACTCTCAACAACCTATAAGTTCTCTCTAACTCTCTCTCACTGCTTACGGAAACCTTATATAGCTACACCACCTTTAGGGCTTCCCACCATCGCAAACGCCATTCACACATCTTGAAACGCCAAAATGCAGTAGTCCGTTAGCGATTGTAATCCTCCAAATGTGCTTTCTTCCTTTTGACCACAAACGGCGATCGCATAAGCCGTTTTGCCAGCTCGAAAGTGGTCCCTTCTTATCCTTCAATCATGACCATGATATCTGATACCGAAATGGTCCCAATAAAGCATACGCCACATTTGAGACAAGCTTGTTCCTCAAGTGATCAAGACTCCACAGTGAAGTTAAAAAAAGAAAGACTTGGCTTTGTTCTTTAAAGTCAGATTTTGGTTTTTATCAGAACGCACATCATTCATGAGCCTACTAGATTTTATGTATCACTATGATTACAGAAACTGAAAAGAGAAGTTTTTTTGTTTGGTAGGGAGATTTTCACGCTTCAAGAGTTTGCGAACCAGTGCTTCGGGTACAATTGGTATGAGTTCTGAAAATTGGTATGAGTTCAACTTCAGATGCTGTAACAACGAGGAACCTTGAGGTCGCTGGAGGAATAGATGTTGCTGTAAGTGGTTCTCCGGACCAAAAAGCTAAACAAGAGGCTGAAAATGAAGGAAAACAAGAAATCGGAGGATACTGATAGGAAGTTATCACTTCCTGATGAAAATAGAGCATCAAGTTTAGCAAGTTCCTTTGAGATGGCCAATGAGAGAGTGGAGAATGGGGAGCAGGTTTCAGAACAGATTAATAATCAAGTTCATTTTCAATCTGGCATAGAAGAAACCAGCTTGCCTTCGGTTAAAGATTTTGAGAGAACCATACTTGAGAGTTCTTGTGTAACTGCTTATGATGTAATGGAAAATGAGACGCAGGAGGCACATCTCATATACAATCGCACTTTAATGGAGCTTGACAAGTACGAAGGAACTGGTGATTCAAGTGAGAAACACTCTGATCCACTTTGAAGAATTGTTGTGAAGAACTATCCTCTGGTCATTCTGTGGAACTGATAAGTGGCAAAGTGAAGTATAATCAGGATGAATCCTGATAAGAGTGCTTGACACGACAGGTCTCATGTCCTCTGCAACTGAGGAACGGTATAATCAGGATGTCCTAATGAAGATAAAGAAGAGCATGAGAACGTTCCCTGCTGATGGCATCCTCTATATTGACCGTATAGACGAGAATCCAGACATTCATTTACTTAGAATCGTCACAAGCTCTCTGGGATCATCGATATGGCGAAACGCTATCGTGGTTCTAACTCACGCAGCTTCCGATGTCCCATCTTCTTCAAGCTACAGAGACTTTGTTGCTCGGAGATCTTCTCTTATGCATCAATCGATCAAACAAGCAGTTCCAGAGTTAAGCTGTGGAGACCGGAGCAAGATGCCTGGAATTGTTTTGGAAGAGAACAACATGAGCTCTTTGTGTGGAAACAAAACCACCGAATGTACTTGTGCGGACTGGAGATTGAAACTAACTCCTGATCTTATGTTGCTTGGTTAAGATCCGGTCAAAAGCCGGTTCGTTGCTAAAGCAGAATGCGATTGTAGAAAAGACCGGTTTTTGGCTCCCAGCTTCGATCTTTGACTGTATTGTGTTCCTCGTGGAATGTGTTGCTTCTTGGGAATAGCACAGGACAAGAAAAGACCTCTTCTTCTCATTCGCATGATGATTTGGAGGAGGAGAAGAAGAGGAGTTTACTGGATTCTTACCCTGAAATCCTCTGGGACGAACAGAGTCTGGAATGTCTCGAGCAAGAACCAGAAGACGAAGAGAGAAGAAAAAGACGTGAAAACCAAGAAATCGACAGAGGTTGTGGAAAAGGAAGTGTTCTTCTTAGTCGTGCGAGAACAAGAAGAGGAAGACTTGGGTTCCAAGCAACAATAAGGCTCGGTATTTATCTTGAGACATCTAATTTGCACACAGGGTTTGCCACTGAAGACTAGCAAAGGAACGAAGAACAACAAGAAGGGAAGATGTTGATGAGGATTAGAGGATCCATGTCTGTTGTAATGGTCCGGTGGACCGTGATGTTGTCTAATGTCTTGGACCTAAACCAAGTGCTTAAACCTGTTGTAATAGACGTGCGTTTATCTTTCCGACTAAATAATTCACTTTTTAATTGATAATAACTCACTTGTCATCACACTGGATCATCTCAAAAATCAAAGTCAATTAAACTGAACATTATTGCATTATCATTCTAGAGAAAAGCAATAGTATTCAGTTTAATCAACGATCATCAATAGCCACGAAATAAACATAAACTTTTTAAAATAAAATATTGTGTTCCTCTTCCAATCTTTGCAGTTCCGTCATAATGACGCAACCGAATGTAAATTCTTGCTAATAAATAGATAACAAAAACTTTATTGCTATGAAGTTATTATTATAAATATATAACTAGGTAATCGGCATGCACCGTATAAAGATTATAAAATATTTAATATAATTAATTATTATTAGAATAATATTAAAAATGTTTCATTTACATATAATTAATTATGTATTAATAATAAAAAATAACAAAATTAAATATAAAATATTAAAGATTTCAAAATAAAATGAAGAAAAAATATTAACTAAGACTTTAACATATTTTCTTAGATCAAAAATGTAAATATGATAACTAAATCAATAGGAAAACTTAAAAATCTATAATTATTTATTTAATTTTTATTTTTGACTCGCATGCATATGCATGTATAACTTTTTAGACATAATTAGTTGTAATATTTAAGTATTGATTAATTTTCTTATACTTTATGTAAACTTTATGTTTATAACATATATATTTTTAGTCTTTAACAACAATCACACAAAGATTTTCTATCTTTTTGTGTCTTTTGAAATTTTTTATTTTTTTATAGTTTTTATATTAACAAATAATTACAAATATAAAAGTTATATTAAATAATCATTAAATTTTTATAATATGTTTTGAATATTATCTATACTATACTTTTGTAACTATTTTTTTCATTGACCTATTACTAATTAAACCAAAATAAATTTTACCATATTTACTTATCCTAAGAGCGGGTAGATGATTGGTCCGCACATTCATGCGTACCAACCACCTCACCGCTCTTAGGACATATAAATATTTTTAAAAAATATAAATTGTCTAACCAATAAAATTAAAATTAGAATGTAATCGAGGTTAACAAAATGTATGCACGATAAATTTGCATGCAAGTTTGACTTTTACATAATTAATATTTATATCTACACGCATATTTGTAAAAAAATAGAAGTATGACTTTTATGTGATAAAAAAAATAACAAAGTATATGTTTTGTAATCCATATTTTTATACCGTATAGATGATTTAAAAAAATTAATAAGTATATTTATGCATTTAGGTATGAGTTAGAAATAAGTGAATTGTAATATTTAGGTATTGGTAAGTTTTTTTATATTTTCTGCAAACGTTATGTTTTTATACGATGTAGTTATTGGCATTTAACAACAATCACTAAAACCGTTTCTATCGTTTTGTATTTAATCAAAAAAAAATATTTTTCAGCGTTTTATGATATATGGTTTCTCAATAGAAATATAATAAATATTTATTATTAAATTTGTAAAATTATATTTTATAAAATTCTCCAATAGCTCTCCGCTCATCTCTTCGTCAAAATTATTAATAATATGTAATCCCTCACTTCCACAAACTCTGTGTAACATAATTGTTTAAGCCAATCAGATCCAAACTTATTTGTGTATTATTTAAAGTATAAAATAATATATTTAATATTTAATTGTTATATTAAAAATTAAGAGTTGATATGTTCTTAACTTTAATATATTTGTTAATACAAAATATAATGGATCACAACGTATGCAAAAAATTTGATTCATGAAATAATGTTTTAATATGGTGGAAAAAATATATGAATGAAAAAATTAATATGTATAAGATAATATTTTTAAATATTTGAAATAAAAACATAAAATCGATTCTTATTTTTTTTCTCTTATTTGACTCATATTTTTTAACCTTTAATAATATATTTAACATTAAGATCATCTCAAATGTATTTTTTTATTTTTTTTTCTAAAATATAAGTGGATTTCTCTCCAACCTATTTCTATTTTACAAAAAAAAGATTATTTTTTTTTCATCTATAATTGAAAAAAAAATTAACAACCTTTCTTTTTCCTCTAAATTAGAACATTTAAAATAAAAGTGAGTTAGAGATGCTTTAGATTAAAAATATAACTTGAGATTTGTATATAAAATCAAAGTTGTAAAGATTCATTTTGTACTTTTACTTCTACTTTTTATTCATATATATAATATTATAATAAAAATAAGTTGACTAAGAGGATACTTATAATTTATTTTTCTCTCTGTTTAGTTTTTGTTTTATTTATAATTTCGAATTCTTGCTATATAATGAAAATTTATTCACATATGATATAAAAAAAATTCTTATTTAAAAATGAGATTTATTTAGTTTTAAATTAACCAATCAAAACATTTTGTTTATTTTAGGAAATTTGCCATACATGACATTGTTTTACACTAACTTTTCTTTAGGTATTGACACATATGATTTTTTTTAGTAAACATGTTTATCAAATAATAGTTAGGATATGGCTTAATAATAAAGAAAATCAGTCACTGTTGAAGTCGTCGCCTTTTCAGTCAATTGCAAGTGGCGTTGAGCGTATACTTTCGGACGTTACTTCCGACGTTAGCTCCGGCGGCGCTATCCCCAGAGTGGATATCCACCGGACACCTAACGTTAAGAAGATATGTCTCGGCGGTAAGACTCAAGTATTTCGAACGAACTCGACCGTCGATGTGGACCATAAACTTGATTTTGCCACATGCAAGAGACGTATCGTTGTACGTAGCGACGGGGACGGAATTTCCAACGATGAGGGGTGACCAGACGTTGACGTGTTTGGGTCCTTGATAAGTCGACGGCATCTTCGTCGCACTAGTGATCACTTGATTCTGGTGAGAAGCGTAGACGATGAGACGGTCGTAGTAGATTCCTCTAATGCTGTTTGGGTTACGAGAAGAGATAGTGACTTGGATACGGGATGTGAGGAAGCTCGGTGGATTTCCCGTGACGTTGAAGGAGAAGACGGTGGCGTCTTGGAGTATGAAGCGTGGCTCCGACGGGTTAGAAGACCCGAGGTAGAATACACATATGAGTATGACGAGTAAGCTTATTAATATGACTATTGCATAGCGAATATGTCGGATTAAGTTTTTGAAGGTCATGTTGGAGTTCTGGTGATAATAAGGTTCGCTCAAAAAATTTTTTTGATGAGATCGACTTATGGTGGGGTTTATTTATACAGGTAATGGAAATTAACGAGCCTAAGAGAAAAAAGGAAATTAATGTTAAAATAGGAAATCATTAATTTCTAAGAGAAATAAAAATGTTATTATTATCTTTCTAGAAAAGACCTCTAAAAAAAAGTTAGAGTTGCACATTAAATTTATAACAAAAGTAATTTGTACACTATTCATTTCAGAAAAAATAAAAAGAGGAAATTATACCTTTTGGTAACATTTTAGTCACCTTTCTCTTTTCAAAACTTTATACAATCCTTGGACCGTGATGTACTTCATTGTTTTCAGTCTAACCAAACCTAACCGAACTAAATTAATTTGGAATCAAAAATCACCATTTCAATACTAAATATAGCATACCAAAGAAAAAAAAAACAAGTAGTTTAACTAAAAAAACAGTTCTACTATTTCCTTGTTGCACTTGGAAGGTTACTCCGAGTTGTTACAACTTACAACTTCTCTAGTTCTTCATGAACTCACACTAAATAGAAATAAAAACGAACTTTTTTTTTGGTTAAACAGAAACAGACTCGATCTCACATATATAAAATCCATCGATAGATTTCATTCTTCAAAACAACATAGCTTGTAATCATAAACCTCAACATTAATCTTGAATCTTGATACACATCTCGAATCATGGTTAGGTTCTTGAACATCGCGTTAATTCAATTCTTGATCGTTTTGTTTGCGGCAAATGTCTTGGAAGCCACGGAACTGAATGTAATGGACAAATGCTGGAGACCAAACCCGCATTGGCGTAGAAGCCGCAATCAGCTGGCGCGGTGCTCGGTCGGATTTGCCGGAAAAATGACGGGAAATATCGGAAAAGGAGTCACACAATACAAAGTAACCAACCCTTCTGATGATCCTTTAAACCCTAAACCTGGAACCCTAAGATACGGAGCAACGCTCGTCAAAGGTAAGAAATGGATCACATTCAAAAGAAACATGAAGATCAATCTTCATAAACCGCTACTAATCAGCAGCTTCACGACACTCGATGGTCGTGGTGTGAGCGTTCACATCTCGGGTCCGGCTTGTCTCATAGTCTACAAAGCTACCGATGTGATCATTCATGGGCTTAAGATCCATGATTGTAAAGCTCATCCACCAAGCTCAGTGATGGGACCAGACTCACAGATTATTCAACTTGGACACGTGGACGGCGACGCAATCAGGCTAGTCACGGCTAAGAAAGTGTGGATCGACCACAACACGCTCTATGATTGCGAAGACGGTCTATTAGACGTCACAAGAGGGAGTACTGACGTCACAGTGTCGAACAATTGGTTTAGGAACCAGGACAAGGTCATGCTTCTTGGACATGATGATGGCTATGTAAGAGACAAAGACATGAGAGTCACTGTTGTGTTTAACCACTTTGGTCCTAATTGCAATCAGAGAATGCCAAGGTATATAAAAAATCGAAACTTTCATGCATGTACTGTTGTTTGAAGTTCTTATATTGATGGACTATGTGAAATATGCAGAGTGAGATATGGATATGCTCATGTCGCAAATAACTATTACCAAGGATGGACTCAATACGCAATTGGAGGAAGCATGAGCCCTCGCGTGAAGAGCGAATCAAACTATTTCGTCGCACCGAAATCCGGACGCAAAGAGGTGCATTTCACAATCCTAATCGTGAATTATAAAAAGGCCTAACACATTTTCTTCTTATCTAACATTCGAGTCTGTACTTTGGTTGTAGATAACTTGGAAGAAACATAACAAAGGAGATCAAATGCAGTGGAAATTCTACTCGGTGAATGATTATTTCGAGAACGGAGCTTGTTTCGGCCTACACAAAGGTGTTGGAAAAGCCCGGCCCAATTACGGCCCATCTCAAAGCTTCACCGTAGCGAACGCTAAAACCGTTAAAAAACTCACTTCTTCAGCTGGAGCGTTACAGTGCACCAGAAACTCCATCTGTTAGAACAACAACGCCGCTTAACATGACGTTTTAGCGTTTTAACATTTCTGCGTTTTCTTGTATTTTCCTTTCATGTACATTAGAACTTATATGTTCTTTGTTTAAAAATGATAAATATTATACGGATAAATATATATAAGTTTAAATAAAACAGAATGAAACCTGGTAGTGTTGATTTGGCTGGAAACAAACAAAATATTGATTCTAACCAACCAACCCCTTAGTGCAGTGGTCGACTAAAGGTTCATTAATGCTTCTATACCAGGACCAAGAGGTCTAGGTTTCGATTCCCAGAAAATATGATGTCTGCAGGTTAATGAAGATATTCAAATAAGGAAAGGACAGACATTTAGAGTTATTCATGGTGGACCCACATATCTATAGTGGATCTTTGTGGAATAGTTAATCAACCAATTCAAACGCAAACAAATAATCTGGAATGATCTTTCAGCGTTTCAACATTTCAGCTGCATCTCTTCTTCATTCATATACATGAATTTGACTTTTTATTAAAAGTCAAGGCGGGTAAATAACAAAAGCACTGTAACAAAACAGGTTAACACCGGGAATATCGATTCGTTTGAAAGAAACTAACCTCGTCATAAAGTCTAACAGAGACAATGGCTTTGATTATAGACTACTGAATATTAAGGTATTGTCTTGTCGGAAACTGAGGAAGACTTGTCCACTGATTGAGCAGATTTGGAAGCTGTTACTGCAGCTTGTTCATCTTCGACGAGTTTCCGAAGTTTTGTCTGAAGACCACGAACACGATCCTCGGTTCTCCTCAGCTTCCTCCATCTATAAGCTGTCCAAAGGAAAAGACCGCCATAGACAACGGTATAAGAACCCCAAACATATGGATAAGCTTCGGCGTGATCTCTGAGTTTCTTGTATTGTTCTTCAATTGCTCCTACAAAACCAGGAGCCGCCACTTGGTTTGCTTGGCTCTCCTGATCTTCTAATCCGCTCTGCTCTGTCGCCATCTCAAATCACAAATCAGCTTCTGACTAAATCTGAAACAAAACAAAGCGCAAAGAAAAAGAAAAAAAATACATAAAGCAAGATGACAAGCTTAGATCATGCGGAAGAGTGTAGAGCAGTGGTTATACATTAAACGAAGGAATAAAATATAAAGGCTAAGCTCATCCCTTAACTACACACTGGATCAACAAAACTGATAATTAGCAAGAACTGAAAAGAACAGTTCATGTTACAGCAGGATCCTCACTTAAAATTGATACTTCAGTGTTAAAAAATTCAGAGCTTATACAATGAAGTGCTTCAAATTTAAGGATGTGCATTGAGTTTGTGACTGTGAAAAGAAAAAAAAGCAGTCGACGTTGAGAAATTTCATGAATGTTCATATCCATTTTTACATCCGAAACCCAAAAGCAAAAGGCACGGCATGAACTCCAGGAATTTTTTGTTTGTGGTCCACAATTTCTTAGGAATTTACAACCGAAAGAGGGAAGAAATCGATAAACTTTGCACAAAACCCTCGAAACCAAATTAAGGGCGAGATCTATGAAATTATACGCATTAGAATCTTAAATCAACCATCTCAGAGGCAGTTGCACAAACATTTTCTATGCATCTATGAGATCTATGGCTACAGGCTGAGAGAAATCATACACAAAAAAAGAGATTCCTTATTTTATATTACCAAGCAGGTACCTGGATTTAGCAGAAGCGTTGACAAAGTCGTCGAGGAACGATGATGAATCCCAAATGAATCTCAGAGAGCCATAGCGCTTAAACCCTATAAAGCGCTTGCAAAACCCAGATCGAGAGATCGATCCTCGATAGGGGCAGTGTGGTCAATTATACTCCTTTCCGTATCGGTTTTTTGGTTTATGGGTTTTCTTTGGTGCAAGAGGTGATTTAACTGAGGTTGTGTTAAAACCGGGAATAATGATCTGTTATCAATCAGTTCAATACGGTTTGGTTAAAATATTGTCTGTTTTCTTGAGGTACTACTCCCAAATTCTTCGGTTGTTAAAACTTACAACTTTGTGCAAGCAATTTCTTATCCTAATTAAGCATAACAAAATACAACTTTCGTCATTTTGTATATTTGATTAAATAGTATTGATTTCATTTGTGTTAATATATATATCTTCTAAAAATTGATTACAAAGTTTGCATCTTTGATGCTAGAGACGTTTTAGAAACAACCAAATCATTCATAAGATCAACCATTCTTTTGTTTTCTGTCACACAGAGGGGATTCCAAGAACTTCCTTCTTTACAAGCTGCAAGAGTAAAACTAAGAATAGAAGAATGCACAAGGAGCTTCAAGAGCCTAAAAGAAAAAAAAAAGTGTCCAAAGAATGATAGAAATCCATTGGGATATGCTGATCAGATTCTTCTCTTCTGAATCAAGCTTCCAAAGGTTCTTCAAGAACTGCAACAACAAAGACATGTCTGAGTCTGAGGTTCTTTGTATGATGCAAATTTTACTTATACAAGTATCACAGATGAGAAACAGAACAAAAGGAAAAAAACCTTTTCTCTTTGTTGAAGCGATTTCTGCATTGGGGGTGACGGGTGCTTTTGTTGGCACATCAGGGAGATCCAATATCTCGGGTTCTTCAGGCACGAGCTCCGGTGTAGGCACGTCAGGCATATCTTCAACAATGAGCTTTACACAAAGAAACAAAAAAAAAAGTTAAGACTCCATTCAAGTGGATAACAACTGAAATGGTACTTGAAGAAACATCAATAGGTACAGAATGTTAATAATCCAGCAATTTTATTATCCGAGAAACCATTATGTAACATACCAGATTTTCCAAGTTGTCGAGTTCTGCTAAGATCTCTTCTTCATCTTCTGCTGATAGTTTCTCCCCCAAAATGGCACTCAGCTCCTAAAATCCAAGTATCTTAACAGTTAGATAAAGCAAGAGAAATACTCAAGAGCATGAATGAAACAAACTAGGAGACGCTCGGCTAATATACACATTCTGCAAAGAGAGAAGATTCCATATGACTACAGCATAAACAAAACGGAACACCAATGCTTATTAACTCACATCCTGATAAGCCTTGGCATCTGCAGTGTCGTCCATTAGTTTTTGAACATCATCAAGATTGACCTCGCTCTGAATTGCCTTTATTGCACTGTTGCCTTGCTTTAAGCTCTCGAAGACTGCTTTCTGCTTGCTCGTTAGCTCGATATCTGCCAACTGAGTCACAACGACAGGTTGAAAATATGTTTGCTCAGGTTTCTTCCAAAAGACAAAATCAGGTACTAAAGGAGAATACCAAAAAAACACACTTCTGTATACAGTATATAGCAGTAAGGTTATGCAAACAGTGAGATGATAAGAAGAGATCAAGTATATTTACTTGTTGTTCGACATTGATGACCCACTGATCTACTTGCTTCAGTAACTCTTCTTGCGTCCGCTTCTTCTTCAATGCTAACAAAGCCCTGTCTTTTCGTTTCTCACGAATTAAGTCTCTTGCAGCTTGCTTCTCGGCTTCAATTACTTTCTCAAGCTAAAACATGGGTTTAAGAGAAATAAAGTAAAGCTTGAGGTTACAAGAGAGAAACCGCAATCGCATTCTACTTCTCAGCGATCAAACGCACTATTTCAAAACCGATGATGATATAACCAAAAACTATCATCAGCGTGACATAAGAATCAAAGACGGATTCTCAAGGCAATTTCATCACCCATTTGACAACAATGGAAGAAAAATCCAATCTTTGAACAACTCACAAAACCTCGGGAAATTAACCTTTACACTCCCTGAGCTATGGCGAATCAAACTACTTAATCGGCCTTTCAATCTCAGATTCCAGAAATAGATCCAATTCGAAGCAAAATCAAGCCCTAGAAATGCGTGAACAAAGATCACAAGCGAGGGAAGGAATCAAGAACCTGTTGCTGATATTGACCAAGCTTGCGCCTTTGGGTTTTGAGAGAGAGAATCGCTCGATCAACCTCCGTGATCTTTGGTTTCTTCACGAACAAATTCCCCATCTGTCCACTTATAATCCAATCTAAAAAATCAAAAGAAAATTTTGAGATTTTGGGGAGATTTGTGAAGAGCTTCGCGATTTCAAACCAAGTCCAAATCTTTTTGTTTGATTTTTCCCTTTATCCAGTTGGAAACTTGGCATCGACAACAGTAGAAAGCCAAATGGCTAAAAAGCTTCCGCCTTTAATGTTTAACCGCGCTTTTTCTCAAACTGGCGTTTTAAATCTGCGTTTCGAATCCAAGAGCTGTCTCACAGTTATAAGTTTACCATACGCGCTCTACAGCAGCGCGTGATCGGTGAACGCATTTCATAAATACGCGAGAAGAGACACGGCGTATCGCTTCCCTTCAGATTCTGTAATTCCTTTTGAAGAGTCGAGTGTTTTGGAAGACGAAAGCTTTCTCCGTCAAAATCGTTGCAGCGTCACGATCAGGTTTTCCTCTCATCCACTAGTGTCTTTAATTTCTCGGATTTATGTGCGTGCGAGTTCACTTTGGCCTGAAGAGAACTTTCTGGGACTGTCTCTTCTTCTTTTTTCAGGTCATTTGCTCGAGAAAATGTCGTCGAGAGGAAAACGAAAGGACGAAGATGTCCGAGCATCAGACGACGAATCCGAAACCCACGCGCCGGCTAAGAAAGTCGCAAAGCCAGACTCCTCCGACGAGTCTGACGACATCGTTGTCTGCAATGTTAGTCTACTATCTCTCTTTCTAGAGCGTTTCAGTCTCGAATCCACTCTAGTAACAATGAGTATTAGTGTTTCGATCAAGTTCTGATTTTGTTGTTTGGGTTTTGCATAAAATTAAGGGTTTTGCTCAAATTAGGGTTTATGATTGTTTTGGTTTACACTCAGATATCGAAGAATAGGAGAGTCTCTGTGAGGAATTGGAACGGGAAAATTTGGATTGACATTCGTGAGTTCTATCTCAAGGACGGCAAAACTTTGCCCGGCAAGAAAGGTCCAATTTTTCTTTCTTTCTTGTGAAAGTTCAGCTTTTGTTACTGTTTGGTTTTGCCAGTGCCAAGTTTCTGCATTAGTCTGGGATGGATCTTAGGGTTTTAGAATGGGCAATTCTGTGGATTGGTAATGTTTACGTATTAGTGTAGTGATACTGAAATGAAAATGATTGGTAAAGATTTGCACTTTCCCAAGCCTGTATCTGGAAACACCTAAATTAGTTTGCATAATCGTGTTGACATTGACAAGTTTGTTATATGTTGCAGGTATCTCTCTAAGCGTGGATCAGGTAATTAACAACAATCCTCTCCCATTTTTCTCTGCCCCTCCACGAGTGTTTACCTTTGTTGTTGTCTGGTTATTACTCATAGTGTTTTCTTACATTGCAGTGGAACACACTCCGGAACCACGCAGATGGAATCGATAAGGCGCTCGCTGATCTTTCTTAGGTTTTAAAACATGTATAATCGGTAGTTAAGTCTAGTAGAAGATGACTTTGTTGTTTGGACTTGGTTAAAAGGCTTTTGACAGAACACCATGTTCTGCAACTGTAAGCTGCATCAAAGTTAGACGGTGTATCATTGAATCTTTTTATTTCTTTTGGTTCAGACAAGCTTTTGTTGGGTGTCAATTTAATATGCATTAAGAATGATTACTCTTTATTTTCTGTTGAATTACAACTTGAGATACAATGCAAGAGTATAAGTATTCGTTGATAAAATGAATCAAGATGGATGAATTTAAGTGTTACATAGTCACTTGATTGATTGTTCTCTTGTTCTGGACATTGTCCTAAAGAGTTGTCCTAAAGAGCTGGGACACCGAGCGATCCCACGTCAAGAACTCTGGGTAAAATCTGCAGCAAACAGATCACGGAATGATGAAGTTTTTAGAAGGATGAAGAAATAGGAAGAGAGAATGCTATTATCTTCTTACCTCGCCAACCCTAGCACTGATTTTTAATGGAACAATGTCATCAGCTCTGGTTTCGCCTATATTTACAATTGCAGTCATTGCACCAGCTTCATGAGCCGCTCTGCAATAAAAGGATCGATGCTTCTCAGTGAGATGCAAACTGCAATATGGTGAGAGATTATTCTCTCGCGTTACCTGACGAGACGAAAAGCGGACATTGTCATTAAAGATGAACCCAACACTAGAAATGCATCGCTCTGTTTTGCTGCTTCCATTGCTTGTGTTGCTCTTTCCTTTGGGATATTGTCTCCAAAAAATATTACCTTTAAACAAAACAAAAAAAAAACACAAAGCGTGACAAGAAAGAAAAGAGCCACAAAGCTGTGTTCCGTATCACGCCATGAAACCATTCTTACATCAGGTTTTAGCACTCCTTCGCACTTCTCGCATACTGGTATATGAAAACCTTCTTCCCAAAACTTTTCGTCAATCTCAATATCACCATCAGGCCTTTGTTTCATGCCAAAGCTCTTCTCCGATCCTGGATCTACATGATCAATACTCTCTATTGCCTCAGCCCACTACAGTAGAAACAGTAACGTTCTGTAACTTTGCGATTATATACATTAAATCAGTTGACTCGAGTTATGGTATACACTGACCTTGGGATTGAGAGCTTTTAGCTGATCCTGAAACGAGTCTCGGGGAAAAGAGAAGCCGCAATCTAAGCACAGAACAGTATATACGGTGCCATGTAACTCAAGCGGATCACTCCCAGCACGATGATGCAACCTAGAAACTTGAGAGCTTAGAGTCAACAACATCCGACGCATCCAACAGATGGGATCCCACAAAAGAGAAACTGATAAATGTACCTGTCAACGTTTTGTGTTATCATGAAATCTATTCGTCCAGCTCTCTCTAGTGATGCTAAAGCAGTATGAGCCGGACCTGGTTGTGCTGCAGTGAACCGTCTCCATCCAGCATAACTCCTTGCCCAGTACCGCCTACGAGCTCGGCTTGATCGAGTGAATTCCTATGGAAAAACAGGTTGTAGACAGTAGATTAAGACGACTATAACACGATCCAAAGTTAGCGTTGACCACCGTAAAAGATTTCATCGATCTTGCCTTCAGATCACCTGATGGGTAATTGGTTTGAAACCAGAACTGTATGCTCCATTGGGACTGCGCCAAACAATCACTCGTGTCACAAATTATTGCAAAAATGGAAATCAAGAATCATGATCAAATTCAAACCATCTGAACGAGAATGCAAGCCATTTTTCAGACAAAAGACTAATCAATCAAATGAATGAACATAGTAACCTTCTATAATCAGGAATTCCACATTCTGTGCTAATCCCAGCTCCAGTCAAGATGGTGAGTCTTTTGCTGGACGAGAGAAGAAGAAGAAAGGCATTAGATTTACAGTTCATATACGCTCACTTCACTTGTGAAAAAAATATTGACCTTTGCTCGAAAAGTCGAGACAACTTGTGGATATCTTCCATATGGGGAGGATCAGCATCTGGAACTATTTTTTTATCCCTCAGGAATCTTGGAGGTGCCTTTGATTCATTCCCCAAAGAAACACCAGGGATCGATACTCGACACGTTGTTCTCACAAAACGTCTGCAGCCATTAAACAACATCACCAGTTTCCCCCTAGACCGCATTGGTTGACACATACTATGCAAGTGAAACATGTCTGAAAACAAGGGAACCTTTGCGAAATTAACTCATTGCGGAGCTAAGTAATGAATCAAACTGTAGCTAGGCGAAAAAGACGAGGAAGAACATTCACATCAAGATACTTGCCTGTTGATACACCTCCAAACGCTCTTATCATGCTCACCGAAGCCTAACTCGCAGAGACAGAAGAAGAAGTACAATCAAAACCCAGGAAACCAACCGATACATTCTATAGGAAATTGTAATACAATACCGATAATATATGTTAAATGCAACCACTTTCCTGCATAAAGGATCAAAATCTTACCAGACACATGAAGATGAAAGTCCTCATTTTCAGAAGAAAAATAAAAGTGATGTAGGATATGAATCCATTATAAGCACAAGGACACAGAGAGAATGGCAAAAAAACAGAAAATGTATGCAAGGCGAAGAAGAAGATCTAGAGAGAAATGGCACTACTTAGAACCACCAACAGAGTTTCACCGACAGTAAAATTCTAATTCTATGAGGATATAGCTGTCACCACGACGGGGAATCAACAGAAAATAGAAGCTTATAGGTTCAAATAACAATCGAAGATGGGATATTAAAACCCAAGAACATATACAGATGTCACCGTATGATCCATTTACCTGGAGAGGTCGTTAATGGCGGATGAAACGAGATTTTCTTCGGTGGTTATTCAATTTTTTGCATTTTATTTCTCCTGAAACAAATAAAATAGAAGACGAGGTGGCAAATATCGGACGTTGGAAACTCATTCTTGGCTGAGTAAGTAGCCACGTTGCGCACTTTTCCACCGTTGAATTGTTCCACTTAACTAAACGATGTCGTTGAAGGAAATAAAACAGAGACCTAATTTGCTAAAAACGAACTCCGAATCGTCGTCGCCACCGATGATTTCTTAGCACCTCCGTCGTAAGTCATATACTCCATTTTCGAATTGTTCTCAGTTAATTTGTTTGGGGATTTCGATTTCGTTATAGTGTATTATATAAGGATGTTTCCTTTCTCAAATGATCCGATTTATTTCTTTCTACTTGTTGCTGTTTTTTTTTCTCTCAATCAATCGATTCTTTTTGTGTGATTCTTCTACAAGAATGCTTCATTGATGGAAATTCTAATTACTTTGGATGGAATTTTCTTCAGAAATAACTTCACTGTGTCTCTGCTAAGCTTACTAGTGAACGATTTGGTTTAAATCTGAGTATGTTTTGATAAGATAAGTTAGGATAGTAGTGACGGAGAGATATTAATTTAATGATAACAGAGCTGAAGATTGTTAAGTGTTTGGAAGAAAGATGCCTCACAGAACAAGGCCTTTGATGGGACTATTACTTTTCACTGGAATAAACGCAGTCTTGGTGCAGACGATTACTCCAGTCTATGACTTTGTGTGCTTCTTGCCGTACTGGGAGAGAAGGGTATGTTTTAGATCTTCAACTTTCTACTTTACTTAATTATGTCTCCAAGTGTGTAGATTAACTCTGTGTTTGATGATCATGATCATGGTAACTACTAAATAGTTCTGCTACAGGATGTTTTGCATCAGTATACTCTCAGCTTTGGCATAGTGAACTAAGAATTTGGATCATGTTGCATCATCATCATACACGCAATCACTGACTAACTTTGGTGTTTTTTTTTTTTGTTTCTATGTTGTTCACATTGAATCTTCACAGAGAGAGCGAATGCGGCAGGAGCGTGAAGCCGCGGCTGTCTCACCAAACAGCACAAACTCAACACAGAGAGCCACTCAAGCATCTGTTGGATGATGAACTCTCTGCATCTTCTCAGTCTCTCAAAGTCGTAGTTTCCTCTGTAAGAAACTGTTCAGCCTCTTATTACTGAACAATGAGGAGCACGAGGAAGGCATGTTCACATTTTCTGGTCTGACTTTTAGATGCATTAGCACCAAACCTTGAACCTTTCTGAGTTGTTTTTGTTTTCAGACACGTGCCTTAAATTAGTTGTAGAGATACTTTGAAAGTTTCAAAGATTCTGTGATCATCTCCAAGATACTTTGATGTGTTTTTGATAAGTGAAATAGGGTATTAGAATAATAGGGTGTGTGGACAGCTTATGATTTTACTATTGAGCAAATTCTCTTTTAAGCTAAACCATCCAGATTGCTCCTTTTTCGCTTCACTTTATCTTTTAAAAATCATTTGAAATGTCAATGTCACTTTGATTCAAATTCCATGTTTTTCAACACCTACTTCATTCATTCATAAAGCAGAGTAAAGTCAAGAAACAACCAAAGCTACAAACTCATTAATAGAGAAAAGAGAAGAGGCGAATTATATAATTTATAACAATATTTTTATAAATTTATTACAAAGTTGATACCATACGAAATGGAACTTACATTATACACATTTTCACCTTTTTCTTCCAAATGCTTAATATAAACAAATAATTTTACACATTCTTTTGTTCATGGTCCGTTATCATCATTCAATATGTAGACTGGAAGGGCTTGTAGACCTTAAGATCAAGCATTACTCCGGCGACTGATCCAACTAAGGCGACCACCGATATCACTAGACAAGCAACGCTAAGCATCTGTAAACACACCCACCTCGTGCACCATTTCTCGACCTTCCTCTGCTTTATGTACATCTCCACCGGAAAATAAACCGTCAAGGGCCAAAACCCTAATGCCCCTAAGATCCCGACCACGTCGTTGAAAAACGGCATTAGCATGGATATCACGGTGGTTAAGACGACGAAACAGCACCGGAAAATAACCCTGAAAACGTTTGTTTTGTATGGAGACTTAAACCCTGGGATTTTGATTTCGAATTCCTTGGTGAGCAAATCGTTGTCTGGAAACCTCTCTGAGACCGATTTTTCAACGAAGGCGAAGATGGGCTGAGCAAAGACTTGGTAAGCTCCGATGAGGTGGACAACAATGGCGGCGTTGGCCACGTCGAGGAGCCAAAACGGATTATAGAACCCAAAACCCGTGAGGAGGTTTCCCGGTGCTGCATCTCCAAAGGCGGCGTAACCCATTGACCCACATAGCATGTAGAAGACAGTCGTGACGGCGATGCTGATTTTCGTAGCTCTCTTCATCGTTTTCGATTCGGCCGGTGGAGATCTTACAGTATCCTAGTAACCCAGAAAGAAGAAAAAAAATCAAAAATTTAATTGAAAAACTGAATCTTTTGTGCCAAGAAAAGGTATTTTAACCTAAAAAGTAGAATCTTTTGTTCTACGAAAGGTTCTCTTTTTTTACCTGAATCTCGATTAGTACAACGGAGTAAGAGTAAGCAAAGGCAATGTCTCCAAGTGCTTGAAAGGTTCTCCATATCTTCTGTGTTTGAGTCACTGTCCCGATGCTTATCCCTGTGAGACTTCCTTTGAAAACTCCATTTGCTGCAACTTGAACGATTCCGAGAGCTAAACCAATGGCAGAGTAAGTGAAGGACATGACAGCTGCTACAATGGAGATCCACCAAATCTCGCCGAAATCAGGAATCTGAGAGAGCAAGACCTCTGTCACACCAAATATGATCATGTAAGGATTGCTCGACATGTGGCACGGGTCTTTTCCTCCGCTCTTGTGGAAACAATTCGATCTCTTGATCGCCCTGCATGATACATCCGAGTTACCAAAATGTTAAAACCTGTTATTATTATCATTTCGTCTTGTTATTTGTCTGAAGAATGTTTCCAAAAGAAACTCACATCATGCTTATCGATGCTGCAATTGTGTATCCGATCGCGATACCGAAGAGATTCAAATATTGAATCAGCCCACAGATCTTGAACTTGAACCCACCTATAAGAAAACAGAGCATTTCACAACACTCAGAACCAAAAAAAAAAAAACAGAACCAAAACAGAGCATTGAAGTATAAAGCAGTAGTGTTATTACCGAGAATGGATCGAACTGCGTCCATGTAAGTGTAGTTTCGCTTGCCAGAGACTGCATCACCGGTTCTGTAGCAGTCGCTGAGAAGTGTGGAAGAGTAGAGAGTAACGAAAGAGAACAGTAGCATCACTGCAGGTCCAGCGATCCATCCGAGCTGAGCAATCGCCCATGCCAACGAGAGAACTCCGGATCCGATCACCGCTGTGATTATATGAGCGCTTGCGGTCCAAACAGTCCCTGTATTAGTATAAACAAAACACGTTTCAGTAGCTGCGTTTGTGAAACAATGAAAGAAAGTTGACATTTTCTGTTTTGTTTAAATTGTAACCGGTTCTTTTGAGACGGCCATCATCGTCGAAGCATTTAAAAGCCGGTTGTGAAGGGACGACGTCGTGCATGGCCGCGTCAAAGACTTGGTGGCCGTGGTGGTGATGATGTTGGTTGTTGGCGGCAGCGGTTTCACCCATCTGTTACTTAGCAAGAAACCGAAATTTCAGATTAAACATCTTTTAAGAATATTTTTTATAAAAAAATAATCTCAAATATATATGTAAAAATAGAGAGAAATGTAGTAAATAGTAGTACCTCCTCTTATTGAGCCTTAAGAGAAGTAAGACTAATATTACAAAGCTATGAACAAAAAGAAAGAAGATCGCAAAAGAGTAGTACTAAAGGAGATGGGTGATGGATGATAGGAGTTGCTGCTGCATTTTGATCTGTGTTTGGTCACCTTCTTATATAAGCTATGAAAAGTGAGGAATATTAATTAATTAACTAAAGCTATACACACATATTTGTATGACAATTATTTCGATTTTGACAATATATTGCTAGTTGGGTATTTTTCTTTTTTTCTCCACCATCATTAGTGAAGGATGCATAAAATATATAAGGGAGAATCAAATGCTTGTTTCCTCCTCCGTACCTTTTGCGGTCGACTTAATCACTCAGATATCATATACTATTTGTATATTAATACAAAAGTTAAAAACCCATTATTACTTCTAGTTTTTTGTAGATCTATAATTTATTAAGGATATACCAAGTTTATGATTATATAATTAGAAAGAATTTATGCTGCTTAGGTGCTTTAATATTATTATTTAGGGAATGTTCATCAATCTGTTCCTCCATATACCGTGGAGTTTCTTAGGGCACGCCACGCGTAGTGTTTTGTTCGAGAGTCGATCGAAAGAAAAAAAAGACCTAACTAATTATGAAAGTTTAGTAGTTTCGAGAATGATATATTATTTTAGGCCTAATATATTTATTCATGTACCTAAATATGAATACTTAAAACGTCTCGAGAAATTTAAGTTTGATGTGTTTTCTTTTATATTGTGATTCAAAACTCACACTCAACTCAATAGTCTATATGCTATCCAATTTTTTTTTGTATTCCGAACTAGAGTTTTAACTATGTATTTTGGATTTGATATGTTTAAATTCCAAAAAGATAACTGGGTAGATTCTAAACGTAATTTAAATAAATCTCTGATACTTATAGAAAACTAAGTATTCTTCTAGTCACTTAAAACATTTTAAACAAAAGACAAATATTTAATTGTCGTAATCTCATTGATGAAGAGATTCCGACCTTGATTGATAGAACGATTCCTCTACCATTTCAACTTCACCAATGGGCTAAATATAACTCCTTTGAGTCTATCTTCGTATTCTCAAAATTTAAGTTATGGTAAAATTTAAAAGTAGATAGATAAGCTAGATGTGAACATTGAGTGATGAATAAAAAATGCAAAAGCTTATATACTTCAAAACAAAATTCAAGTTAGCTTAATTAGCAAATGTGTATAACAAAAAGTTAGTGATACAACTGAACAAAATGATTGAATACCTTAAAGCTCGCAGAAATTACGCGTCGGCGCTCAACACTAGCGATTAGCACTAGCTAGCAACTGAAGGCTTGTTGGTTGAGCTTTTTAACAAATTAGATAAAGTTCACATGATGTTGGGATGTGTTAAAAAGTCAACGCCAGGGTCAGCTAGAATAATTAAATACTAAATACCAAATTCGTGTTAGCAAAGGCGGCTTTAAAAAGACAACACGCATGGAGAAATTTAAAAAAAAATAAATAAATAAACCATAAGAAAAATGTTCATAAATTTAAAATTCAACAGACTCGCATATGTTTGGTTAACTTATATTTACGAACGGCTCTGTTCAGAATTTCAAAGTTAGTAGCCACAAAATTCAGTGACAAATGCATACTAATCTTGGATTTCTAAACGTTTCTTGTAAAAAAATTAACTAGTGGCGAAGAATATCTGTTTATTTTCTTTTTCTTCATTCTTCTCAAGAAGATTCTCCACATGTAGAAATGGGTGGCTCTCGTGTTTCTCAACAACCCTAATATCTTCTTTGTGAAGATGACACAAGCGTTCGACAATCTGTTTTCCCGACTTCCTAGCCTCGAGTTTAATCCTGACTTTGTGGATTACCGAGTATAATATAATACGTATTATATTAGTGTAATAGTATACTTCAGTTAATGATGATACAAATCCGATTTTAACCAATGCAGTTTTGTAGTTTCCTCATAAGTACTCTCTGTATGTATTATATTAGTGTAATAGTATACCTCAGTTAATCCGATGATGCAAATCCGATATTAACCAAACACATCCAGTTGATGGTAAATTTCAACATTAATCCATATTTCAGCGTTAAGACCATCTCTAATGTGTTCCTCTATTTTTTCATCTAAAATAGAGGAATTCTAAAATAGAGGTGTACTTCTCTCTAATGTATTCCTCTATTTTTTCCTCTAAAAATGAATATTTTAAGAATATTCTCTTTATAATTTATTATTAATACCTTCTTTCCATAAAATTCACAAATTAATCCTATTTATATTATTGTTTACAAAAATTTCCATCAATAATAAAAATATATTAAAACTAAATATTTATTTCATAAACAAAATTCAAAATGACTATAGTATTTGTAATTTTCCATAATTTTCAAAACATTTATTAAATCACTATAGTATTTATCATTTTCTATAATTTTTGTATTTTTAAAAAATTATTGCAATTTATCATTTTATTTATAATTTAGTTTGAAATAAATGAGAATTTTCCAATTTAGTTATATTATATGTTCACAAAATTTTCTCAAACCATAACAAAATTATTAAATTTATTTATTTATTAGGTTTTTGTATTTAATAACATACAAAACTGTATAATGTAACTTTATTGACGTATTATTGTACATGTGTATACTATATTGCTATTCATGTTTATTTTTTTATCGTGAATTAACCACTTTCATTTATAAATTATATAGTTAATTAAAGTAAATAATATTTTCTGTTTTTCTATAATAGTTATTGTCTGAAATGATGTTGATTTTATTAAACTTTATTAAAGTTATTTAATATTTTATAATTTAATTAAATTTATATGTTAGATATATGACTATTTATTGGATATATACAAACTAGATTATGCAAATATTTAATTTAACTTTTTATATGTTATATAAATAAAAATAAAAAAAATGTAAAAGTTAAGGGATCAGTTTATAAATAAAAAAGTGTATCTCTATTATAGAGGAACAAATAGAGTTTCTTCAAATATATAGGAAAAAATAGCAACCTCTATTTTAGAAGTAAAAATAGAGATGGATTGAAGAGAATTTTTCTCTAAACTCTATTTTTCCCTCTAAAATAAAGGTAGATTGGAGATGCTCTAACAGATCAATTTGACAAAAAAAAAAGAGGAAGTAGGAGATGTAATAAGAATTGATATATACAATAACATTTTACTTGCTTGATATTATAGAAATTTTCATCAAAAAAAAAAATAATTATAAATCGAGCCAAGTACCAACACCGTCCAATGTCGTAGTGATGGATATGATTATATTGAGGAGAGAATCGAATTTAACGAGTGCTCCTATCCACCATTGTTTCATTACTATCTTTTAGTGTTTGAATAGCATCTTTGAAATTCCTCATTGGGAAATTTATAAGTTCTTTACCAAATAATTTACTATTAATAATAAATAACTCACTATTCCTTTTGCACTTGTGTATATAGTTCGTCGCCTATACTAGTGTGAGCTCTTTTTGTTGACAAAACTCAGCACATTTAATTATTTTCAGATTTATTGTAATTTTCTACGTATTTAGGTACTAAATTAACGTAAGGACAAGTATTTCAGCAATTTATATGATGGGAATGACCAATCTTGATCGTGGTGATGCATGAATAATGATATGATGTTTGCCAAATTATTGGTTGATTTCAAGTTTGTCTCTAAATATTTACTCACATGCAATCTTTTAGTCTAATGAGTATTAGGATCATATTATATGGTTTACAAATAAAAATGACATTTTAGTTGCCAAAAAACATTTAATTGTATGAGAAAATTCCAACACAAAATTGAAAAACCAAATATGTTGAGAATCTTAAATCTATAAGTAGAGATGAACCACGAGGAGCATTACAGGAGCTTAAAATAAACTAAAAAATCGACGAATGAACCTCACTTTAAGAGTTGAAAGTTGGAACCTCCAATCAAAGGGGACAAACACGACTAAAGATTGAATTACATTGACGGAGGGAAATAAACCATTACGGCATTACCTTATTATACAAACCCACTGAGTTCGGATAGGATGTGGATCTCCAGTAACCCGCCCGGTTTTTGTATAAGGCCCAATGGTCCGTAGTGATTGACAGAGAAGAGAAGGAAAACATGTGGCCCATTGTTTTTTAAGTTGTAGTGACGAGTGATTTGATAGAGAAGAACAAAATGGTGAGACTCTTGATTTTTATCCTTTTGTATATATATTTTCGTTGCAAATTTTTTTTTGTTAAGTTTTCAGATGTGTGCAAAACAAACTAAACATATTTCTGTGACATGAAAAATGAACCATTGCTTTGTTTCCAACACATACATTGACCAAATCGAATTCTTTGGATATGCAAAAGTCTTATTACAAAATTGTAGCATAGTTCTGAAGTGGAAGATTTAGAATGCAATTCACGACCCGGACCGCGAAACACAATGTATATATACAAACCAAATTTGTTCGAAGAAATTTTGCAATTGGTTTGGTTCTTGCTTTCAAAATCAAGTGAATTTATGAGAGCATTTTATTTTCATGCGATGCATAATAGTGTGACTTTGAATAACTTTGATTCAGAAGTTCAAAAGTTATAGAAATCTATCATCAACACTCAAACATTCCAATCAAAATTATAGAATATACAACAATCCACGGTTTCAAACGCATGTCACATAAACTATTTGACTTTTACAAACACACATATATATATACTAAGACAAGTAGTCATGTGAATAGTATATATATATGATATTAAGTGTTAAAGATATGTTGTAAGTTCCGACAATGAGTCCCAGCTTGTTTCCTCCTTATCCAACTTCTTAAGCATATTCCCCTCAAAAATCAAAATACGACAAAACAAAAAGTAAGAATCCATCACAAAAATATAAATATGGTATATTGGTATAGGTCAAGTTCGGCAGCCATAACATCAAGTTCCATGAAGCTTCCTATTTCAATTCACACAACGACTTAAAACAAACAACTGCAAAAAAGTAGTATAAAGTCGATTTCTCTATATATGATAACAAATTCAGATCAAGTCCAGATACAATTTATCTCATTTTTATAATAGGAAAAAAACATATTATCTTATTGGTCTTATGACTCTTATCTTTTCCTTTTAGACTTTACTGTTATCATACCTAAAACGACAAAAAAAAACAAAGTACTTATACATTTAGGCTTTAACTGGTGAACAATAAAAAAGGAAATGAATGAAAGTGAAAAGAATGAAAGGAACAAAATAAAAAGAATGAATAGAAATGAAAAATATATAAAAAAGTAAATATATATATTTTGTTCTTCCCCAATTTTAATAAGGAATACATTTATTCTATAATTCCTTATATGATAAGGAATAAGAAGGAATGATGGGTAAATATTATTACTAACAAATGGTAAAAATTTTAAGAAATAAAGAGGAATTCATTATTTCCCTTTATTCCTTTGATCACCAGTTGAAACCTTAGATGCTTTCATTTTTGTTCTTTCTTTTACATAATGCATGTAATTTAGGTTGAAAAGGAAACTATCATAATTATACATGTTACTAGGTGCCCTGAGTATAATGGAGGAGGGATTTAGGGGTGTTATAAGTCTACAGTGCACTAAATTTTAATTTCAAAGATATGCATAAAAGTATACGAGATTTCTATAAATAAAAATCCTTATTGGCAAAAAAAAATGTTTGACCAAAAGAATTTCGTATTATTCATTTGGTTATTGAAGTTCTAAAACTAAAATATAATGTTGTGTAGAACATATAATAGTTTATGTATGATAGGAAACGTAAGTGATGATCATCAAACGGGGAACAAGCCCACGTCAGTCTCTCATACACCAACCTCAACTTTCCATTTTTAATAGATGAGATCTCATGAGCACTATTTTAAATCATATAACAAACCAAATCAATGAATTTTTTTAATCGAGTCCCTAATTAATGTGGTTCAAGAGGTACTTATTCAAGGATTGAACTAACAGTTGAATAGTTCTTGTAACCATATTTTATAATCTTTTAGCCGACGTGAAATCCCTTTGGTTACATACTATAAATCGTATCAGCAGAGAAATCGAATGTTTAAATAGTGTTACAAAAAAAAACCCGATGATTACGATTGCCGATTGCCGATTGCAACTAATATTAAACAGTCTAAACCTACGATCAAACGTTAGATAACGTCATCGGTCATGACGCGAGCTTTGCTCAAAGTGGAAACTGTAAATTGTAATCTACTGCGGGGAAGCTCACCGTAATTACTTCAACAGTCCAATCACACAAGTCACAACCAAAACCTTCCACCTCAAGTAATGCTGACTTCTCTTAAGCAAGGTTATCCATTTCAATATAATAAAAGTAATGGCTGCTGAGAAAGAATAATTTAAAAAAACCAAATAAGAAAAACAGAAAAGATCTTAGTGGTATAAGCTACACTGAGAAGCAGGAGATTAAAGAGTTTGACACTTGAGGTCGGTCAACAATCTACCAAGGGCGAGCGGGTGACGGAAGCAATGACAACATCACTGCTTTCATTAAGTCGACTGATCCATTCATCTCTCGCCACGTACTCATCCAGCTGGCTGCGGTCAGCGTAGAAAAGAAAACGGTCGGTTTTGCCGCACGTGCTTGAAAACCCCCTCGTGTCATCTCTCTCTCTCTCTCTTTTTCAATTTAATTAATTAAAATTTCGGCGATTTTCGTCCTTATATAACCTTCATCGCCTCACTCTCATCTCCTCGATTCCAATCTTCAGCAGACGAGGAAAAGAAAAAGCCCAGATCCGACTGAAATTTGTAACAAGATTTTTTTCGAAGAGCAGCAAATTTTTAAAAGAGAAGATTATCTTCAGGAATGAAAGCAGATTTAAGCTTACCGGCAGGATTCCGATTCCATCCGACGGACGAAGAGCTTGTCAAATTCTACTTGTGCCGGAAATGCGCATCGGAGCCGATCTCAGCTCCGGTTATCGCCGAAATTGATCTCTACAAGTTCAATCCTTGGGAGCTTCCAGGTAGATCTATGCGCTTCTCATCATTTCGCGAAAACATCTGTTTCTTTTTTTTTTTTTTTTTTTTTTCGAAAATCGTTGCTTATCGAGTTTTGTTCTTCTTCTTTCAGAGATGTCTTTGTACGGAGAGAAAGAGTGGTACTTCTTCTCACCAAGAGACCGGAAATACCCAAACGGTTCGCGTCCAAACCGGGCAGCAGGAACCGGTTACTGGAAAGCTACCGGAGCAGATAAACCGATCGGCAAACCGAAGACGTTGGGTATAAAGAAAGCTCTCGTCTTCTACGCTGGGAAAGCCCCCAAAGGGATTAAGACGAACTGGATAATGCACGAGTATCGTCTTGCTAATGTCGATAGATCAGCTTCTGTTCACAAAAAGAACAACCTACGAGTAAGTCCTGTTTTTCTTTCTCGATTTCTGTTTAATCTCTTTTTTTTTCTGAATTATTGGAAGATTTAGATTATTAACTTTGTTGTTGTGGGTTTTGTCAACAGCTTGATGATTGGGTTCTATGTCGAATATACAACAAGAAGGGAACAATGGAGAAATACTACCCCGCGGATGAAAAACCAAGGACAGCGACGACAATGGCTGATCAATCTTCCTCGCCGCCTTTTGATACATCGGACTCGACTTACCCGACATTGCAAGAGGATGATTCGAGCAGCTCGGGTGGTCACGTGGTCTCACCGGACGCTCGGGAGGTTCAGAGCGAGCCTAAATGGGGAGAGCTTGGGGATGCTTTGGAGGCTTTTGATACTTCCATGTTTGGTGGTTCTATGGAGTTGTTGCAGAGTGAAGCTTTTGTTCCTCAGTTCTTGTATCAGCCTGATTACTTCACTTCCTTCCAGGATCCGCCCGAGCAGAAACCATTCTTGAATTGGGGTTTTGCTCCACAGGGGTAAAAAAAGGAGGAGAGTAGAAGATGTTTGTGCCTGTGTTGTGATGTGCTTAGAGAGAAGTAACCAATCGTCTCCGATTCTTAGTAGTAAAAGAAGATTGTAGAGTGTTAATAGCTGTTAGCATCAATGTCTCATTAGTAGGCAAATTCTTGTAATTTATTTCATCAGAAATTTATATGAAAAAAATACACAAATTCTTCACGATGTTGTTGCACTTATGCAGAGACTGATATAAAGAGAGAACCTAACCTTTATATAAGAAATCTTGTTCTCCAAAGCTTCTTATAGTTTCAGAATTTTCATATTGGCTTGTTGTGTACGCGAGGTGATTTCCTCAATACTGTTGTTCCTATGTCTCGGAGTCTTTTGATTCTCGTTTTCTTGGTCCGTGGTTTCTTTTGAGAATCACTCCCTCTTTCCTTCTGTTCAAGCTGTTTGGAGAGTATTTCAGATCCATTATTCTCACGAGGAGCTCTCATTTTGGGACCCTCTTTGAAGAATTCTTTGTTTGTACCTTCGATTTCACATCCTCCAGATTCATTATATGGAACCACGGCTTCATCAAAGGAATCGATGATCAGAGAAAGCTGGCTCTGTATCTTGTGGGCAAACTTCCACAGTTCTTTGCAGCTTTCCTGTAAATAAAAGCACGCAAACAAAAACAAAGTCTCAGACCAGTTTTTCCATCAGCTCAAAAACAGACAAGTGACAGGAAGTAACAGATTTTTGTCATCACCATTGATAGAGGCAAACGAGAAACATCATCAAGTTCTGAAACCGCTATGTTCTTCTGCTGCTGGTCTTTCTCTCTACACTGCTTTAGCATTTCTCTGTTTTCCCAACCCCCAGAGAGAAACATGAAAAACTTTAGGATAATTCAAAGATGAACAGAAAAAACAGGCAAACAAAAGAAAAAGGATCAGAGTTTACTGTAGAGCAATGATATTGCCGCATGCTTCGGTTTGGCATTCCGAAAGAGTTTTATATGCTTCACCCTTCACTTGTACACATTCTTCTTCCATCATGTTATATGTTCTGCGCAATTTCGCTTTTCTATGCTTTGAGATTAATTCTATTAGATCCTCTTTTCCTTTACTTGAATCTTCCATCACCACATCATTTTGCTCATCTAGAACAACTACCTCATGTAATTCACCTCCTTCACTGTTTACTTCAATCCTACCTTCAGTCTCACTTTTCTCTAGAGCCACTTCTGGTTCTGGTAGTGTAGCAACTCCCTCTTTCCTGAGAATTTCAACAGTCGAATCCCTTAAACATGCCTTGACTCCATTAACTTCCGTGTCCCCAATTTCAAGGACATTAATGCCATCACATGATTTACGTTTGAGGCTCGTTTCGGACTTAGTCAAACCCCGTTCTTCAAACAAATCAACTTTATGATCCCCAGACTTCAAAGTTCTAACACTTTCTTCCTCGTGCTGGCAATTCGTTCTCACCGTTATCATAGCGCTCTGTCTTTCAGCATCAGTGGAAGCAACACCATTCTTCTTCTCTCCCGGGAGAGTGTAGCAGTAGTTGCTGTTGTTGTTGTAATCACAAAGTATCTCTCTTTTCTCCACAAGCTTAGCTAGATGATGACTGAGCAAACTCGTGTGAGCAAATGGCAAGTTCCTGTACTTTGACTTTATAAACTCTGATATCGCTTCTTCGCGAGAGCCACCTTCTTTGTTCAACTCCGTGATGGCGACAAAAATCATCTGAAAGAAATTTATACAGTCAGAAGAAGGCAGCAGGGATTATGTATGTGTGTGTGATGTATATGCACATAAGAGATTTTATATTTTCGAATACATACAGCAGAATACGTGGGATGATCAGGAGTACGGGATAAACACAGGTCCAAGAATTTCTGTTCGAAGAGTTTAGTCCCAGGAAGTAATAAGCCTCTCGAATTCGCCAAATTCACCATATAGGCTCTCAGATTCTCAACTTTTCTTTCATGTGCCTGTAGTTACCAACAACTTTCCATAGTCAGCATTCAGATTCAATGCATGAACAATTGCTCATACTATGGCATAGAGCTATCTAACTAAAGGAACAGCTCGAAACATACATTATCGAACCAAATTTCCCAACAAGCCTTTGAAGAAGAAACAGACCCAGAAATTACCATCGAAAGACCACTTAACATAGAAATTTAAAGTAATTTTAGAAAGAGATTAGTGATCTAAACCCTCACTGCTGAAACCTAAACCACAAACACGTTGACAGAGTCACAGAGGGTGGCGAACTAAAATAAACCCTGGCAAAAAAAGCAAACAATCCCCAAAAAACAAAACAGAATAAATTGCACAGAATCGAAGAAGACAAGACGTAGAAGTTACAAACCATAGGCACAATTATAGCAGAAGCCGCCATGGGAGAGGAAATCGAAGTTGTACAGTGTACGCAGGATCGGCGCTTAACACCTGAAGGCGACGGAAGTGAGACGGAAACTTGGTGATGTTGATGGACAATAGTCTCACAATATATATCAAATTGAACCGAATTATACCGAGCCAAATCGAGTATATTATTTAATTTAAACCGGACGGTTATGTTTGGTTCCAGTAAAGCTACCCTAAAGGGAAATAAAAAGCAAAACAGCCAACGAAGACGACGAGAGCGAAGATCAGAATCAGAAATGCTTCCATTAAAGCTTGCTCGCTCTCTTCTCCTTCACGAGACTCTCAATCTCACCCATAATTCCGGCGATACAGACGACGGAGACTGCGATGGAGACGGAGAAACCAGCATACGACAAATCCTTAGCTCATACAAACAATCAAAAACCCGATCGAGATCCGACAAAAAGAACACTGATACGAGAAATTCCAAAACCCCTTTGCTCTTCTTCGTTCCCAGCCGAGAATTGATCTCAGACACTTACCGATTAGCCACCATCGCGAGAGACCTAGGTATGGATTTGTACCCAACACCTTCCCTCTCTCACATCATCTTCTCATTCCCGCCGCGAGAATCGGGATCGCCGTCGCCTTTCTCATCGTCGTCTCGTCCTTCGACTTTGTCGTCTTCGGCGGCGTCGCTATCGTCGTCTCTCTCGTGGTCTCTTCCAAACGACGCCGTGATGCTCTCTTTCCCGTCTCTCTCCGCTTCCTCTCTCTCCCATCTCCGATCCTTCGTCTCCCTCTCCAACGGCCTATTCAAGCTCGTCTTCTCCGCCGCGGTGGAAACTCCTTCCTCTTCCGGATCCGTCAGCAATTGGGATTGCTGCTCCGTTTCACTCTTCTCTCGAATCACCAACAAACGAATCGGATCAATGGAGAGTTTCTCGCATGCATTGGCTTCGAACGGATGGACAATTTACAAGACGAAAGAGAATCCGTCGGCGGAATCTGCCGAACATAGCAACGCCGGAAGCTCAGCGTATCTGTTTAGGAAAGTGTATTCGGGTCGGATGATGACCCGAGACGGAAACGGGTCGTGTAGAGTGAGAGAGCTGAGACTTCCTCAGTTGGATTTCAGGAACGCACCTCTCCGGATTCTGCAATATCTGATGTTGATGACTGACGATGTGTTCTTCCTTGCGTAAATTTTGGATTTTTGTTTGTTTGTTTGTTTTTCATAAATGTAATCAGAGATCTCATTGACAAAATTTCGTTTTTGTTCTTTGGTAATTTCATTTATGTATATACACCAAGTCCATGTTACACTTTTAACAAATACACAACAATAAAGTCGAGTCTTCTTGTACATCCGTTTGTATTAACTCCCCCGTCACTTGTTGAAACTTAAGCTCATCACTTATGGGCCTTTTCCTTTTGTTGAGTTAGAGGGCAGCGAACGTATCTTCGGGACTGGACGGTGACGTCTCCACGGGTAGTGACCTGGTAACATTATGCGCAAGATCGTATGATTAGCTTCTTTTAAAAAACTTAATATTGAGCTTTGATGCGTTAGTAAAACCCTGAAAACTTGAATCATAAACTGGGTACAAACAATTTATTCCAACTATTTGGTCTTTGAATTCTGGCTCAGAAACTTACCTGGTGGTGGACTTGCGGAAGTGGCGCATCGAGAATCCGAATACCTGCTAGTAACTACAAAAAAAAAAAAATATGAGCACATTTCTTTTTAATACAACGTATATAGTGTACATGCGTAGACCAATCTATAAAACTAACGTATGTGGCGTTTGGCCTCGGCGACACCAGCTTGAGAAGAAAGACATAGAAGCAAAGATAGAAGAATAACAGTTACATATGATTTCTCTTTAGCCATTTTGTAACTGATTGTCTTTGTTACATTGCCATGAACTGGTATTTATATATTCAGAAAATAATACAGTATGAAGCATCAGAGTGACCAACTAAATTCCAATATAACGCGCTTTTACCTTATACAACGACTAACGACTCAATCTCTACCATTTCTTTTGCTACCAAACAAATGTTCAAGACTTCCGAGTACGTTTGTAGTTTTGTTATAATTGTGTCTCTAAGTTGAAGTAGATCACAACATTTTACTGTTTTTTAAGAGGATTGAGCCAGGTTTTGTTTCTGATTCAAATTTGTTTTGTAAAAAGAAAAAAACGAGATGTGAGAATTGCTGAAATAAAAAAAGGAAGACTAATAAGTTGAAGAGCTATTGTTGTGAAGTAAAAACATACAGCTTTTTCTTCTCTTTTTTTTTGATGGGAGTAATTAATTGTACATTTTTTTTCTTTTTCAATAGAAGAATGTAACGATATTGACAGAGACAGACCAAAAAAAAGAAAGAGAGAGTAACACAACACAAGGAGAATGAGGGCGGAGAAGAAGTTTCACGTGGGAGAGTGAGAAGCAGCGTGAGAACGTGAAGCCCAAATGCCAAACACAAGAAACCAGAAGACGAACAAGATTACCCAGTAACGTGCTGGTCCGTACCTGATTCTTGTCAGCACTACCTGTTTTTTTTTTTACAGTTTTTGAAAATCAGTTTCATTCATTCATCCTCAACGATTCCAACAAGACAAGAAAATAGTTTTTTTTTTCACTTACGAATCTGAAGAAGATGACTACTGTTAAAGCACATAGGCCACCCAGGAGTATATGCAGCCCACTCTTTGCAGTTCTCTGTGCAAAGGTTAAAAAAGATCACTAAGTCAGACTTTATAATATCTGAACAAACAATCGAAACCAAGAATCAATAACCAATAAAATGCGTTACCTTTCCGACACGAGGAGCAATGAGCCAAGCCAAAGTAACAGTGAGTAATCCAGTAGCGAGTAGTATCCCTGTACCTTCGACAGCCCATTTAGTCGCACGGCTCTCCATAGGCAAGATATCAAAGCTTACCACACCCAATGCTTGTTCAGATGTAACCTGAGAGGAACCCGCCCCTGCAGCAGTCGAATTATTGTTGTTTTGACAATGTGGACCAAACCACAACGAAATCTCACTAAGCCGTTGCCTTCGTATGGCTGCAACCGCATCAGGATCTATCCCCGAGGAACCAGTGTTGCTGTTAACCGCTACAGGGTTCGGATCTCCACCAGCTGTTCTTTCTCTTAGCGCCGCGTAATCTTTCAAGGCGATAGCCACTTTGTTGAAATCAACCGTTCTTATATTCACCGCGGAGTTTCCACAAATCTCGCAAACGGTTGATCCGTGGTTGACGAACCATTTCAACGCGCAAGCGTAGTGTACCAAAGCGAGATCGTTTTTGCAAGAACATCCGAGCTCGAGCAACATATCACGATGCTGCCACGCTCCCATTTCTATATCATCGTTTGCGCAAACGAAAACCTCTCCGTCCGGACTTATCAGTTCGATGAACCCGCTAGGTTTGACAGCTGAGCTTTTCTGATCGACGGTTTCTTCCCCCGCACTGCTCCTACGAGGCTCTGAAACCGGAGGAGTAATGCCTAAAAACCCTAAAGCAGCATCTCCTCTTCTGTCGGATTCTACGCATTGACACACGCGGCAAGTTGGTAAACCCGTGTCTTTGTCTGTACTGTAACGTGGTGGTGCCTCATGTTCTTCGTTCTTGATAGGTGGAGAAGAATCGTGATCACTGACTCCGCAATTCGTAATCTCCAACTGATTCTCTTTACCCATCAAATCCAAAAACAAACCAAAGCCGATTTTCTTCACAAAACCACCAAAGCCATTTCTCCAGAATCAAACTCCTTTTATGGCTGCTTCCTTGTAAACAGTTCTACTCCATATACATAGAAAATACCTTTTGACAGCTCAAGAACAAGTTTTCCCATCTAACAAACGACCTTCACCGCATCTATTGTCCCTCTACGACAACGAGAAAGACGCAAAGCTCCTGCAGTTAAAACATACCAAAACCTCCAGATTTAGCAGAATCTTGAGATCATTACATTATGCAAACACAGAGACATGTAAGCAAAGGAGAATCCAAAAAGAAAAACAGGAAGCAAACGCAAAAACAAAAAATGGAATCAAGCTAATAATGGGCATCAAGGAGCTTTCTGTAGCAAGTGAGAAGAAGAAATTTCTAACAGCACGCGAATGAGACGTAGCAACTATAATATATTAATAAGATCCAACCAACCTATCAGAAGATCATGAGAAGAAGCACTAAAAAGACATCACAAAAGAAAGGTGTCTGCATATCAATAAGATTATTTTTATCGTAGATTGTAACGGAAAGATATCGATAATGTATATGAATCAGAAGAAGACGCCATTAATCTATAATTTTTTATAAATCTTCGAACAAGGATTCCACCAAACTCCCACTCCTGAATAAATTAAAGATTTTTCAAGTTGTAAGACAAAAAAAAATCGTCACTTTCAACTTCAAAAAAAGGTATCTTCTTCACTGTATTACACCGCCTAAAACATGATAAACTCAGAACACCTAATTAAGCATAATGATCTAACTTTGCAGAAGAAAAAAAGCGAACGGGAATAAATAAATCTGCAGCTTTAAAATATAGAGAGATCAAGCATATGCAAATTATGGGTTTTTCGCCAGAAAATAAACGAATTTCGAGAAAAAAAGAAAAGAGAAGAGAGATCGAATCAATAGGCGAAAGCAGACCTCCGAACAATCAGGGTAGAGAGATCGATTGCTACACATATAGAAAGCGGCGAGAATCCAGGTTCTTCCTAAAAAGAGAAACCAATGCGTCTCTCTCTCTCTCTCTCTCTCTCTCGCCGCCTAATATTACAGGAATTTAGGAATTAGGTATTGGGATTTATCAAGGAAGAGAAAAATCTCATCCCTCTCTGTCTGTGAGCTTGCGTTTTTAGAGTTTTTTTGTTTTGATTTTGGGAAATTTTAATTTCCTGGTTTCTTTCTTTATCTTCTTACTTTTTTTTGTAACAAATGGAAACGATTTAGTGACAGTTCTCTTCATTACCACTAACACCAACCACTCGTGTTGTGAAAAGTGTAGATTGTTCTTTTTCTTGTGTTTTTTTTTTTTTGTTTTGGAGCTTTTGGTTATTAAAATTAAAACTGTTGAGATTCCCACTACAACAGACCAAACACAAGCATATAAGATATTACAAACAAAATGAAAAATTTATTCTTTTGCGTTGGTGTCTGAATCCTTGAAATCCACGACTGTTTTGATATTTCTTTGGGACATGTCGTCTATGATAAAAAAAACTTTTGGGATTATAAAAGTTATGCAAATTTTATCTAAAATCAATCTCTAAGGAACGACAGATTAAGTTCCAGACATTATCGTACTATAATCCTATCTAATAAAACGTTTTAGAAAGCCGCGGACCAATATTCGAAATCACGTTTGTAGACCGCTAGTCTCGGACCGCGATTTTGTTTTTTTGGCAACGGAAGCGATTTTTCCTTTTTTTTTTTAATCGTCCAAAACTGCGGAGCGTGGAACCCCAACATCCATAAGAAACGAGACGCCCCTTAATAAATTCGACGATTCTCCGGCAGAGCTTCCGGCGAATTTCCGATGGCCATTCTTTCAGCCGCATCCTCTCTCATACCATTCTCTTGTATGTACTCTTGCTCCTCATTCCAATCTGGTTATACTATTATTATTCTGGGTCGATTCTTGCTCTGTTTTGTTCCAAACCGTTGAAAGCTTTTCATTTTCCGATTGGGCTTTACGGACAAATTAGAACGAGTAGATTGAAGTATGAAACTTTTGATTCGATTTAATCTCTGGGTATGCAATATAAGATTATATTTGATGAGAAGACCGTTTGTGATTTCCTAAGGAGAATACTTTGCTTACTTCAACTAAAGAAAGAACTTTTGCTCTTCAGATATTTGTAATATTTGTGGTAAAATCTGGCAGTGATTCTAAGGATTAAATGTTGAAACTTTTGGTGTTATTCTCGATGTGTTTCAGATGGGGCAAAGAGACTAAGTACTAAAGCCTCTTTAGCTTCAAGAACATCTGGATTCAGCTTCTCTTCTATTCGGAATTCACCGAGAAACTCCCCTCGGTCGTATGTGTCGAGGGCTATCGCAGACAATGGTGGCTACACAGCGATTCCTGAGAATGAGACAGCTCCTGTGACTTACACGTGGCCTGATAAGAAGGTTTGAAACTCTTTAGAACAATGTGTGATATATCTCTAAGTTTCCGTTGCGGACTCTGTTACTTAATGAGTGAAAATCTCTCTGTTTACAGAGGCCAAGGGTGTGCATTTTAGGCGGCGGGTTTGGTGGATTGTACACAGCTTTGAGATTAGAATCACTTGTGTGGCCCGACGACAAAAAACCTCAGGTGATGTTTCTGGTTCGTTTTTGGTTAGAGCATTATGTTGCCAAGAATCAATCGTTGAATGCATTTTTGATGTTCTGAACTTGATCAGGTGGTTTTGGTTGACCAATCCGAACGTTTTGTGTTCAAGCCAATGTTGTATGAACTTCTCTCTGGAGGTAGAGTTAGTTTCTTCATGCCTCGGGTCGATTATTTTTCTATGGCTGAGTGTTGATTTAGTGTTGATCTGCAGAAGTTGATGTGTGGGAGATTGCTCCCCGTTTCTCGGATTTGCTTACAAACACGGGAATCCAATTTCTCCGAGACAGAGTCAAAGCATTGACTCCTTGTGACCATTTAGGAGTGAATGGGTCCGAAAGTTCCGTTACTGGAGGAACCGTCTTGCTCGAAAGCGGCTTTAACATTGAATACGATTGGTACTATGTATAACGCATATCTCACAAGTTCTTGTTGTTCATAGACTCTTTATATGTTGCATCATACCACGAAACTGTGTATGTATTTAAGTTAGAGATTTGGACTCATTTTCTTTCTTTTCTACAGCCAGGCTGGTTCTTGCTCTGGGCGCTGAACCTAAGCTCGATGTTGTTCCCGGCGCAATGGAGTTTGCTTTACCATTTTCCACCCTTCAAGATGCTATTGTAAGAGTTTAGGGGTGCCCCCAGTCTAGTGTTCGGTTTGCATTTCTCGGTTTATGCAATACAGAAATTAGAATCTGATTTAGTTTTTGCTTCCTCAAACCGAATTAGACACTCTTTTAAACTAAATCATGGCTGCTACGATGTCATTGCAGAGGGTGAACGAAAAGCTGAGCAAGTTGGAGAGGAGGAATTTCAAAAACGGCTCTGCCATTAAAGTAGCTGTTGTTGGTTGCGGTTACGGAGGAGTTGAGTTAGCTGCAACCATATCAGAGAGGCTGCAAGATCGTGGAACAGTGCAAGCCATTAACGTGTCCAAGACTATATTAACATCATCCCCTGATGGGAACAGAGAAGCAGCTATGAAGGTAGTGTCATTGCAAGTTGCATCCTCACAGTTTCAATTAGAACGCAGTAAAGATGCTAAAGTAGCGTCCTTTTGGATTTGTGGTTAGGTTCTTGTGTCGAGAAAAGTCCAGTTACTCTTGGGTTATCTTGTTCGATGCATAAAGAGAGCAGGCGATTCGGAATCTCCGGAAGAAGATGGAGGATACTTGTTAGAGCTTGAGCCTGCGGAGAGAGGATTAGAGAGTCAGATTATCGAAGCGGACATGGTGTTGTGGACGGTCGGGACTAAGCCTATGCTTACGGAACTAGAACCTTCGGGTCCCAATGTCCTTCCTTTGAATGTTAGAGGACAAGCAGAAACAGACGAGACACTCCGTGTCAAAGGACATCCGCGGATTTTCGCATTGGGTGATTCGTCTTCTTTAAGAGACTCAAACGGAAAGCTTCTTCCTACAACAGCTCAGGTGAGATAAGAAAACAAAAACCCACAGAATTGATCACATTCATGTTTTAGAGTCGAATCAGCTTTGATAATGATACACGATATCAAAATTGTCAGGTTGCGTTTCAAGAAGCAGACTTTACTGGTTGGAATATATGGGCTGCCATAAATAACCGACCTTTGTTACCATTCAGGTATAGACTTTTTAACTGGTCTGTGTAATGAAAGCATACATTTTTAAGCTCTGGTGTTATCTTTTTTTTTGCAGGTTTCAGAATTTAGGGGAGATGATGACTCTTGGAAGATATGATGCTGCTATTTCGCCGAGTTTCATTGAAGGGCTTACACTTGAAGGTCCAATTGGTCACGCAGCGAGAAAGTTGGCGTATTTGATTCGACTACCAACTGATGAACACCGGTTTAAAGTCGGTATCAGCTGGTTTGCTAAATCTGCTGTTGATTCAATTGCTTTACTTCAAAGCAACCTAAGCAAGGTTTTATCTAGTAATTGATCTCTGTTAGAGATCCAAAACGATTCCGTATCAATGACAAATGTATCACTTTGAATACTTTTTCTACTGTGTTTTTTTTTTTTTTTAATTCATTTTCTAGTGTGTTTCTTTCACGGGTACCAAATTTACTAGCTTTAATTGAGAATTGATATTAATACAACTAAAGATAAAAAATGATCCCATTATTCTACACTAGGTCGTTTTATATAGTAAGATATAAATTTCGTGATTATTTAGCAGAAATTTGTGCAAGTTCAAAAAATTTGAAGTATCTAGAGTGCATAAAAACCAAAAATAAAAAATTTATATCATCATGTTTTTGACCGTTTTCAGTCTTCTGACATACTCATTAACAATGATTCCTTTAACCTTAGCTTTCTAACTCTAACTCTAGACGATAATCCCTTTCTATATGATCGTTTATGATCCCAAATTTGAAGCCTAGACTTTGTTCCCATTAAATTTTTACTTATTTTTATTGACTAAGTTTCATTAAAATATAAAAGTACAAAGAGAATTACAAAGTATTATATTCCTATCAAATTATTACCTATCTATAGAATTGTGAAGTAGTTATGAATCTAAGGTGTTTTCTTAATGAAATGATATAAACAGTTCAAGTTTACAAAATAAGTATTAACTACAAAAACTAACAACCAAACTACTTATGAAATTTGTATGAATATGTCTACGGCATACTACTTGATTTGTTGTTGGTCTAAAATACATATAAAAAACAAAAGTGTTGAATTCGGTTTGTAATATATGTATATTTTATATTATATAAAATTATTATCTATTTTATATATGCGTCAATCATCATTATATATTTTTTATAAATTTTTGATTAATAACATATTAATTTTTAACTTTAATAAATTGAATTTTATATAATAAAATATATCATAAAATGTAGTATTATGACGTATAACTTTTAAAAATTTAAATTTGGTTTATAATATATATTTTAGTTTTATGCATTATATAAAAAGCATTATCTTTTTTCATACACGCGTCAATCATCCATTATATAATTTTATATATATTAATAATTATTTTATAAATTTTTGACTAATGATATATTAATTATTAAATTTGACACATTAAACTTAATATGATTTTACAAAACAAAATACAGTATACCATTTGGTTTAAACCATCATTTGGTTTGTAATTGGTTTAAAATACATAAGAACCGAAAGTTTTAAATTTGGTTTGTAACGTATTTTAGTCTTTATCCATTATCTAAAAAATCTTATCTACTTTCATACACGCGTCGATCATGTATTATATAAATTTATGTGTATAGATTATCATTGTATAAATCTTTGACTAACAACTGTTTATACAAAACTTGTAACTTTCAATCAATGTTTTCTGCTTTTAACAGCTATCATTTGCTCAAAATTCCAAAATTACATCAACTGGTTTATAAGATAACTTTTTCAGTTTAGTATATAATCATGTGGTGCTGACTTGCTACTGTCATATACTCACCTTTGAACTTCGCTTTCTGGCCTTAGACTACAATCAAAACAATATCCTCTGAGTTGATATTGTTTAAGCTTGAACCCCAAGCTACCAAAACCCCTACTCTTCCCCTTCGATTCCGGTAGTAAGTAGGTAAACAACAGAGTCCATCGATTTATAACCTTTTGTACCTTGTTAAAGTTACATTTTCTTACTTGTGTTGATACATTTTTTTCAGCAATGGAAGCTGATGGTCAGAGACTTTACTCTGTTCTCACGAGAGAAGAAGTTGGTGAGAAGATGATGAAGCAAATCGAACAGATCTCGGAAGTCTTCTCGGTGTCGAAGTCCGATGCAGCCGTAATCCTCAACCATGTCAAATGGAACTCGTTTCGGGCTTCAGATCGGTTGGGTGACAACAAGGAGAAATTTCTGGCGGAACTAGGGCTGGTAAGAGTTTTGAATTCGAGTTCTTCTTCTGCAGGTCGTAAGACCCATTCTGATGGCGATTACGATAGTGAGCTTCTTAAATCTTTCATGGATGAGACCAAAGTGAAATGGTGTCCATCCCCGGGGTGCAACTACGCCCTCGAGCGTGAAGATGATGATGAGTCATCTGTTTGTTTTGGCATGGTGTGTCTGTGCGGACACACCTTCGGCTGGAGGTGCGGGCGAGAGTCCCACCGACCAGCAACTTGCAAGCAGGCGGAATCCTGGCCAACGCAGTTGGATGCATTAAAGAACGATGCTTGGGTCTCTGAAAACACCAAACGTTGTCCTGGTTGCAACTTTGCCGTGCAGCGGGACGGTGACCCTGATTTGAAACTCATAACTTGTGTCTGCGGGTTTGCTTCTCTCCCTCTCTATTCAAATCAGATCTTTTTTGGTTTTTCTTTGTTTTTAGAAATCAACGCTCATCCATGTTTGCTTTTACTGTTGTGCAACCAGTTGCGACTTCTGTTGGTGTTGCTTCCGATCGAAGGAAGCCCACAACGGCAAGTGGAACTGCCGTGACGTATCCGCGTCACCGAAAAGGAAGCGCGGGAGAGAGGATAATGAGTTCACTTACCTGCGTCAGTGGGAGAAACTTGAAGAAGAATGGGAGAAATCCAAGACCGAGTTCGAATCCATCGAGGAGAATGGCATTCCAGGTCTAAGCGACGAAGACGCAAGTGTTTTAAGAGAAGCGATGCTGGTGGTGGTCCAATGCAGACTCGTGCTCAAGTGGAGCTGTGTCTTCGAATATAACATACCTGATGACCAAATCGGCAGGAAGCAGTACGTGAAGGAACGTCGAGGAGATGCTACCAAAATTCTAGTTAAGCACAGCGATACTCTCCAAAAAGAGATGAACCAAGCTCTCTCATCTGAAGATTTCAGTTATTTCAAGGTCAGAGTGTCTAACAGCACAGCAACCACCGGTGAGTACTTCCATAGTTTTGTCGAGTTACTTGACAAGGTTCCTGAAGTTAAGGTCGATCGTAGCTTCTGATAACAGCAACACTGCAAGTGTCGCAAGTGCTCATCAGCAAGTCCCAAACAATCAAGGAGAAACCAATCCATGAGAGTGATGGTGAGTAACAGAGACATGTGTCATGAGCGAATTATCTCTTTCCCATTTTATGTTGCTTTTTGCTTCTGTTGTTTTGCTTCTGTTGTTTTTATTCTAAGATTCTGTTTTGAAATCTCGTCCATCAATATAATAAGTGTTTTGTTAGTTTTCTTGCATAATAAACACAATTGCGTCTAATTCATTTTTTTTTACATAAACTCCAAAACTCAAAAATGTTATGACCAGACTAATATCTTCTATGTATCTGCAATGTAATTAAAATGATATAAATTACCAGATAATCTAAATAAAATTCAGCCGGAAAAAAAAAAAAATCTCAAACGCCATTGGATTTTAATAAAATAATATTGTAACCTTTCGAATTTCCCAGTTTCTTTACCCTCATCAATTCATCACTGGTTGCCTAAAAGGATAAAAACCCTAAGCGACAATCAAATCTTTATCCTCTGTAACCTCTGAGTTGATTTCGATTAGCTTGACCTTCAAGCTACCATAAACTGATCCCCAAGTTATCGGAATCCCTTCTCTGCCTCTTCGATCCGCAGGTAAGCAACTATCAATTCTCCTCCATCTTCTTTCGCTATTTTAGGGTTTGAAATTTGATTTCTTCTTTACAGCCATGGAAGCCGATGGGCAGAGACTCTACTCCGTTCTTACGAGAACAGAGGTTCGCGAGAAGATGATGAAGGAAATCGCCCAGATCTCGGACGTCTTTTCGCTGTCACAATCCGACGCAACCGTGATCCTAATCCGTCTCCGTTGGAACTCGTTCAAGGCTTCAGATCTTTTGGGCGACGACAAGGAGAAGTTTCTGGCGGAATTAGGGTTGATTAAAGATTTCGGTTCCGATCAAAACGAATCGAATTCTTCCTCTGTAGATCATGATATGAACGATCCCGATGGCGATGGGAATGATCTTGTCTCCACTCCCTTTTGCTCACACAAGTTTCTCACAACTTACTGGAGAGATTATCTCATCGAATCTCTGGAGAAGAAGAAGAAGAACAGTAAAAATGAGGACGAGAGCGTAATAGTAATATCTTGCATCAACCAAGACTGTGTCGCTTCCGTTGGACCTGATACGATCGAAAAACTCACAGAGCCAGTGCAGGCGATGTACGAGAGTTACCTTCTGGAATCTTTCATGGAGAGTAACAAGGAATCGATCAAATGGTGTCCTGCGACTGAGTGCGATTACGCCATAGAGCGTCATGGGGATCTGATTGAAGATGATGATGATGAGTCATCTCTTGGTTTCGGTGTGGTGTGTCTGTGTGGTCACACCTTCTGTTGGAGTTGCCAGCTCGAGTCACACCGACCCGTGACTTGCAACAATGCTTCCCTTTGGTGCTCTGACCTCTTAGATCGATCAAAGACCCGTTTATGGATCGCTAGAAACACCAAACGTTGTCCTACTTGCAGCAGTCTCGTGCAGCGAAACCGTGACCCTTATTTGAGATTCGTAATTTGTACCTGCAGGTTTGGTTTCGTTATCTTTCTTCCTTTCCATGCTTTAAAAAAACAGAAAGTTAGACGTTTAAACTCATGATGTGTTTGCTTTACTTTTATGCAATTCAGCCATAGATTCTGTTACCGGTGCTTGCGATCAGAGTTGGAGCACTACGGAGTATGGAATTGTGCGGAAGTCTCTGTTCCACCAGCAAGGAGTGACGACGCTCTAACTCAGCACGTGACACTCTGGGAGGCAAGTCAAGCAGCAATGCAGAAATCTAAACAAGATCTTGAAGCCATTGAGCAAGACAGCATTCCAAAACTAACCGGGAACTGCGGTTTAGGAGAGCAAGAGTTTAGGGCTCTGAGAGAAGCTTGGATGCTGATCGTTCAGTGCAGGCTTGTCTTGAAATGGAGCTATGTGTTTGGTTATTTCATAAGCGATTACCACAGCGCCAAGAAGCAGTACCTGGATCACCTCAGAGAGGAAACTGACAGAGTTCTCGATAACCACAAATGGAGTCTAGATGAGTTGATGAGAGTAGCCAGCTCAGGTGAAGACATGACCTGTTTCCAGCACTTCAAGCACAAGTTGGGAATTACAACAACAGCAACTGGTAATTACTTCCATTTCTTTGTCAAGACTATTGAAGATGGTCTGTCTGATGTGAAGGCTGATGCTTATGAGGATACAACGACCGGTTACTGGTTCTGCGATCGCTGCACTTTTCAGAACGATTCGTTTGATAGAAAGTGTAACGTGTGCCTCGCCCCTTTTGAGTCTCCTCCTCCCCATGTGGCTTCTGGTAACAAGGATACTGCAGTTGCTCATCATCAACAAGTCCCAAACATGCCCAATAATCCATTTGCTCACGTGGAGGAACCCATACTTGAAACATCGATTAAGACTGAGTGATGAGTGAGCGAATAGTGGATTTTTGGCTTATTTTTAGCCTTGACTTTTGTTTGAAGACATTTGTTCTTGGTGTTGGAACATCTTTTATCATATCAGAGTATTAGAGCACTGTTGTTTTTTCTTTTCTTCATTCTTTTGTTAATTTTCTTCGTGTGTGCGTTTCCTTTTGTTACATGAAAACGCAAACACAAGGAAACAATGTATCGAATATTGTTACTTTTTAGTTTTTTAGTAGGGAATAAAAAGATGTTGAAGAAGAAGACAGTGATTTTGCAGCCATACATGTGTAACATTTTAAAACTAAAATAATAAACTAAGGAAAAAAAAATCCGGTGGATGAGAAAATTTAACGGTCTAAGTATATACGACACCGTGCAACAGTTGCTTTACGTCCCCCACACTGCCATTTGCTCACTGGCTTTGCTATAACAAAATCAATGTCAGTGAGCAAGCTTCCACATCTCTCCCATGGCGTTCACACCATCAACTTGCTCAATTTCACGAACGAACCTGTGGTTCTTAGTGTGCTGCTCCCATACCCCTCGCAGATTCGACTGTTCTCGGCCTTTTCCACCACCACAACGGCCACGATCGGCGGCGCTGGGGTCTTCAAGTGCCGCGGAACGAGACATAGCGCCGGTAGAGGTGATAACGGGTTGAGGAGAGAGAGTGGATTAGGTTTCGTGGAAGAGGAGGAGAGAGGAGAGAGAAAAGTGCGCTGTGAGGTGGATGTGATCTCGTGGAGGGAACGGAGGATAAGAGGCGAAATCTGGGTCGATTCTGATTCTCAATCCGTCTGGGACGTTCTCACTGATTACGAGCGTCTTGCTGATTTCATCCCCAATCTCGTTTGTAGGTACTTTACCCAGTTCTTCATTCTCACTTTCTTTAGATTCTCTCGTCATTTTTCGTTGTATTGTATCCACAAACTTAATCTCCGCTTCAATAGATCCCCAGTTTTGCTGTCTGGTTGTGCTTATGCGGATAATTTTGTGTGAATGTTCATGCCATAGAAACGAGATGTATGAATCCTGAAATTGTTGATGCTAACATGTTCTTGATGTTGATTGTTTCGACTTCTAGTGGAAGGATCCCTTGCCCACACCCAGGACGTATATGGCTGGAGCAACGAGGCCTTCAAAGAGCATTATATTGGCATATCGAGGCTCGTGTTGTCCTTGATCTCCATGAGTGTCCTGATTCTGTGAGCATTCTAAAGCCTTGTTACTTTTCTCCTGCCAAATGATTGGGACTGATTCTAGAACCTTGCACACTCTGCCAGATTATGTGATTTTGTTTGAATTCAAATTTATCTCTATATCCGTATTCGAAAACTCTTAGAAGTGAATCTTAGTGAGGTCTACTTTCTACATGTTCATCTCATCATCTGTCAGAAGTCCATGGTTCTAACGTTCGTCTGATCCTCTTTTAGCCTTCGTTGCACTACTGGCATTGGGTATATTGCTTAGGATTTGTTAATCTGTTACAATGAGTTTTATTTCATTGTTTTTTTCTCAATCCATACATCGCCTATTAATGTAGTTTCATGCTTTTACGATCGTTTCAGCCAAATGGTCGTGAGCTTTACTTCTCTATGGTAGATGGTGATTTCAAAAAGTTCGAGGGAAAGTGGTCTGTAAAATCTGGTATCAGGTACATTCATTAAGAAGTTTGTGTGTGCACACATATATGATCGTAAACATCATTTATTCTCTTTTTCTGTGATGAGATCTCTATATCCTCTATGAATTCGTATCATAGAAGTTGTCTCTTTAAACATCAATGTTCCAAACATTTATTTTTCTCTTTCTCCAGGTCCATAGGAGCTGTCTTGTCATACGAAGTAAACGTAATCCCAAGATTTAACTTCCCTGCCATTTTCTTAGAGAGGATAATCAGATCAGATCTTCCTGTAAATCTCAGAGCCTTAGCTCGCCAAGCTGAGAGAAATTATAAAGGTTGCGGAAAGCCGTCAATTATAGAAAATCTGCTGGGTAGAGCATCTGTATCGCTGACCCCTTCTCGCGGTGTTGAGTTTGAAAGTCCAGTTTTTGAGATATCTGCTGCCTCCAGTGTTGGATCGTTATCTCATTCAAATGAACTGAACAATAATTGGGGCGGGTATGGAAAAGCCTGCAAGCTTGATAAACCTTGCACCGTCGACGAAGTTCATCTCCGTAGATTTGATGGACTATTGGTAAGTAGCTGGTTCCAAAACTAACTACATGAAAAAGAACAACAGTTTTCTTATCTTTTGTGGTGATTGGTGAGTGGTTTTATTTGGATGAAGGAAAATGGAGGTGTCCACCGTTGCGCCATTGCTAGTATAACAGTGAAAGCTCCGGTTTGTGAAGTTTGGAAAGTTTTAACTGCTTATGAGAGTCTTCCAGAGTAAGAACCGAATGCTTTTTTATAACAGCTAATCTTTTCAACTTTACTTCTGCGTCAGTCTTTATCAAATACTGGTTTGGTGGCTTGCACATCTCTTGTTTATCTGTCTTTTGTCATTTATGAATCTATCAGGATAGTTCCAAATTTGGCAATCAGCAAGATCTTGTCACGCGAAAACAATAAAGTCCGAATACTTCAGGTATGAGCATTCTCATCCACGGTAACCTTATAATCGAATATGGCAAGAAACATTCGTATACATTGTACCGGTACTTGTGTAGGGTACTTAACTTTGAAAATATATGAGACTTGAAGAAATAGAATTGAATGTATGAGAATTGTTCCAAATAGTTGTGGATGTGAGGCTACACCATATAAGACCTAATAATTTGCTCAGAAAGGCCCTGCATTAGTCCGGGGTCTTGAAGACACTGGCCAAGCCAGTGCTTCTATAGTGATGTCAAGAAACTCTATAGTTACACCGAATTGTGTTTGCAGGAAGGATGTAAAGGCCTGCTTTACATGGTGCTTCATGCGAGAGCTGTTCTCGATCTGCATGAGAGTCGTGAGCAGGAAATCAGATTCGAGCAGGTTGAAGGTGACTTCGACTCGCTGGAGGGTAAATGGATTTTTGAACAACTAGGCAGCCACCACACACTTCTCAAATATACCGTGGAGTCCAAAATGCGAAAAGATACATTTCTTTCCGAAGCAATTATGGAAGAGGTTTGGCTAACAATTGGATTTTTTTCAGTCTCTATCTTTTTTTAATTTTTTATTGTAACTACGGTGTCTCTCTCGGCCTCTTCTAGGTTATTTATGAAGATCTTCCGTCCAATCTATGCGCAATCCGAGATTACATCGAGAAATCTTCAGAGTCATGTAAAGTGGAGACATGTCATGTTTCAGAGGAAGCTTGTTCTTCATCTTGTGCCACATCACTGGAGACAGTTTACAACAATAATGATGGTACCGACCAAACCAAGCAGAGAGCGAGGATTCCCGGTTTGCAAAGAGACATCGAAGTGTTAAAATCAGAGATTCTCAAGTTCATATCAGAACATGGACAAGAAGGATTCATGCCCATGAGAAAGCAGCTTCGGTCACACGGAAGAGTTGACATTGAGAAAGCCATTACCAGAATGGGTGGATTTAGGAGAATAGCCTTGATGATGAATCTCTCACTTGCTTACAAACACCGAAAACCAAAAGGATATTGGGACAATCTCGAAAACTTGCAAGAAGAGGTAATCTTTCTCCACATGTTCAGAATCAAAGTCACCCCATTAGGATATTTCGGTTAAACCAAATCGTTGCAATGGTGTTTACAAGAGCTTCTCCCTATGCCTGTGTTTGCAGATAGGGAAATTTCAACAGAGTTGGGGAATGGATCCATCATTTATGCCGAGCAGAAAAACGTTCGAACGCGCAGGTACGAACAAACAATAAGCTTAAATTATAAAGCCTAAGCGTGTTCCTCGAAACCGGATTGGGCCAAAGAAACAGTTGATCTGTTGTTTCAGGTCGTTATGACATAGCGCGTGCGCTCGAGAAATGGGGAGGACTACACGAAGTGTCTCGTCTTTTAGCATTGAACGTGAGACATCCAAACAGACAGCTAAATTCGCGCAAAGACAATGGTAACACGATACAGAGAACTGAATCTATTGATACCGATTTACATTCGACGCTTATTAACAAGAAGAATAAACCTTATGTCTCTCAAGATACAGAGAAGTGGCTGTACAACCTTAAAGATCTTGATATCAATTGGGTTCAGTAAGATCTTTGTAGTCTTGTTAAAACTCACAAAGAAAAACATATGTTACTGTAAATTGCAACAGTAAATTGAAACCATCTGTTTATATGAATGTATGTAAATTTCTCTTTAACGTTTTCACACCAAAGCTCTCAACCCGAACACAAGCAGAGTCAAGAATGCAACACTATATATACTTATTTTTATCATGTTCTTTGCTATTATCAATGATCCCACCATTTATTTCGTTTTCTGTACGTTTTAACTTAGATTGATATTTACATTTTATCAAAAAAAAAAAACCTTAGGTTGATATAAAGCCACTGAGTATACGAGAGCACAAAACATTTAAGGAGGGTAATAGCAAAGAACAAAGAAGTAAAGGCCCGTGAATGAAATTTGATAGCGATGGTTTTAAGAAAAATAAAAGTCTCGTCACTGTCTTTAATATGAAATGAAATTACACGTAATTAGAAAGAAAACTTCTTTCTATGTTTTAGATTATTACAGAAACAATGTTTCAGAGAATCAGAGATCGTGACGCATGACATAAGAGAGAGATAAAGAGTTTGGATGTGAATTCTGATGTGAAAAGGGGAAGCGATGACCTAAAAGCAAGCACCAAAAAATTGTGAAAAGGGGAGGAAATAAAATGTTAATTAAAGAAAAACTGTAGAAAATATAAAAAAGCATGCATAAATCCAGAAAAGAAAAGGGTTTAATATCGAAGGCAACAAACTATCCCAAAATCTAAAATCTTTCTATTTTATGGCATTTATATCAGATAGCTCTATATTATGATGATGATTGGGACGTTCCTCTAAATTAAGACAAACCCACCCAACAGCTAAAGAAACGTATGAACAACAGATTTTCTCTTTCATATATATTAAAGAATATTACCAAAAAAAAAAAAATATATATATATATATATATTAAAGAAATTATTATCACCATCCATTAATTGATCGAATGATCTTCTTCATGACCTACATTATTCGATGGAACGATCTTCTTCATGACCTCGAGAGCCAGACAAAATTACGTAATCTCAACCCTAAACCAAAGGAGAAGAGCTAAAGTTTATGTAAGAATACATGCAGAAGGAAGAAGAAGGTACGTGGCAAGGACGTAAGGGTATCTGAGAGAAAAAGAAGTCCAAGTTTCGTCTTTGTATATGTAAGGGAGCAAATGACCACAAGATTTTCATATGTACTCTTGTTATATCAATTTAGTAATTTTCTGGTCCGGAAAGTGTTGATTATTTTGTGGTTACTGCCTTAATATAGAGTGTGAAGGGTTACCTAAAATAGGATTTTACATTCAAACATCTTCTAGACATTTATGTTTGCTATTCAATGAATACGTACATACTTGTATATCCGTTTGTCTTTAGTTGTTTCTACTTTCTTGTTTAATATCCTTCTTTTCCGAGGTCAACAGCAGTTGATCGATCTCTCTGCAATTTGTTTGGTTAACTGGTTCTCTACATTTTTTTATTCTATGTGGTAAACCGATACAAGATCTCCAATAAATCTAATTATATATACCAACACTTATGTATGTATGTTATATATGGCTGTCACACAAAAAAACATGTATGTTCATTAATAATTATATGTTTGTTGTATTATATGGACGCATTTGCGTATAGATGACGACTTCATGAACATATGTATTAATTGTTGTGAAAATGACAAAACATTGTTTTGGTCTTTACCTCGGTACGTCCAAAATTTTCCTATAGATCGCTTTCGATTTTACATACACAACTATTTTAGAATTTACCTAGAAAACATTTTATTTCTTGCTTTATTATTTTAAAACCCAATATTTGCCTTTACATTTACATTTTTTTTTTTAAAATACCCCAACATCACATATTGAAATTTTTTTTTTTTTTTGAAAGAGCACATATTGAAAATTCGGAGCATCATTATAAGTATGTATAAGAAAAAAAAATTGGTGTAAATGTGAAGAGTATATATAAGAAATTTATAAATTAGGTGGATAAAAAGTGAGAGACAACAATATAAAATGATAGACCACAGAAAAGTAAGAAGGATAGTGGCAAAGAGCAGTATAAAAAGGCACGTGAAAGATATTCGACAGTGATGGTTTGAAGTAAAATAAAAGTCTCGTCGGTGTCTTCGATATGAAATGAAATTACACGTAATTAGAAACAATCTTCTTTCTGGGTTTTAGATTATTTCAGAAACCAAGTTTCAGACATCCTGACTCGTGACTCGAGACAAAGAGAGAGAGAGGGAGAGAGATAGCGTTTTGATGTGAACTTGTGACGTGAAAAGTGAAAGATAAATATTAAAATGCATGCATAAACCCAAAATGGCCAGAAGATCGAGAGAAAATATCATTAAGTACTCTAGGATCTCTCTGTTCTCTCTATTTCTCAATGTTTTTATATGAAAAAGGGCTCCATGATGAGTAAACAAACCCAAAAACTGTAGAAACATATATAAAAAAAATTTCTTTCTCAAGTAGAGTAATTAAGAGAAGTAATGAAAATGTAGCTTTCACCATAAACAAGATCTAAGCCCATCCAGTGAGCCCCATCTCACAAGATATATCAAAGATGAAAGTAAGACAAAAAACTGAATCATGAAGAAAGTGAGCAAAACACGATAAATCGGTTGGGGGGAATGAAGCCTGGTCCGAGAATCATTTAGAATTTGTTTTCGTTCTTCTAAAATAAAGCGAACCAACTTTCTTCATGACCTCGAGCCAGACAACATTCCTCTCAACCCTAAACCGCACCACAAATTAAAGTCAACACCACAACTACGTTATCAAGAAGAGAAAAGAGACCAAAGTCAAAGAATGTGTATGAAGAAAAAGGAAGAGAAATTTCGTTTGTGAGACAAAGAAAACTCAGGTTTTGTCTATATATATATATAGAGAGAGAGAGAGAGGGAAGCAAATGACCACAACACCAAGATTGTCTTTTTACTTTTCTTACATTAGTTTAGCAACTTTTTTGAGTTTGAAAAGTCTTGATTAAATTCTGGTTACTGTCTCATTATAGTGTGTGTAGGGTTACCTAAAATAGAAGTTTATAGGGAAGACCAGTGTTGTAAAGTTCAACATGCTCCAAGTTAATAATTTTTTTTTTTTTGTTTGCTTCAAAACTCCAAGTTAGTATATACATTCAAACTTTTTCTCTAGATTGAATTTCGATTGAAGCTGTTCTTCTGATTTAAATTCCTTCGTTTCCTTTATTTCCGAGTCAAATAAGGTATAATTAGCTAAATAAACAAGAATATTTCTTAAAAATTTTCAAATCATACGAATAAATTTCAACTATATAATAAGACAAATAGGCATCTTCATTTTGCAATGGTAATAAACTGTATATTTATAAATTTATATTTAATTTTCGAGTTAAATGCGAGACAGGTATTGGCTCCCTCATTATTGTCACATTATTTTGTTGGCTCCTTCTCTCAACTGACCTTCTCTTTTTTTCTTCTTCTATAATTGTAACTATAATTGGAATTGTATAAGTAATATATACATATATATATATATGTTTCATTTAAATTTTAGTACTATATATATGTTTTTTTTTTCTAATATATATGGATTCATTTGCTTAGATGTGGTTCATGACGCCTTCATGGACATATGTATTAATTGTTGTGAAAAGGACTAAACATTGTTTTGGTCGTTACATCGGTATGTCCAAAAAATTTCCATGTAAGGATAGAAGTTTTGAAGATACAATCCTTTGCTGCCATCTTCTAGCGATAGTTAACAAAAGATTAACTCTGTTAAGTTAACTTAATATAGTATATTTGAAAAAACATATACATATCATTGTTATGATCAAAGTGATTTTAACAATAAGCAAAAGGCGTTCTCAAAAAAAAAAAAAAGGCAATATCTCCTTTTTCTATTTGGGGTGTGAAATTGAACAAAACAAACTTGAAGACAAATTTAAGAAAACAGAAAACAACTGGAAGGACCGATCTCCAAAAACCTTCAACTCTACAGAATTGAATAACGGGAAGACGTAGCATTCTTTCTATCCATCAGTTTCTTCTTCCTCCTCCTCCTTGATCATCATGTGATTCCATTTACAGTTCAATCTTTTCATGAAAAATTCACTCTTTTTCCAGACCAGAGAAGCAGAACGATCCATTTGACCTTCCAGCTTCACCTCCTTCTATTTATCGCATTTCCGTTTGATTATAAGTGATAATGCTGACCAGAGCTCTCGGACGAGTTCGAATTCCTGCGTCGGTGATTCAGGGATCGAACAATTCGAGTGGGGTTTTCGAGAATTCGAAATTGGGTCCGATTGGTGTTTCCTGTAGAAGATGGTTGTCGAGCGAGAGTGGGAAACGCGTTGCGGCAATGTGGGGAAGCGGAGATTACGGCAGATTAGGGCTCGGAAACTTGGAGTCTCAGTGGAGACCTGCCGTCTGCTCTGCCTTGAGTGATCACAGCATCAGAGCTCTCGCTTGCGGCGGAGCTCACACTCTTTTCCTCACCGGTGACTCCCATCTCCCGACTTGCTTTATGATTTTCTCTTTTGCAATTGAGCTGATAAATCCAGAGAATTGGTGTCGCAGTCACTTTTGTATACACCATTTGCATTTTGCAGCTGTGATCTTATTGGTTCTAGTTGCAAATAATCAGAACCAGAGTGAATTTGATGGGATCATAACATTTTCTTATTGGTTTTGTTTAATTGGTCATGTTGTTGTTCAGTTGTTTTTTTCTGCAAAGTATTCTTCTTTGAATCTGATTGTGAGCTTACATACACTCCTACACATGTAACAGAAACGAGGAGAGTCTTTGCAACAGGTCTTAATGATTGTGGCCAACTTGGCATATCAGATGGTAAAACTCATGCTATGGTACGTTGGGTCAAAAGACTATACGGGTGCAAGCTTTTTTTTTCTTTGCTTCTCTGTTTTAGTTTTCACCTGTCTTTTGTCTCAGATAATTAAATTGGAATTGAAGTTTTCAGATGTTGTTTGATTGTTTCAAATGTCGTAGGAGCCTCTTGAAGTTTCTGGACTAGAAAAGGATATTCAGCACATCTCAGCTGGCTATTATCACTCTGCTGCTATTACAGGTAACCAAGCACAATGTTCTTCATTAAATCGTCATGACCTGAGCCTGAAACATGATCTCTTGCATGCCAAACTGTTGAAGCTTTCGTATAGCCTTCTTGTGCTTTACACATACAGTAGTATGTTGTTTGAGGTTTGTCACATCTTTGCTCTCTTTCTTTTCATTAAGTGGATGGGGAACTCTACATGTGGGGAAAGAATTCGAGTGGACAGCTTGGACTGGGAAAAAGTAAACACCTTTTTCCATTGAATAAGTTATGAACTGTTATTTACATCCTAATTCATCAAAGCTGCTTTCCTATTTACATGCTCGTTTCCGTTATACATATTTTTTTTCTTATGAAGAGGCTGCAAGAGTGGTACATGTGCCAACCAAAGTGCAGGCTCTGCATGGAATCACCATCAAATCCGTGGCTTTGGGTTCAGAGCATTCAGTTGCTGTTACTGGTACGGATCCTAGTTTCTTAGGTGGATACATAAGTAAACACCTTTTTTTTTTTTTTTTTGTCTTTTAAGTATCTTTCTTGAGCAGATGGAGGTGAAGTCCTGAGCTGGGGAGGAGGGGGATCTGGGAGACTTGGCCACGGTCACGAGTCCAGTTTTTTTGGCATCTTAAGAAGTAACAGGTTGGTCTGTTTTACTCAATTCCTATATAGTTTTGTCTCTTTCTCATGCAATTTCTACTCGCAATAATGTCATTTCTCCCCTTGGTGTACTTTATCATGATTCCTTCATGTTTTCTTGTACTGCACTGTAAAGTATGTCCCTAATTGCAGTGAGTTTACTCCAAGGCTTATCAAGGAACTCGAGGGGATTAAGGTAATTCCTTGTATGAATAACTTTTAGCTACCTAGTGGTGGTTTTAATCTTTAGACTTTTATGCTTATGTTATCATTTTCTTTCCATCGAGCACTAGGTTAAAAATGTTGCTGCTGGTCTGCTACATTCAGCATGCACTGATGGTATTGATTTACTTTCTTAAAGTATGAATGGTGTGCCAGTTACCGAATTTCTGAGGTTTGTTTCCCAATAATGCAGAGAATGGCTCTGCTTTCATGTTCGGAGAGAAATCTATAAATAAGATGGTAAAGAAAATGTCTTTTTCCTAAACTTATATGGTGGCATTGTAGTTATCTAAAAGCTATCTGGTGGGGAAATACAGGGCTTTGGAGGAGTAAGGAATGCTACAACACCATCCATTGTCAATGAAGTGCCATATGCAGACGAAGTTGCATGCGGTGGCTACCACACATGTGTCGTTACAAGTAGTTCTCTCTTATTCTTTAGTTCTTTTTGAATGACCTGTTTGCTAGAGTTTGCTCGTGTATATTGCACACGCATGTCCTACTCACATTTCTTTGCTTATGTTCCTCTAATATAGCACCAAAAGTGGGTTTTAGTTTCTGCTAAATATATGAACATAACGTTTTTGTAAGATGGTCAATAGCAACTCAAATCTTTGTTTTTCGTTTTTGTAAGGAGGTGGGGAACTTTACACCTGGGGCTCAAACGAAAATGGGTGCCTTGGCACAGAGTAAGTCATACTTGGGAAAAATTAGAATGTTTCCTCATAAGTTCTGAAATCACGCTTCTTGCACTCATTTTATCTCATTTTTTTTTTCAGTTCAACTTATGTCTCACATTCCCCTGTGAGAGTTGAAGGTCCTTTCATGGAATCAACTGTGTCTCAGGTATCTTGTGGGTGGAAGCACACTGCAGCTATTTCAGGTAGCATCACCTTGAGTAAAGCATCATTTTCCCAAATTTTCATCGTGCAAGTTGTTCAACTCGATTCTGAAATGTGTTTGCAGATGACAATGTCTTTACCTGGGGATGGGGAGGTTCTCACGGTACATTCTCTGAAGATGGACATTCCTCTGGTGGACAACTGGTTTGTTCATCATCTTTCTCATTGATCAAATCTCTGAAACAATGAGCTTATGCGAATGCTGACACCATTTCGTTCCTTGGTTTGGCATCAAAGAGAATAAATGATATGGTATGTTCAATTGTAGGGACATGGTAGTGATGTAGACTATGCAAGACCAGCAATGGTGAACTTGGGAAAGAATGTAAGAGCAGTGCATATATCTTGTGGCTTCAATCATACCGGAGCAGTTCTCGAACATTTTTGAAGACTCCTTGGGCTCGATTTCGTTTCGTATACATCTGTTTTGTTTCGTTATTATTTCTTAAACTCTTAAGATTTGAGTGAGGAGATTGTACATCGGAATCAACATTGTAGAAAGAAATTTATGGTACACTAATACAAAAGAAGAAGAATACGAATAATAGCAAAGTGCAGCTTCAACAGTGAGTTTTTCTCTTTCTAACATTTCTTGTCAAATAAATGACTTGCTTCGAACAGCTAAACTTTGAAGCCGATAAAAAAAGACTTACAATACGAAAACTTCAATACAAAATGTGCAGAGAATCAAGACATCAACACATACTTTATACGCATTTGTTCTGTTTAATTCTTGAGTGAGGAGATTGCACATCGAAATCAACTCTATAGAAAGAAACTTATAGTACTGCATCGGTAAGAATAAAACAGCCTATAACTTTGAGACCTGTAAAATAACTTTTCTTGGAACACGAAAATTTCATTACAATTGTGGAGAGATTGAAAACATGAACACCTGTCTCCTTTATTCCAAGTCAAAAACTCAAAATGAATCTGTTTTCTCCGTACTATTTCTCGCTCACAATGATGGGAATAACAATGCATTAGCAGCAGCACCTAAAGCATTGCTTTTGTGTTTTTTTTTCGTTATTGTCAACAAAAGAAGACGCGAAGTATTAAGCATCCGAAAGAGATGAATCAAGCACTTAAGCTGCTGATTCCTTTGAGATCTTCTCTGCCTTTGCAACCACCTCGTCGATACCACCAACCATGTAAAACGATTGTTCAGGAAGATCATCGTACTTACCATCGAGCAAGCCCTGCAACAGTTTACAATTCATATAAGCTCATATATAGCCAACAATCATGGGAATAAAGTCATCTGGGCAAATGCATGAAAGCATAATATACCTGGAAACTGTTGATGTTTTCTTTAAGGTCTACGTATTTTCCAGGGGCACCCGTGAAGATCTCAGCGACATGGAATGGCTGACTCAAGAATCTCTGGATCTTACGAGCACGGGCAACAGTCAGCTTGTCATCTTCACTTAGCTCATCCATTCCCAAAATGGCGATAATATCTTGCAAATTCTTGTAGTTCTGTAGCACTTTCTGCACACCACGAGCCGTGTTGTAGTGCTCCTCACCCAGAATGTGAGGCGAGAGCATACGGGATGTTGAATCCAGAGGGTCCACAGCAGGATAGATACCAAGCTCGGAGATCTTCACATGGGAAAAGACGAAAGTATAAAGATGTCAGCTTTTTGAGTCTTAAACAAAACTATTTTGAATAAGAGCATCAGAAGGAGAAAAGTTCACACCTGTCTTGAAAGCACGGTTGTGGCATCCAAGTGAGCGAAAGTTGTGGCTGGAGCAGGATCTGTCAAATCATCAGCAGGGACATAGATGGCCTGGACTGAGGTGATGGAACCTTTCTTGGTGGTTGTGATTCGCTCTTGAAGAGCACCAAGATCAGAGGCCAGAGTTGGCTGGTAACCCACAGCAGAGGGGATACGTCCAAGCAAAGCAGACACTTCAGAGTTGGCCTATCATAAGAGCATAGTATACTGAGTAAAATTAATAACCTTTTTATCAATATAGATAGCACACGTGTGCTAAGAGATGAAGCAAACAACAAGACTCACCTGGGTGAAACGGAAAATGTTGTCGATGAAAAGCAACACATCTTGGCCTTCGGCATCACGGAAATACTCAGCAACGGTCAAACCAGTAAGTCCAACACGAGCACGGGCACCCGGGGGCTCGTTCATTTGTCCATACACAAGAGCACATTTGCTCTCAGACTGTTAAGAAGGAAAAAAACAGAATTAGGCAAAGATCAATCAAATGCTATTTGCAGGATACAGAAAGTTGCAGATTAATCCAAATCAATTGCAAACCTGCTTCTCGCCTAGCTTGATGACACCACTCTCAATCATTTCTCTGTACAAGTCATTGCCTTCACGGGTTCGTTCTCCCACTCCAGCAAACACAGAGAAACCACCTGTTCATCAGAAGAGGCACCAATTAATAATATTAACGCTCGAGCAACCAATGTAAACACTACTACTTAAAAACACCCTGAGACTCAGAGTTAGACATACCATGAGCTTTGGCGACATTGTTGATAAGCTCCATAATAAGCACAGTTTTCCCGACACCAGCACCGCCAAAAAGCCCAATCTTTCCTCCTCTTTGGTAAGGAGCAAGCAGATCAACAACCTTGAAAGAAAGCAGCAAATGTTAAGCTTGGAACACGAGAGACAGCCTACAGCACGAAGCTTGGGCCCAGAATCTACCTTAATACCAGTAGCCAGGATCTCCTGACCGGTGGCAAGATCAACTAAAGCCGGAGCGTCTCTGTGAATCGGTAGGTAATGGTCGGTGGCTGAGCAACAGCAAAAAAACACATTGTCATGAATAGGCTTGCAGAAATTGAGACATTGACTGAATGTGGCTTAGACTACTTACTAATTGGGCCTCTCTCGTCGATGGGTTCTCCAAGAACATTCATGATACGTCCAAGGGTAGCTCTTCCAACAGGGACCTTACAAGTGAGAAACACGAAAAGATTAGTCACTTACATTCACATTATCATTTGCACATATCGTTCTTTGGAAAGGAATATACTTTTGAAGAAAAGTGTATGTGGACAAAGTCAACGTTGAGGATGGGGAATCACGAGATGAGGGCCAAAGACTATCAACGAATTCACAGATCTAGACCTAGTAATGGCAACGTGAGACCTAATGACTCTCTGATTCCGGATCAACCACTCAGATAGAAGGATCTATACACAGAAACTACTTACAGTGATTGGAGCGCCGGTGTTGAGAACGCGTCGCCCACGAACGAGACCTTCGGTACCATCCATAGCAATGGTCCTGACGACATTCTGACCCAAGTGATGAGACACCTCAAGCACCAGCCTCGTTGGGTGATCCTGGACCTCGAGAGATGTCATGATCGGAGGTAATCCCTCCTGATCCTCGAATCTCACATCGACAATGGCACCAATGACCTGGCAAACCTTCCCGATCGCACCTTTACCGCCGTAATCATAAGTCTTCTTCGCCTCATCCTGAGCAGGAGAAGACGATGGCGCAGCTGAGCTTGCCGGTGAAGAGGTCGAATATTCGGCGACTCGACCGAGGAGATCCCCAAAAGGAGCAGCGCAGCGAGCGGGGGAAGGAGATGAAAGCCTAGTGTTTCGGCTTCCGAATTTGGCAGCAGATCTGCCCGAAGATGAACGGAGAAGCGATGATAAGACTCTCCGAGACGCCATAAGTGTGTTGTTTGTGTGAGTGAAAGGAAATGCTAGGGTACTTAACAAGATGCTGAGTCTAAGCTCCACTCGTTTCACCTGGTGGGCTTATATAATGGGCTTATTTGGGCCGATTTCACGAATCTTTGACTATTAAGAAAATGACCCCTCCGGATCCAAATAGACCTTTCAATAAACAAAATTATATTTTTAGAGGTCAAAGTTGATTTTTGAAGATCATGCCTAACACAAATATTTTTGGTGATTAACGCTTTAGCATTGAGGCGAAAAAACTATCAGAAAGTTGTTTGATAAATTAAGGAGTCGAAATCTGGGGAATATCACTTGATTAACAAGATAATTACATCCACCTTCACATATATTTGGTGATGAGAAAATTTGACTGAGGTAAAAAAAAAGAAGGTTGACTTAGCTGCTCAAGTTTGCATTTTGTTTTGTTGTTGTCCGAAATTTCTAACCTTGCCTTGGTTGAGACTTGAGAGAGATATCATGTTTTGTTTATTTCCATCGAATTAATGGCTTGATATGGAAAACAATCACGAAATTACACGCGTCATTACCACAATGAAACACGTGTCACTGAAGAAGTGGTCTACGTTAGTTATAGAGAGGAGCGAAGAGAGCATTTCATTTTTAACCCTAGCCCCTCTTTCTCTCTCGCCCTCTTTGTTGCACAGTCATGGCGAGTCGGCGAATCTTATCATCGCTTCTACGTTCATCCTCGGGCAGATCTACATCTAAATCATCCTTGCTCGGGGGCCGTAACCCAAGGCTTTCATCACCCGGCCCCGCGCGTCACATCGCCCCATGTGGGACCCTCCTCGGCCGAGTCGCTGAGTATTCAACCTCTTCCCCAGCTAATTCGGCTGCGCCGTCGTCTGCTCCTGCTAAGGATGAGGCGAAGAAGACCTATGATTATGGTGGTAAAGGTGCGATCGGGAAGGTTTGCCAGGTCATTGGTGCCATTGTTGATGTGAGATTCGAGGATCAGGAGGGTTTGCCTCCGATCATGACATCTCTCGAGGTCCAGGATCACCCAACGAGGCTGGTGCTTGAGGTCTCTCATCACTTGGGACAGAACGTCGTCAGGACCATTGCTATGGATGGTACTGAGGGTCTTGTCCGTGGTCGACGCGTTCTCAATACCGGCGCTCCAATCACTGTAAGTAGTTTCTGTGTTTGTGAGTTTTCTTTTTGTTAGTACTCTGGATCTGGGGTGAGGACTCGAATTGGGGCATTCTTCGCCATATGATATACATTGGTCTAGAAATGTGGATCCTTTTATGGCAACTCAAATTTCCGATCTTTCTTTCTCGTTGACTCTTCCTTTAAAGTCTCGTTCTTTCCGATGGATTCATCTCGTATGACCTTGTGAATCTGACCATTGGCTTTTGTCTGTCTACTCAGGTTCCTGTTGGAAGGGCTACCCTTGGACGTATCATGAATGTTCTTGGAGAACCCATCGACGAGAGAGGCCCAATTAGTAAGTAGTCTAAGCCACACTCAATCAATGTCTCAGTTTCTGCAAGCCTATTCATGACAATGTGCTCTTGATGTTGCTCAGCGACCGACCACTACCTACCGATTCACAGGGACGCGCCGGCTTTGGTTGATCTAGCCACCGGTCAGGAGATCCTGGCTACTGGTATTAAGGTAGATTACGGGTCCTAGCTCCGCACTGTTCTACAGTTCACATGTGCTGTCTTTCGTGTTCCGAGCTGACTACTGTTACTTGTCTTTAGGTTGTTGATCTGCTTGCTCCTTACCAAAGAGGAGGAAAGATTGGCCTTTTTGGTGGTGCTGGTGTCGGGAAAACTGTGCTCATTATGGAACTGATTAACAACGTTGCCAAAGCTCATGGTATGTCTAACTTTGAGTCTCAAGGTGTTTTGACGTAGTAGTGTGTACATTGGTTGTTCCAGTTTTTATATTATTAATTGGTGCCTCTTTTGATGAACAGGTGGTTTCTCTGTGTTTGCTGGAGTTGGAGAACGAACCCGTGAAGGCAATGACTTGTACAGAGAAATGATTGAGAGTGGTGTCATCAAGCTAGGCGAGAAGCAGGTCTGCAATTAATTTGAATCAATCTGCACCTTTCTTTTTCCTGAAAATGGCATGTGATTGACCAGTTCTCTCTGTTTTTTCTTCTCAACAGTCTGAGAGCAAATGCGCTCTTGTATATGGACAAATGAATGAGCCCCCGGGTGCTCGTGCCCGTGTTGGACTTACCGGTTTGACCGTTGCTGAGTATTTCCGTGATGCTGAAGGCCAAGATGTGTTGCTTTTCATTGACAACATTTTCCGTTTCACTCAGGTGAGCCTTTTTTTGGTCTATATCGCAGCACCAGCACCAGCACCTGTTTGCCATAAGCTGAGCTATAAATATATTTTGTGTAGGCCAACTCTGAAGTGTCGGCTTTGCTTGGTCGTATCCCTTCTGCTGTGGGTTATCAGCCAACTCTAGCTTCTGATCTTGGTGCTCTTCAAGAGCGAATCACAACCACCAAGAAAGGTTCCATCACCTCAGTCCAAGCCATCTATGTCCCAGCTGATGATTTGACAGATCCTGCTCCAGCCACAACTTTCGCTCACTTGGACGCCACAACCGTGCTGTCAAGACAGGTAGGAACTTGTCTCCTTCTGATGCTTCTTTTCCCAAATAGTTCTGCATTCTTGTAACGCTTTTATAAAGCTGACATCTTTATACGTTTTGTCTCTCCCATGTGAAGATTTCTGAGCTTGGTATCTATCCTGCTGTGGATCCACTGGATTCAACATCCCGTATGCTCTCACCTCACATTCTGGGTGAGGAGCACTACAACACGGCTCGTGGTGTGCAGAAAGTGCTACAGAACTACAAGAACTTGCAAGATATTATCGCCATTTTGGGAATGGATGAGCTAAGTGAAGATGACAAGCTGACTGTTGCCCGTGCTCGTAAGATCCAGAGATTCTTGAGTCAGCCATTCCATGTCGCTGAGATCTTCACGGGTGCCCCTGGAAAATACGTGGACCTTAAAGAAAACATCAACAGTTTCCAGGTATATGCATACTGGCACTCACAACTATGTTTTGCTATAAAATTATAATAATTATACATGTTACAATGAGTTCCTAAAAGCTTTAATGCTCCCTCACAACTCCACGACAATGGATTTAAAGTCGAGCTATAGTTGGTTTCCAGTATTGTCTAGGTTTACTAGCTTTGATCCACCATAGAGCATTTCCTTGTTATCAAATGGAATATGGTTCGAAACTGATCCAAATCGTGTTGTGTGGTTGATTTGTTGCAGGGTTTGCTTGATGGTAAGTACGATGATCTTCCCGAACAATCATTTTACATGGTTGGAGGTATCGACGAGGTTGTTGCAAAGGCAGAGAAGATCTCAAAGGAGTCAGCAGCTTAGATTCTTTGATTCATCTCTTTCATATGCTTAATACTTGTCTACTTCTTTTCTTGACAATAACGAAAAGAAAAAACCCAATGCCTCTGAGTCCCCCCCACCAAACGGAATTTGAGTTCCTTATTTATAGTTTCTATCGGTTCACATTCCATGAGAGGTCCGAGATGATGCCGAACATTCACTCACTGTTACTCAGATTTTTGGTTTATTTTCTTCCTTGACTTGTTTAAATAAAGGATAAATCTGCAGATTCTACGTGCAATGTACGATTATGATTTTTTTTCTCGGTCTATTGGTTTCAGATAATGTTGCGAGTCTTGGTATGACAAGCAAATACAAAATCTCAGTTTTCATAAAATGTGTCACTTTATTTTATTGCAGATGTTAAAACATGATATCACATGACAGCTTCTTCCAGATCCTTGTTTTATGCTCTTATATGCAACCAAACACGCATAAACGAGAATACTAATGTAATGTCTACTGAAGTTTTTGACGCGTGATACTTTTCGTCCTACGTATACAGTTGCAGCTAAAATAGCTGCATAGATTTCATTTTGCACATAATTTATCACCTTCGTTACATTCACCACCTTTACATAAGTTAAAGATATTTCAATCATTTGAACTTTGAAAGTATATTAACAAGCCTGCATTGCGAGCAACATCTATTCTACTTTCTTCATGTTTACAGATTACATATATGAATACTATATAATTGGCTACTTTGTTGTGTCTAAAAAATTCAGTGGCTGTGATGATGTTTTTGGTCCTCGTGGAGATAACAGTGAAGCACATATGAAGCCCACAAGCAGATCAATAACAAGTTTACAGATATGTTTAAAGATACATGAACAGGCCTAAATAAGCCCATTATTAAAGCCCATAAAACTTTGGAAATTTCCTCAAACGGAACCAGTCAAGCTAAGACTCATCAGGTTCTGTTGTTACCCTAGCATTTCCTCTTTCACCCACACACACCCCCACACACTCATGGCGTCTCGGAGAGTCTTATCGTCGCTTCTCCGTTCATCTTCGGGCAGATCTGCTGCCAAATTCGGAAGCCGAAACACTAGGCTTTCATCTCCTTCCCCCGCTCGCTGCGCTGCTCCTTTTGGGGATCTCCTCGGTCGAGTCGCCGAATATTCTACCTCTTCACCGGCAAGCTCAGCTGCGCCATCGTCTTCTCCTGTTCAGGATGAGGCGAAGAAGACTTATGATTACGGCGGTAAAGGTGCGATCGGGAAGGTTTGCCAAGTCATTGGTGCCATTGTCGATGTGAGATTCGAGGATCAGGAGGGATTACCTCCGATCATGACATCTCTGGAGGTGCAGGATCACCCCACAAGGCTGGTGCTTGAGGTGTCACATCACTTGGGTCAGAATGTCGTCAGGACCATTGCTATGGATGGTACCGAAGGTCTCGTTCGTGGGCGACGCGTTCTCAACACCGGCGCTCCAATCACTGTAAGTAGTTTCTGTGTATAGATCCTTCCATCTGGGTGGTTGATCCGGAATCAGAGAGTCAATAGGTCTCACGTTGCCATTACTAGGTCTAGATCTGTGAATTCGTTGATGGTCTTTGGGCCTCATCTCGTGATTCGCTATCCTCAACGTTGACTTTGTCCACATAAACTTTTTTCTTCGAAAGAATATTTCTTTCCAAAGAATTATATGTGCAATGGTTTCGTGAATGTAAATGACTAATCATTTCGTGTTTTTCACTTCTAAGGTCCCCGTTGGAAGAGCTACCCTTGGACGTATCATGAACGTTCTTGGAGAACCCATCGACGAGAGAGGCCCAATTAGTAAGTAGTCTAAGCCACACTCAATCAATGCCTCAGTTTCTGCAAGCCTATTCATGACAATGTGTCTTTGCTGTTGCTCAGCGACCGACCACTACCTACCGATTCACAGGGACGCTCCGGCTTTAGTTGATCTTGCCACCGGTCAGGAGATCCTGGCTACTGGAATTAAGGTAGATCCTGTGCCCAAGCTTCGTGCTATTGTCTCTCGTGTTCCAAGCTTCGTGCTGTTGTTGTCTCTCGTCTTCCAAGCTTAACATTTACTGATTTCTTTCCAGGTTGTTGATCTGCTTGCTCCTTACCAAAGAGGAGGAAAGATTGGGCTCTTTGGTGGTGCTGGTGTCGGGAAAACTGTGCTCATTATGGAGCTTATCAACAATGTCGCCAAAGCTCATGGTATGTCTAACTCTGAGTCTCAGGGTGTTTTTAAGTGGTAGTGTGTACATTGGTTGTTCCAATTTTTATATTATTAATTGGTTCCCCTTTTGATGAACAGGTGGTTTCTCTGTGTTTGCTGGAGTGGGAGAACGAACCCGTGAAGGCAATGACTTGTACAGAGAAATGATTGAGAGTGGTGTCATCAAGCTAGGCGAGAAGCAGGTTTGCAATTGATTTGGATTAATCTGCAACTTTCTGTATCCTGCAAATAGCATTTGATTGATCTTTGCCTAATTCTGTTTTTTTCCTTCTTAACAGTCTGAGAGCAAATGTGCTCTTGTGTATGGACAAATGAACGAGCCCCCGGGTGCCCGTGCTCGTGTTGGACTTACTGGTTTGACCGTTGCTGAGTATTTCCGTGATGCCGAAGGCCAAGATGTGTTGCTTTTCATCGACAACATTTTCCGTTTCACCCAGGTGAGTCTTGTTGTTTGCTTCATCTCTTAGCACACGTGTGCTATCTATATTGATAAAAAGGTTATTAATTTTACTCAGTATACTATGCTCTTATGATAGGCCAACTCTGAAGTGTCTGCTTTGCTTGGACGTATCCCCTCTGCTGTGGGTTACCAGCCAACTCTGGCCTCTGATCTTGGTGCTCTTCAAGAGCGAATCACAACCACCAAGAAAGGTTCCATCACCTCAGTCCAGGCCATCTATGTCCCTGCTGATGATTTGACAGATCCTGCTCCAGCCACAACTTTCGCTCACTTGGACGCCACAACCGTGCTTTCAAGACAGGTGTGAACTTGTCTTCTTCTAAAGCTCTTATTCAAAATAGTTTTGTGTAAGAGTCATAAAGCTGACATCTTTATACTTTCTTGTCTTTTCCCATGTGAAGATCTCTGAGCTTGGTATCTATCCTGCTGTGGACCCTCTGGATTCAACATCCCGTATGCTCTCGCCTCACATTCTGGGTGAGGAGCACTACAACACGGCTCGTGGTGTGCAGAAAGTGCTACAGAACTACAAGAATTTGCAAGATATTATCGCCATTTTGGGAATGGATGAGCTAAGTGAAGATGACAAGCTGACTGTTGCCCGTGCCCGTAAGATCCAGAGATTCTTGAGTCAGCCATTCCATGTCGCTGAGATCTTCACCGGTGCCCCTGGAAAATACGTAGACCTCAAGGAAAACATCAACAGTTTCCAGGTATATTATGCTTTCGACCTATATGGCCATATGACTTTATTCACATGATTGTTGGCTATATATGAGCTTATATGAATTGTAAACTGTTTCAGGGTTTGCTCGATGGTAAGTACGATGATCTTCCTGAACAATCGTTTTACATGGTTGGTGGTATCGACGAGGTGGTTGCAAAGGCAGAGAAGATCTCAAAGGAGTCAGCAGCTTAAGGGCTTGATTCATCTCTTTCGGATGCTACTTAATACTTCTTTTCTTTTTTTTTGTTGACAATAACGAAAAAAAAACAAATGCTTTAGTCAGTGTTGCTAATGCATTGCAATTCCCATCATTTGTGAGTGTGAGAGCTGCGGGATGATGATGAACATATTCATTCACAGTTACTCAAATTTTTGGTTCTTTTGCTTCCTTTACTTGTTGAAATAAAGGTCAACTCTTGCAGATTCTAATTACAATGTACTATTAGGATTTCTTGATCAAAGTCTTCACTCTCTTTGTTGTTGTAGAGAGATTCTTGCAAGTGTTAATTTAATCATCATCGTCAATTTGAGATCTTTCTAGGCAATGTGATATCCAATTTCTGAAAAATGTATCACTATATTGAAATATTGCAAATGACCCTAACAACATGATGCCACATTACAGCTTCTTCCATAGCCTTCTTTAATGCTCTTATATACAAACAAACATATATGATGGAATCAGAAGCCGGTTTTGTGGATTGGCACGAAACACCATTCTCCATTAGAAGCTCAAGCTACCTTCTTTCAACAATGCTTTATAATCTCTCGGCACATGGACCCGATCAATCACATCCAACGCTTTCTCCTTCTCGATAACAAAATCAAGTGGAAAACCCGAAGTAAACCTCTTCACCGCAGCTGATTTGCTTCTTCTCACTCCACGGAAATATTCACTGCTTTTGCTCAAAGGGTCACACTTTCTCGCCCGCGAGTACTCAGAATCAAAATCTTGACTCTTGCTAACACATGGAGTCCTCTTTCTTTTGCCTGCCTCTTGTAACAGCTTTTGCTCCTCAAGTGTTACTATTGGCACACTGAGTGGTTCTGATGTCAGTCGCTGGTTCGTAGTATTCAATGGAGACTTGATAGAAGAAAGCCTATGACCTCCCCTAGCGTCGCTCTTTGCTTTTGTAACCAAATGTTGCAACCAAATGATCTGTCCAAGAATGTAGATCTCTGTCTTTTCTTTACTAGCGTGATAGAGTGTCTCGATGCGTAGTATATCTCCACCACTAGGCTTACTACTGAAATCAGCCCTGTAAGATTAAAAATTCAAAACCATTGGATAACAAAAGACACAAAAATGCAGGAAGAGAAGTCAAATGTCTCATTTCAGTAACCACTCACCCTGTATTTGCCCACTCTCCAACCCAACCGAAACCATGATGAGCTCTGCGATGGAACCCCATTCAACAATCATTAGTCATTAAAGAAAAGAGCATAAAATGTCAAGTCAGAGTAACAAAACAGATTTCTTACTTGGTTGTGTTGGCTGCAACAGGGACAAGCCAATGCAGTGTCCTCTCCATCTCGTCCTTAATTTGTGTAACCGAGAGCTGTCAGAACAATCACAGATCATACCACCTTGTGTTTTAGTGACATTGGCCAAAAGAACACATTCAGTTTCGTAGAGCAGAGAGTGTAAAACCAGAGGACATTACCTCCTTATCGACATTAAAAGATTTAATCTTGGAACGAAGAGCCAATTGTATACCAGGGGGCAAGCTTTGGTATAGAGAATCCCTTGCATTTGAAGTTATAGAGCTCGCACGAGCGACCTATACCCATCAAAACACACATTTGATATGATCGAGAGGATAGATTAAGAAGCAACCAAACCAAATGAAGCAATGCTACATTTGTGGACTTACAAGTGTATCAATCTGCACAATTATATTTGCATAATGTAAAGCAAGACCAGCAGGTCCCAATCTTTTATCATAATCGCCAGCTCCTTTCTTTGATGGTTGATCATCTGGGCACGTAATGTGATGTAAAAAATTATGGAGGATCAAATTGATCAGAGAAAGTACATTATGTACTGAGAAATAGAGAACATTGAAAATTGAAAATCTTAGATACATACTCATGGTGGAAGGTACAAAAGGGAGGAACTTACATACCGGTACCACCGAAGATATTATGAATCTCTAGCAACAAGAAATGTACAATGTCTACTAGTTTCTCCATCACCTGAAATACAAAATTAGCAGTTAACATGAACATCACGATAATATATTTCTGTTTTGCAAAAAAAATCTAACAAGAGAGTTAGTTATGGCTGAATTTTAGTTTGTAAAATGCAGTGTTTGGAGTTATTAAGTACCCATAAACATACAGCGTGATTTTAAATGATAAAGAAGCGGTACACACCTCCTCGAAACCTCTCGACCACAACGACTTTTTCTTTAGGCTCTTCACTACTTTTCTTTGGGACTTGAGTTCCGTTTTCAAGATTGCAAAGCCATCACCTATGTTTAAACGAGAACTGTTATGGTACGATGTTTAAAATCTAATAAAGTTGGAAAGTAGTCTTCGATAGTTTACCCTTACTGCTGCTAGCTGAGTTCTCTTCTTCTCGGCGCTTTTGCTCATAGTCTTTCTCCAATCGATCCAATACTTGTAGTTCTTGGTACAGTTCCTGAACCAAAAGAGATAACGAACACATAATTCTGAGATGTTTGAGTTACATCATGACAAATAACCTGCATTTATATACCACACATCTTTCAAAAGTAAACAGCTACTAAAGAGGACAGCTCAGGGCATCCAAGTAGCAAGAACCATCAATATGCTTTTAGAGTTTCTAATTTTAGAAAGTATTCACTCACCGCAGTATACTGGACTAAAACCATCAGTTGTCGAACAACTAACACAGCGTCTTCATTCAACTGCCTTTGAGGGGTTAACTCTTTGCTGATCCTGAGAAGCAAAGAAACAAATTCAACAACTACAAAGAAAGCTATAACGCACAAAGATGAACATCGTCTCTTGTATAAAGCTACCTGTCGAAGTAGCGCTGTAAATTATGCCACTGAAAATCTTTGGATCGGTTTCCAAACCGAACCACTTCTCCCGAGAAAACTCGCAGCTCCTGCCTGCAAATACAACAGATTATCTTTCGTGCAATGTATTTTGATGAGCTAAGAAAAAAATATTTAAAAAGAAGCAGTCTAGACTTGAATCTTCACCTCTTATCAGCAGCAACGAGTCTGAGGAGTTCATCAGAATCATTCGAGACAAGGTTTTGAACACCTTCGGAATAAAGGACAGTTTCTTTCAAATGCATGATGTTGCCCTTCGAAAGCGATTCGATAAGATTCGAGCTTTTGACAATTGTGTTTGCTACTTCAAAGGCTAAGATCCCAAGTTCATTGCCTTTAGTTGCAACTCCAGAAGTAAATCCACCGCTGCTAAGATCCGTCATGCTACTCCCAAGAGTATCCAAAACATCCTTTGCTTTACCTAACCCCGCTTTGCCTACCTCTGTAACCTGCCACAGGTATAGCAAAAAATCCGAATTGTGACTTGATACACTCAAAAGAACACATGCAGTTACTAATTAAAGACAATCCTTAATGCTAACCTTTGAAACTGCAGTTTGAGTATATTTTGCAGACCGAAGTTTCTGCGATTGGATAACGGGCAACCTCGGAATCCCATCATACAAATTATCTTCTGCTTCCCTTTCGCGGAAAGAGAATACATCTTTCAACTGGTTCTGTTCCTTCACATCTTTCAACTGGATTTGTTCCCTGACGTCTTTAACCATACACTGCCTCATACCAGGACCAATCAAACTGACTTGCCCAGGTGGTTGTGGGTAACCAAAATCGGGTTCTCGACCATCATCAGCAACACTTGAACCTGAATACTCACTCCCGAAATTGATTCCAAGACTCTTGGAGCAAAACCCCCCCATAACTTCTTAAACTCTTCCGAAAGACCTCAAGCTAAGTTTGTCGGAAAGATCATGCCACTGAGTTGAGAGTAGCTTTGAGAAAAATCTCGAGACTTTGATTCAAAACCAGCGAGAGTAATCACCTAGAACAAAGGACAAAAGTGAGGATGGAAAAAGTCAGATCAAAAGTCTCAGGACAAAATCGTGTCCGAAATAGTATCAAGACATTGCAATCGCCTTCGGGCAAGGGTAACAGATTCGCACCACTTGTCTAAACTCTGAAACGCATCAAGCCAAAGCCGTTTCACGAAGTAAGCCTTTAGGTCAAACACTGTGTAAGCCCATCTCTCTCTCCATAGACCTAAGCGGCAAGATCGGATTTTTTTTAGCAGAGGAATGCGAAGAAGAAGACTTACCCAGAAGAGAAATAGACCAGAAAAGACTTGGGATTTAGCCAATTTTCGCGAGCGATAGAGCTTGGGATTCACGACACAGAACAGTGAAAAGACAAAAGACAAAGCACAAAGCAGCTAGAACACGAGAATTGATGTAAGAAAGTGGAAAGTCAAGGAGAGTAGTATGAATGAAGGAGGAAATCAAGAAAAAGGGATTCAACAACAAAAATTAAAAGGGATTGGACCACCAAATTGCCATCCCCCAGAGCCAAAACGAAAGAACCAGCTATAAAGCAACTAAACCAAGAAAAGTCAAAACTTTTTCTTTAACCTCAAAGTTAAAAACAGTCACAAGCGGTGATGGAATGGTCAAATATTCTCATATTATTAGGCCATTGAGTCATTGACTCATCTTTGTGTCTGTTATTTTTTTTTAGTTCCGTGGAAGCAATCTTTGCTCTTTCTCACTCTTCTCTTCTTACTTGTAAACCAAAATTGCGCATAAGGTTAAGGACTTTTCAAATCAGTCTTGGAGGCATGTGAAGATCTATCTAAGAAATGATTAAACATTAATCAACTCATCATTGAATACAAGAGTCTAATACATATTTGCATAATTATCTGGTTCATCGAATCATAGCACAACAATTTTGAACAAAAAGCTTATTGTGTCTTTTTTTATTACAAGTGTGTGTTGGAACATTTGTTCTGGTTCGACTTATTTGGGTTTTTGAGTTATCCCATTCACAATCAATTTATTCCATTACACACGTTCAACTGCATATCCGTACAACAAAACGGATTTAGGATTGGATCAAGTCGGGTCGGGTCGGGTCGGATAGGGTGGGTTAGAAAATGGACACAAAGACTCATAGTTCTGGTCTGTGGCTCAAAATTCTTTAAAAACAACATTAACTCTAAAGAGTTACAGACGCAGTGCCATGGCCATGGCTTCTGCTATGGACTTATCTCCTCCAACGTTCTTCTTATCCGGAACTTCTTCTTCTTCCTCCTCTCTCCGTCGTCTCTCCTCCATTTCTGTCTCTAGCTTCCGCCGTCACTCTAACCGGAGATTACATGTACTTTGCCAGGCCACAGCCGGAACTCAGCCTCAGAGCGGCCTCTCTGACTCTGGCTCCAAATTAGCCGCCCGTTCTGGGCAGGACCGTCTTTTAAAGGTTTGATTCCGTTTATCTATTCTTTCTCGTCTATGCGCAGAAGCTTGGGAGGATTCGGATGAATTGATTTCATATTGGTTTTCTCGGGAATTGCAGGTTCCGATTTCGAAAATCAGGAACTTTAGTATTATAGCTCATATTGATCATGGGAAATCGACGTTAGCGGATAAGTTGCTTCAGGTGACTGGAACTGTCCAGAACAGAGATATGAAGGAACAGTTTCTTGATAACATGGATTTAGAGAGAGAACGAGGCATCACCATCAAGCTTCAGGTTCCCATTTCTTTGGTCCCTTCGGTTTCTCTTCACAACTATCAACTCAGAACCAAAGCTTCTACATTTGCCAACTTTCAGCAATCTGCTTCTGATTTTGTAAAGTTGTGCTGTATGTTTGTGCAGGCAGCTCGAATGCGGTATGTTTACGAGGATACACCATACTGCCTCAACTTGATAGATACTCCAGGTCATGTTGATTTCTCTTACGAGGTATGTACTTGCATCTTCTAATCCACTCAAAATCCGTTTTTTCTACGGGTACATTTAAAGCTTAGCCTTGAATTTGAGTTCATTTTACCATCTGTGAGAAGTTACTTGGGACCCTCGTTTTGAATGTTTAGAATCTCTCACCTAAAAGCGTAAATATTTTTACATTATGGAAGATACGAATGATTAAGTTGCAGTTTTGAGATGAAGAATACAGAGTTAAATTCCTTTTTGTTTATAGGTTTCCCGATCTCTTGCTGCATGTGAGGGTGCTCTTCTTGTTGTTGATGCATCCCAGGTGATTTTTCTTTTCCCTTGTCATACAATTTTTCTGACACGGTGTGGAAACCTGGAATCTGTATTGATTTAGCTGTCTTGTCGCTTGGTGAATATGTTTCTGTCTCTTTTTATGGCTAAGTAGTTCCTCTAACATGTGCTTTAGGGCGTGGAAGCACAAACGTTAGCTAACGTTTATCTGGCTCTAGAAAACAACCTCGAAATTATTCCTGTAAGTACAGAATTATGCTTCATATCTATGGCGTTTATATGATTCTTCTTAGTAAATTACTTTTCAAGTATACTGTATGTGGTAGAATATTCAGCGACGTCACTGCCCTTACTTCTTCCTGCAGGTTGTGAATAAGATTGACCTTCCTGGCGCTGAGCCAGAGCAAGTTATCAGGGAGATTGAGGAGGTTAGTGATTCTCTTAAACATTTCTTTGTGATATTTTGATCCACTCTCATGTTCCTCTAATGGGGTTATTGTCTCATTACATCAGCCCTTATGTGAATACTGTTGATAATGCGGATTGTTTGTAGGTTATTGGGTTAGACTGTAGCAAAGCAATACTCTGCTCGGCAAAGGTTAGCTTTTAAATAGATCATTTGCTATTATACTCTACTTAAAGATATTAGACGTGTGGCTCTCTATCCATTGAATTACATTTTGGGTCATATTTGTTTGATACAGGAGGGAATTGGTATTACGGAGATATTAGATGCAATTGTTCAAAGGATACCTCCACCTCGGGATACTGCAGAAAAACCCTTAAGAGCCTTGATTTTTGACAGGTTTGCACTTGTTGTGTTATCCATAGTTACTTTTTTACCTTTTCTAGAAAAAAACCCTCATAGAGTCTAAGTTGTATTGTTATATGATAATTGGACTGGTCATTGGCTTGTCATGTCACTTCCAGTTATATCCTATCGCTGGTAAAAAAATGAGTGTGAAGTAGTGACTTTTTGTCTTTGATTAGTCTACAAATGTGCAGTTTTAACATGTTAACCACTTATATTGATTTTCCATATATTTGTCTGCAGTTATTATGATCCATATCGTGGTGTCATTGTATACTTTCGAGTAATTGATGGCAAAGTGAAGAAAGGCGACAAAATATTTTTCATGGCAAGCGGAAAGGTTTTTCTTTTTCTCTCTACACTTGTCTGGTTGTCTTTCCATTTTATTTAAGATAGCTTTTCACGGTCTATGCTGTTAGAGTGATGTGCAGTGTTATTCTTTAATTATTTCAGGAAAAATTGAGAACGTCTATCCTCTAAAATTGCTTTCACCAGTCTCTCATGTTCTCAACATTGCATCCATTTGCAGGACTATTTCGCTGATGAAATCGGCGTTCTATCTCCGAATCAAATTCAAGTGGATGAATTATATGCGGGTGAGGTAGTGTACTCTTTTGAACATACTTTTTTGTTTGTTTGTTTCACTTAGTTTCATGTGCTTTCGTGTCTCATTTTCTTGGTGAAAATTGGTCTTTCAGTAGAAACGTTGGTTTTTTTTCTTCTTATTGTTAATACCGAAACTATACGCATTTGTGAATGGAAGGTTTCCTTATCCATTTCCTGGTAGAGAATGGAGCTATATTTGAGAGGAAATGGTTAACTGCATGTTTATTTGCTCAGGTTCTAATAGCTACAAAGATGCGATGATTGATGATGCTGCTGGTGTTAGTGTTTCGAAATGTCAGATACTCCTGACAATCATGCCACATTCCTTACACATATTTTGAATGTTAGTGTTGTTAATTACAGGTGGGCTACATTTCTGCTTCTATAAGATCGGTTGCAGATGCGAGAGTAGGAGATACAATCACAACATATAGCAGAAAGGCAGAAAGCTCTTTACCTGGTTACGAGGAAGCTACTCCTATGGTGTTCTGTGGCCTGTTTCCAGTTGACGCTGACCAGTACTGAGTTTTTGTTCTTCTTTTGCTGAATTTTGCTTTTATATGTGTATAGTTTTTTTTCTTTTTACATGTCGTCTAATGATGACAGGTTTCCGGATCTCCGAGATGCTTTGGAAAAACTGCAACTCAATGATGCCGCCTTGAAGGTATTACCAAATTGAAACTACAGAAGCTAAGATTTTTCTTTTGTTTGTATCCAAAATAAGTTTCTATAGGTTTGTCCTGAACTTTGGTTGTTATTTTGCAGTTTGAGCCTGAAACTTCAAGTGCCATGGGTTTTGGCTTTAGATGCGGTTTCTTGGGTCTTCTCCACATGGAAATTGTGCAGGTCAGACGCGTTTTGCTCTTCTTGTTTTAAAATGTTTGTTCATTGATGATTTGCTCCAATGGGATAACTCAAAATAAGTCGATGGAAGTCCACAAAGTCAATTATTTGATGCTTCAATTCTTATGCTCCAGTTAATCTTCTTTGCAGGAAAGGCTAGAGCGGGAATACAACTTAAATCTTATCACCACTGCGCCAAGTGTTGTATATAGGGTGAACACTGTAAATGGTGATACTGTAATTTCCTCTTCATCCTACACTTTTAAATATTGTTCTTCCCTGGAAATTGCATCCTTTTGTATGTCTTTCTTGATATCGATTACCATATAATTTAATGTTTCCGCAGACTATGTGCTCAAACCCATCTCTCCTTCCACAACCTGGGCAAAGGAAGTCAGTCGAAGAGCCATACGTTAAGGTTGCTTTTTCTGCTGCATAAATGCTGCTGGTATTTTCACATGACACGTTACTTAGAATGGCATACCCTTACTGCAAATGATGATGATATCATGCAGATTGAATTGCTTACACCAAAAGACTATATTGGTGCGCTTATGGAGCTCGCTCAAGATAGGAGAGGGGAGTTCAAAGAAATGAAATATATTGCTGAGAACAGAGCTTCCCTCATCTATGAGTTACCCCTTGCAGAGGTGAGGTTTTGCCTGTGCAAAGTTTCAGATCGCAATGAAAGCTTTGATACATCTCTCTTGATTATGTAAACTGATCTCGTTATTGGCTTTCTGCTATTTTGCAGATGGTGGGAGATTTCTTTGATCAATTAAAGTCCAGGACCAAGGGATATGCTAGCATGGAGTATTCAGTTATTGGGTTAGTTCCACCAAACTTTATTGCACAGATCATCTCTTATATCTTAGTCATTATAGAGTCACAAGTAATCTAAAAAGCTTTAATAGGTCTATGTTTCCTTTGCGTTTTGTTATGTCTTTCTTAGCCTCTTCATTTCTTGTAATATGTTTGCAGCTACAGGGAAAGCGATCTGATAAAACTCGATATTCTGATTAATGCTGAATTGGTGGAACCTTTGTCAACCATTGTACACAGAGACAAGGTATTTGTTGATCTGTATTTTATGAACTTAGCATAAATACGCGCGCTTACACACAAAGCTTTAACTGTAAATCTTTGTGAAACTGTTCCTATTTGCTTAAAGCTCTTCCTGTTGAGACTAATTTGTACATTTTGAACTATGCTTCCAGGCATATTCCGTTGGGAGAGCTTTGACTCAAAAACTCAAAGAGCTTATTCCGCGACAAATGTTTAAAGTGCCCATCCAGGTAATTACATTTAAGCTTCTATAGATAATAATTTGATTTCGCTTCTGAATAAACCTACAATTTTCTGCAAATGCACTTCGTAAATCTTTAAATCTTCCTCTTCTGAACTTATTAAACGTAACTTCCGATGCAACCGCAGCAGATGTTTTGACATAGCATTAACTTGCAGGCTTGTATAGGATCAAAAGTGATTGCTAGTGAAGCGCTCTCAGCAATCAGAAAGGATGTTTTGGCCAAATGTTACGGTAACTACACCTTCCCTTTGCTTCCCTGCCTCTTGTATTACCAGAGACTTGTCTTCACTCTTTCTGCTGTCAATCGGATTCAGAAATAAAAAAAAAATGAAGTAGCTTTTGCTTTAATGTGTATGTTCCCACAAAGCCATTTTTGATCTTGTTACTATGATACATTCAGGTGGAGATATTTCTAGGAAGAAGAAGCTTCTTAAGAAACAGGTACACTGTTATATTCCTGGCGAAATAGTAAAAGGGTTTTTTTTTCCAGAAAAAGTTAAAGATTGATTTGAATGTGTATACAGGCGGCAGGTAAGAAGAGAATGAAAGCCATAGGTAGAGTCGATGTACCTCAAGAAGCTTTCATGGCCGTCCTCAAACTTGAACGAGAGGTTTTGTAACACTTTTGTTTTAAGTTACTCAAGAAAGATCCATTACATTATAGTACTATTCCATTTAATCCCTTTGTAATATTGTACAAACTATTTTCACCTTAGAAGAAACTCTCTGTATCTATACGGAATATATTGTGGAATTGTGCTTTGAAATCTTTAAAGATGTTTCTGGTTGAAAATAAAAAAAGACAGAAAGAAAGAAACAGAAAATGGAAAAGCTCATTAACCTTTGATTTGAATTTTGTATCTTTCAACAACATTACTAAAGTTTCACCAAACTTCCGTTTCCTTAAAATGGTCCGACATAACTGGCAAAGGTTTCGCAACATAACAAAGACATGTCTTCATCAAATATTAAATGAGGAAGATGGTGTGTTTGTCTTTATTTAATCATATATAACAGAAACAAGAGACACAACTACCTTCTTCTCGCGGGAAAACAACAATTCAATAACAACCACTTCCTCTCCCAAAATCAGATTTTTTTTTTCTTAAAAGATAAGAAGAAAAAATCACAAATTTTCTTCTGAAATATTTTGTCCTCAATCCAGGGGAAGCTTATTGAGCTTGCGGTAACTGTAGTCCTTGAAAGCAAAAGGCTTGAACTTTGGAGGATTATCATCGCTAATAAGCTCCGGTAAAGGTCCGACGATCATTTCACGGTGAGGCTCCAAGAAAACCGGCCACGACATCCTTGTCTTCTCCTTATCCACCGTCGTCCTATGCAGCACATTCTTATACCTCCCATTACTCAGTCTCTGCATATTTCACAACAATCCATTTTATTAAAAAGACAATTATGACAACAATCTAAACTTTATAATGTTAAAAACTAGGAATATACTCTCAAATCAAGAATTCAGAACTTACTCCTTAGAACCTAAACGACAACTTTTTTTTACAATTATGACAATAATCTAAACGTAAGATTCCAGTTTTTTTTTCCTAAGATGCGCGCATGATTATAAAAATGCAGACCAGAATCTGATCGCCGACGTGGACAATGACGGCGGAAGGAATGTACTCGGCGTCGAACCAGTGATCGTCTTTAAAAACTTGAAGTCCAGGAACTTCGTTAGGGACGAGCAGAGTGATTCCACTGAGATCAGTGTGTGCCGGTACTCCCAAGGCTAAATCCGGCCGAGGACACGGCGGGTAATAGTTTATCTTCATCATATACTCCGCCATATCTCCGCCGAGACCTTCTTTCAACGCCTCACGCCGTAGCCCTAACCCTTCCGAGAGAATCCCTAATAACGTCTCCGACAGCTTCTTCACGTGCGCTGCGTACTCTTCGTTCACCTCCCTAACATAAAGCCACGACGACAAAAACCAAAATATCGAACGCTTGAAACAGAGAGTACTCACGACGATTATTCAAACTTTGTTACCTGTACTCAGGTGGATTCGTAGGCCAGAATCTGTAGTTAACGCACGACGGTGGCCAGACTCGGTGGAAGAGATGATCGACCCATGCTTTTTTGCCTTCTAGATCTTTCTGCAGCTTCGTTCCGTATCCTTCGATGTCTTTAGCAACCTCCGGTTTCGCGACGGACTCTTTCTCCGACGAAGGAAGCTCGAAGAACGTTCTCCCGACTTCCTGCAACCGCCGTATCAGCTCCGTCGGAATCCCGTGGTTGACCACCTGGAAAATCCCCCATTCTTCACTCGCCTTCACCACCGCGCGCGCGACGCTCTCCTCGTCGGTATCGCTGAGGTCGACGACGGGAATCGCCGGAGCCGGACCTCGGAAAGTTGTGATCGCGGGCTGTTCCTTCTCTGATCTGATGAACTCCAACGGGATAGCTTCCGTTAGTAGAGACGAAGATGAGATGTCTTGGACTCTCTCGATCTCCATTTACTGATATTTGTTTTTTTTGGAAGTTTTCGTATTTGCGTTTGCCGGAAACAATGCAAGGAGAGTTAGAGGGAGTAGAGCGTCGACTGGGGTTTATAAGGAGGGAGGGAGTGATGAGGTGTCGAAATCGTGGGCGTTGGATAGAGGTAACTACCACATGTTATGTAAAGTCATGAGTTTGGTATCGAGTATGATTTGTTTTACGTGTGACGGGATTTATTAATTAACTTGTGTGCTTTTCTTGTTCTGCGGTGGTAGTTTAAAAGAAAATGTCAAAATGATGTCATATTTTCTCTCTTTTCTTCTAAAGGGCAAATTTGATGTTGTATATTCATTCATTCTTCAGGCCAAAAAAATACAAGAATTCAAAAAGATATTTCTGGTGACACTTTTGGCGGGTTACCATGCAAACAAAAATAAAATATCATGTAGAATCGTTCCCAAAATTTATTCTTTTGCCATTTTAAAGACGTCAGCCTCCAACTTTTGCAAAATTTTCATGCAAATATTTTGTAGAGGTTCTTGCATTTTGGTTAGTTTTCATAACGAAAACATTACTTTAAAACACGAAACAAACAAATGAAGGCTCATGGCAGAAGACCCGAGGCCCAGTATGTCCATAATGGGCTGGATTTATCTTTGGAAAGAAGATAAACTTATGGCTCCAAAACAACAACACACGTGTATAAAAAAAACGAGCGAGTCATTAAGAGAATAAAATTAAGAGGGTGTACTACTAATTCTCATATTATTAAGTTCCCGACTTTCCCATAAGGAAGGACGACGGACCAAACAGCTGAGAGCGAGAGAGAGAGAGCGAGAGACCAGAGATCTCAACAACTGTGTTCGTTCTTCGGGAGACACCTCTCTCTCGAGACGACGCGCATTATCAATTCCATACATTATTCTCTGTAAGATTCGTCTCCTCTCTTCTTCCGATTCTAAAATTCCCTCCAATTGTTCTTCTGGCGGGAATATCGATCCTCTTTTACGCTGCCGTGTGCGATTTTGCTTCCCCTCATTGTCAATTTTGCATTGCCTTCGAAATTTGTTTGTGATGGTTGTGTTTGTTTCTTCCTTGTTGCATTTGATATGCTTTTTTCTTTGTGTGTGTGTGTGCGTGTCTTCCTGTCGGTTTCGCGTTCTGGGTACTTTTCGGGATTCTCCGAAACCGGCGCATGATAGTGCTTTCTTTTCCCGATCTTGGGTATGGGTTTTGATCCGTCGGTTTCGTTTTGTTTCATTCGCTTGTTCGATCGTTGCTCTCAACTGGTAAAAATCAGCCAATTTTCTCCGATGGTTTCAGATCTTTTCTAAATTCGATTGGGATGCGATAGTTCTAGGGTTGTACTGCTATTTCGATTTCTGCATTGGTTTTCTGAGATACATTTTTCCTTGGAGTTTTTTTTCCCCCGCATGATCTCACTTGCTTCTCTATGGGCTCTGTTGAATCAAACGTTGAAATTAGAATCAGCTCTAGGGTTATTGGCTATCATCTGCCTTTAGTGCCACAGATGTTTACGTGATTAGTTCTTTGCGAGGTTTACTTGAAATTAGTGTCACCTTAAACGCTTATGGGTTTTAACATTATCCGGCTAAGTCTCTGTTCTCCAGGGTTTACATTGTTTCGTTTTTGAAAGGAATTTTAGTGAAATGTCACAGAAAAATTCTAAAGATTTTAGATATGTGACGTCCTGCTTTTACTTACATTCTCTGCCCTTCTTGTTTGGATGACCTGTTACGTCCATGTTTACTGCATTCCCTTGATGTTTCTAACTATGATTGCACAACAGGTGAAATTCTCATAATCACTTATAAACAGACATTCAGGTTTATGGATTTTTGTTGTTGTTACCCCGTAGGTCTGTCTTGCTATTTGAAGGATGCCTTTACTGAAAAAGAAGCCACATAAACTACTGCAGCCCCCAAAGAACTTGGAGCCACAAGAACTTGTTTATCAAGTTCGTCTCACAAAGGAGATTTTTCGAGATTATCAGTATCCTTCTTCTATAGCTGTTGCGATTTATGGGCTGAAAAAGAAGTGACTACCTTTTTTTAACTTATGTTTTAATTATTTCCCTTCTCCTTATGCCGTGTTTATTCATGTTTATCAATGCACATTCCGTGTCAGAACTATTTGTCTGCTTAACATAAAATAGATTCTACTTGAAGAGGTTAAATCTGTATCGCAAGCGAGTTTGGACATGTAAATCTACTGGTAAAACTAGCTTGACCTACGAGGAGGCCTTAGAGTCAGAAAAACTGGCAAGCAAGAAGGTTCAAACTCTTCCCAGAGAGCTAGTTGCACCAGCTTTATGTATTATCCAATTCAGTAAGTTCTTAACCCTTTCATAGATTATGGTTCATCTTCTGATACAGTTTTGTCAAAGTCCTGTTTTGTTAATTATATGAAAGTTACTGTGTGTATTTTGAGGGTGGCAGCATAAATTGTCGGTATATTCTTGAAATCTCTCTTCTATGAGCACTTTTTCTGATTGTTTCTCTTCCATTTTGAAAAGGTACACTCTCATTGAAGGATCTTGCTGACACAATAGCTACCGAGTTGCAAAATTGCTTTTACGCTGGTGCAGAGTTGTATGGAAAAAGGGATGATGAATTGCAGCCGTGCAGAATCTTGGAGATAGTAACAGATGGGGATAGTAAACCTCAGTATGAGGTAGGCTTCCTTGACAAAGACAAGGAAATAAATGAGAACGCAGTGCTGTCTGGGGAGGATCTGTCATGGAAGAAATTTCCATTTAGTAGAAATTTTCTGAAGTCTTTCATTCGGGATTCCACATGCCACAGTATACCTTGGGTAGTTAATGAATATCTGGCTAAAGCACATGGAATCACGAAAAAGATTCCCAAGGAACTTCAGGACAAATATGTCTTTCAGAATGGAGAATTGGTTCAGCAAAGGAAGCAGGTAGATGTAAAGTACACAATGTACAATAACTTGTAGCTTGCCTAATTATTGGTCTATGTACTAATTGGTTTTGTCTCATTGCTAAACTATAGGAAGATAAAACGGGAAGGGAGAAAGGAAAAAGAAAGAGAGCAGAAAATGGTAGACATGTTGCAGAGGAGGCAGATAGAGGTAGCTTTGCGCGATGCTCTGTAATTGATTTGCAATTCAATGATTCCTAGTGTTGGGCAAAACTTCTTTCGCAACTGATGATTGTTTTCTGTATAATTTTCTACTGATTTGTCGTTTTTGCTTATTTTCTATCCAGAGGTTAACGGGTCTGAGGAAGAACCTATCAATTATCCAATTGAAGATTTACTGTTGCCACCCGATCCTGATATCACTCAGCGTCCTTCTCCCTCACGGGATTTTAGTGTTTCAATGGATTGTGTTGGGGATCTTCTTATGGTCTGGGACTTTTGTTCCTCATTTGGTAGGCAGCTGCATCTATGGCGATTTTCTCTTGAAGACTTTGAAAATGCTGTCTGCCACAAGGAGAGTAATTTGGTTCTTATCATGGAAGTGCATGCCTGTCTTTTCCGGTTCCTCATCAAAGAAGGCGGTGATGATTTCAAAGCTTTAAAGAAAAGGAGTCGCAAGTCAAAGGTCAGATCTTCATCTCCTGCAAATTATCCTTGATTAACAAACTAGGTCGCACAGTAATTTGCTACATCAAATTGCCAGCCGTGTGAATTTTATTTTATTTCAATTTTCTTTTGTGCTTGATGGCCTGCTTGTTGCTTTCGTTCATCTTATTCCAGATAACGTTGATCACATGGACAGAGTATTTATGTGACTTCTTGGAATCAGTTGACACTCCCGATTTGTGCTTCGACATTGGAACGATCAAACGGGGACATTATGGTCTATTGGACCCCAATGTAAAATTGAAAATCTTAAGGGAATTAGTGAACCATATAACTGAAACAATTGTGTTCAAGGGGGAAATAGACGACCTTGTTGAACAACGGCATGCCATTGGAGCTGCTAGAAGAGAAGAAGCTTTGGCGGAGGCCCGACAGATAAGAGAGGAGAAAGAACGCTCTAAAACTGGCGAGGAAGCTGATGGAGTTTTGGACAATAAGAGGTTAGAGAAAAAGAAAAATAGCCCACAAGTACCAGAAAGCAGTGAAGACAGCAAAATGAAAGAGAGCACTGAGGGGGAAGTCAAGATGGAGAATGGGTCTGTTTCTTCGGCCAAAAATGACAAATCAGAGAAAAGGTTTGGCTTATCCTATTTACGCGTAAGTAGAACATATGGGTTTCAGAGTATTTGGGAGCTCATCATTGTTCTTATGGTAATGATAGGCTTGTGAGGAATGTCTATCTGAGAAAGCACAAAAGGCAGATGACGGATGCAAAAGTCGTACCAAAGGAGGAGGTGGAGGAGGAAGAGGAAGAGGAAGAGGAAGAAGAAGAAGAAGAAGAAGAAGAAGAGGAGGAGGAGAAAGGATCTTCCGGGAAGAAGCAGGGGGTAAAATCAGCTAGTGAAGATGAGAAAGGAAATATAGAAAGGAGGGGCCCCGAACAGAGGGTTGAGTCCTTCCCCTAATTATCATTTTTGATATTTGGTTGTTTTCTTATGCACGCGTGTGCTGTGACCAATCAAGTCTGAATTTTTCATTGATATGCAGAGGCAACATTATGAACGAGAGATGGAGAAAATAGTCATACGTACAAACCCCTTGGGTAAAGATCGGAACTACAACAGGTACTGGTGGTTCCGAAGCAATGGGAGGATATTTGTTGAGGATTGTGATTGCAAAGAATGGGGCTATTATACTTCCAAGGAAGAGGTACCATCAAGCCACATGGCTTGTTTCTATGTTCGATTATTTGATTGTATAGATCTCTTTCAAATTTGTGTATGTTTCTTGAAATCCAGCTCGATGCATTGATGGGATCACTAAACCGTAAAGGAGAGAGGGAACTGTCATTACACATGCAGCTAGAGAAATTATATGACAGAATATGGTCAGCTTAGAGCTTCCCACTTCTATATTGCATCATTAATTTAGTCATTTATTTAATCTTCACTTTGATGCACATTTTTACAAGAGTCCTGTGATTTGCAGCTCTACACTACAGAAGAGGACGAAGGACATTGCTCACAACATAGAAATGGAAGAAGCAGTGGTTAGGAGATCTACCCGTGTAAGGGCTCCACTTCATGAAAATCCAGCTAGTGCCTTCTTGAGATATGCTAACAAGTGGAAAGATGACTAAACCAAAGCAGAATTCAATTCTGTATAGGAAAAGCTTGCAGTTGCAGTCATGGGCCGAAACTTATTGGTTTTGTTTTTGGTTCGTTAGAGCTTTACAAGTTACAAAAAATAAGGGATAGCCTTATGGTATGGTAAAGCTAAAGCTTGAGTAGAAAGATGATGTTGGGTTTTGTTTTTTCTCTGTTACCATTCATCATCGTCTTCTTTTGACATACTCTTCCCCGGGGAAATTAGAAGTTTCATTACTATTCCCATTATGCTTCAGTGCACCTGTGTCTGTTCATTTGTTAGAGGATATATATTCCTAAACTTTGTTACAGAAGGATGGATCATTAGGCTAAAAGCTTATATACAAATTTTACAAAACTGCCATTTATAGCTTTCTTTGAGGGTTCTAATATGAACAAGAAATGTAGTTCGAAGGGACAGCAACATTGTTTAAGCTCGAAATATACCTTTTTTTAAGTTAAAGTGAAACACTAAAATTCATTGATCCCAAGCCATTTCCCAAAAAGACCTTCATAAGGAGGTAAGTGTCGATAGTTTTTTTCTGTTGTAAGAATGACAAGAAATATTACACTAGCAAGTTTTAAAAAGAAAAGCAAAACATTAGAGAATCAAAAATCTACTTGGTTCTAAGACCAGGAACGTTTCTAAGACCCATCTTGGCAAGAACATTTCTAGGGATAGCTGGTGGGGTGCTAAGTCCCATAGCTCGGCTAAACTCATTGGCTAACTCCACCAGTCTGGTCGTGTCTCTTGCAATCTTCTTCTGAGATTTGTAGTAACCCAGCCACGCTTGATACGCAGCTTCCTTGTTCTGCAAATCCACTTGGCCAAGCCCCTTCTGAACCTGTATTCAACAAGTTTCTCACACCCTTTAGTACTCACTCGAGTCACATACTCTAGTTGTTGCTAGCACAAAGAATTTTGAGAAAGGCTTGTCAAGCGTTCGACATATCATATGAAAAGCTTACCTTTTTCACAGCCTCAGGGTTTATTGGCGGTAGAGAAGACTTGGTAATAGGCAAGTCTTTGACGGAAGATAAGAAGTATTCTTCCCATGGTGCCAACAATAGTACACCTTCCCCTTCCTTCCCTTTCCGACCTGTTCTGCCAAGTCTATGTATGTATTGTTCCCTGTCTGATGGCAATCCCATCTGCAAAACCAACATTATATACAACAACTTCAGTAAAAATGATTAAAACCCTGTAGTTGCGGTTCAGTTCCATGTTGGAAAAGTACTATATGGTTTACCTGTAAGACAAGCGACACATCAGGGTAATCGACACCCCGAGCAGATACATCAGATGTTACAAGGATAATACTCTTGGACTTGCGGAACTCATTAGAAACTCTGGTTCTGTAACTCTGCGGTTTTCTAGAATGGATCTCTCTGACGTTCAGGCTTAGCTGACCAAGCAGATCAGCCACCAATCTTGTGACCATAGCAGTCGTGCAGAAAATAATAACCTGCAAATGAACAAGGTTATCGTATTAGTTCAGAAATACATTGGTGATTCACAATGGCACTTGTGACTTGAGGAACAATTTATTTTTACCTTATAGTCCACATTAGCTGCGATGTGTTCTTTAAGAAGCACATATATAAGCGAGAAATGTCTATCTAGTGATGCAATCATGTACATTTGTGTGACCTGAGAGAAAAACACAGACATGGGAAAGCAATGAGATCCAATCATATCGCAGGCATATCATTCAAATGAACTTAAAAGAGCAATTTTTTACCTTTTGATGCGTCTCGTCAGAACCCTCTTGAACACAATTAACGAACTCATGATCCCGTTTCAGAGCAACATGGCATATTTGGCGGACCTTGACATCAAGAAACACAATTTAAGATTCAATCCCAAAAAATGAGGGCCTTTGTGGAAGGAACTGACACTTACCTCTTCAGATACCGTGGCAGAGAATAAAAATGTTTGTCTCTGCTTAGGAACCGAGGCGATTATCCTCTCAATATCCCTTCGGAAACCCATGTCCAAGAGATGATCAGCTTCATCAAGTACAAGGACCTTCACACCCTTCAACCTTGTGGCAAATCCAGACGTGTTATCAATATGGTCTTTCAGCCTTCCAGGTGTAGCCACTAGAATCTGCGAATGTTCACATTAGTGATTATTCAATAACATATAGAGGCACAGCTCACAGTATCTGCAGCCACTTAAATTGCAGATTTATAAGAGGCTAAATGAAGTTAACACAACCTATGAACACTTAAATGGGCGAAACAATCCTAAACTGCACATGGACATACATTCTTTCCTCACATGAACAATTAAAGAGAGAGTTAAGATTTTCTCAGAGTTAACTTCACAGTAATACACATAGAACGGCAGAAGAAATCTCTTACCTGGCAAGGATTCTTTTGCATACGCCTTTGCTCTGAAGGAAGCTTCGTGCCTCCAATCACAACTTCAACACCAATAGATGAGTGGTACTTCAGCAAGATCTTTGCTTCTGCAGCAGCTTGACAAGCAAGTTCCCGAGTGGGGCATACCACAAGCACAATAATTGGGGGTTGCTTATTATCCCGGCTTGCAGCAGGAGATTTGAGAACAGCTTCAATTGATGGAAGCTTGAAATATAAACAGAAACAAACGATAAGAAAAAAAAAATCCGAATGAAAAGCCCGATCAATTCCTAACTAACAAAATGAAATCCATGAGTCCCATAAGGTAGAGTGTCTTACCAAAAATGCAACGGTTTTCCCAGTGCCTGTTTTGGCCTTGGCTAGCACATCTTTACCTGGAAAACCATCAAGTTAAAGAAGAAATATTAGTGGAATTATCAACAATTATGCAAAAGCTTATATATAAGGAATCCGAAAGAAAGATACACAAGTTTCTGAGTTTTTATTTCAAAGTGATTTGTAAAAGCCTGTGAGATTGAGTCAATTGAAACCGTCCCTAAATTTCTCAATCAATTTGAAAAAGTGTTCACCTTTGAGAATGATAGGAAGAGTAGCCTCTTGCACAACAGTCATTGTCTTAAATCCAGCATCCACGATTGCTTTCAGCGACAAGGGAGACAGTGGGAACTGATCAAATCTGTAAACCATTTACCAGAAAGAGCATTGTAAGAAAAGCTCCGAAGCAAAATCCTCCTTTTAGTGGTAAAAGTAAAGCATAACCCAGAAAGAGACTAAATTCTTCCATCAATCGAAGCAAATAACGTACCTTGTCTTAGACAAGTAAGAATCTGAGGTCTTGGCAATTTCAGTCATTGGCGTAACAGCCTCTACAGCCTTAGTAGGAGCCGCTTTCTTAACAAGAGGCTCATTGTCGTCATTATCAGATTTTCCTTCCCTTGCCCTCTTCGGACCCCTCCTGTTGTTGTTGTCTCTGACTAGGTTTCCCGAGTCATCCTCGTTGTCACTCGTGAGCTTCCCACGCAACGAGCTAGTCTTCAAATGTTTTGCGCGAATCTCTCGTCTCTTCCGACCGGATTTGGATCCATCGGAACTCATGGAAAACGAGACGAGTAGATGGAAGCGTCGACCGAGAGGGAACTTCAGGTTCCCGTCGTCGGTAAATTAGGGTTTAACAACTTTTGTAGGAAACACATTAGGGTTTTAAGATGAAGAGGACAGTGCCCCAAATTGTCAACAAAATTAAAACAAAAACGGCACGTAGTTTGCTCCCTTAGCTTTGATAAATGTTTTTACATGTCGTTTCTATGAGTTTCTATCAGAAATACATTTATTATAGGAAATTAGTTTACAATATTCTTTTAATCATACCAACTGTTCTGAATTCGTTAACTAGCAACTACAAACAAAAGAACTCAAATATGATTTTTTAAAATTTTTTTATAGAATGAGAAAGTCGAAGTGTTGCAAAAATGACAAGATATTACACTTACAAAGCATTAAAGATTTTATTACAAAAGTAAAACAATAGATAAGAAATCTACTTGGTTCTAAGACCAGGAACGTTTTTGAGACCCATCTTGCCAAGAACATTTTTTGGGATAGCTGGAGGGATGTCAAGTCCCATGCTGCGGCTAAACTCATTGGCCAACTCCACCAGTCTGGTCGTGTCTCTTGCAATCATCTTCTGAGATTTGTAGTAACCCAACCACGCCTGATACGCCGCCTCCTTGTTCTTCATATCCACTTGGCTAAGCCCTCTCTGCACCTGAATTCATCATATCCACCAACATGTTCCTCACACCCATCAATACCATATGCAATTGAAGATAAAATTTAGAATAGGTTTGTGTTGTGAGACGAATCCAACATTCATAGCGATTCTAAGTCCAAGCTTACCTTTTTCACAGCCTCAGGATCTATTGGCGGTAGAGGAGACTTGGTGATAGGCAAGTCTTTGACGGAAGATAAGAAGTATTCTTCCCATGGCGCTAACAATAGCACACCTTCCCCTTCCTTACCTTTCCGACCGGTTCTGCCAAGTCTATGTATGTATTGTTCTCTGTCTGATGGCAATCCCATCTGCATACCCAACATTATACACAACAACAACTTCAGTAAAAACGATAAAACTCTGTAGTTGCGATTCAGTTCCATGATGAGAAAGTACTATATGGTTTACCTGTACGACTAGTGACACATCAGGATAATCGACACCTCGAGCAGATACATCGGATGTTACAAGGATAATACTCTTGGACTTGCGGAACTCATCAGAAACTCTGGTTCTGTAACCCTGCGGTTTTCTAGAATGGATCTCTCTGACGTTCAGGCTTAGCTGACCAAGCAGATCAGCCACCAATCTTGTGACCATAGCAGTTGTGCAGAAAATAATAACCTGCAAATGAACAAGGTGATCGTATTCGTTCAGAAATACATTGGTGATTCACAATGGCACTCTAAAAACAATTGGTTTTTACCTTATAGTCCACATTATCTGCCATGTGTTCTTTAAGAAGCACATGTAGAAGCGAGAAATGTCTATCCAGAGAAGCAATCATGTACATTTGTGTGACCTGGGAGATAAAGCAGATATGAGTCATGAGACGCCGCTAGCATTCAATCATATGCAGGCCTTCATTCAAATGAACCTAAAGAGAAATCTTATACCTTTTGATGCGTCTCGTCAGAACCCTCTTGAACACAATTGATGAACTCATGATCCCGTTTCAGAGCAATATGGCATATTTGGCGGACCTTCAAACCAAAATACACAATTCAAGATTCCAACCCAAAGATGATAGCCTTTTGTGCAAGAAACTGATACTTACCTCTTCAGGTACCGTGGCAGAAAACAAAAATGTTTGTCTCTGCTTAGGAACAGCAGCGATTATCCTCTCAATGTCCCTCCGGAAACCCATGTCCAAGAGATGATCAGCTTCATCAAGGACTAGGACTTTCACACCCATCAACCTTGTCGCAAATCCAGAAGTATTCTCGATATGGTCTTTGAGCCTTCCAGGTGTAGCCACAAGAATCTGAGAGTGTTCATATATGTGATTATTCAACAATATATATAGACTGCATCACTGCATCTAAAGAAGACGCAAGACAGTCTCAGATTTAACTTTACATTAATACACAAAGGAGTGGCAAAAGAGATTTCTTATTACCTGGCAAGGATTTGTTTGCATACGCCTTTGCTCTGTAGGAAGCTTTGTGCCTCCAATCACAACTTGTACACCAATAGATGGGTGATACTTGAGCAAGGTATTTGCTTCTGCAGCAGCTTGACTGGCAAGTTCCCGAGTAGGGCATACCACAAGCACAACAATTGGAGGTTGCCTAACATCTCGGCTTGCAGGAGGAGATTTGATAACAGCTTCAATTGATGGAAGCTTGTAAATATAAACAGAAACAATAAGAACAAATCGATTTGAAGGCCCGGTCAATTTCTAACCGACCAGCTTATTATATCCATGAACCCAGAGGGTAGAATGTCTCACCAAAAATGCAACAGTTTTTCCAGTGCCTGTTTTGGCCTTGGCTAGCACATCTTTACCTGAAAAAAAAAACAGAGCACGGAAGAAACCAAGGAGTTAAAGAGTAAATATCAGAGGAAGTTTTAAACAATTAATCAAGCTACAAAATGCAAGTCATGGCAAATTTGAGGAATCCTGAAGAATGATACACAAGTCTCTGAGTTTTCTTTGAAATACCTATTGGCTATTGCTAAATGATCTGTAAAAGCTTGTGAGATGACGTCAATTAGAAATCGTCACTAAATTTTCTATAGTGTTTTTCTTTTTTCTGCCTTGCAAAAAAACTCTCATGAGAAAGGAAGAAAAATCCACCTTTGAGAATGATAGGAAGAGTAGCCTCCTGCACAACAGTCATTGTCTCAAATCCCGCATCCTTGATGGCTTTTAGCGATAAGGGAGACAGTGGGTATTGATCAAATCTGTAAATTATTTACCATAAAGAGTATTATTGTCAATCAAACAACACTAGATATAAAGTCACATTCACAAACAGAAGAAGCAATCTTCTCCCACTAAAGGACAACCTATCAAGAAACTAAATTCACAAAACGATTGCTGCTAAGACAGTTCACAAAGTGAAATTATAAACTATACTGTGTGCCAGGATACTCTTGGCTATTCAGGAGTTGAAGAAATAAAACCAAAACAAAGCACATAACAAAAGAAACTAAATTGCAGATAATGGTACCTTGTCTTAGATAAGTAAGAATCTGAAGTTTTAGCATTTTCAGTCCTTGGCTCATCAGCCTCTACAGCCTTAGCAGAAGCCGCATTCTTAATAAGAGGCTCATCATATTCATCTTCATCGTCAACATCACTACTATCTTCACTAAGCAAATCATCAATGCTTCCCAATGCAACTCTCTTCTCGTCCTCGTCACTACTATCTTCCTCTTCCTGACTTGAATCTCTAGTCTGTTTCCCCAAACCCCCCTCTCTCCTAAACCCTGCATCTACATTTCTCTCTTTCCTTCCACGAAGAGACGACTCACTACTATTTCCTTGAATCCGACCGTTCCTTACGCCTTCTCGATCACCTACCCGCTTGTTCCTAAACGACTCAACCGGCTCGCCGCTGGTTATCCTCCTGTTCGAACCCTCAAATCTATCGATTTCACCCTCCTTTCCCCTTCTCGAGCCACCGAACCTATCAGACTGGCCTTCCCTTCTCGAGCCACCGAACCTATCGGACTGGCCTTCCCTTCTCGAGCCACCGAACCTATCGGATTGGCCTTCCCTTCTCGAGCCACCGAACCTATCGGATTGGCCTTCCCTTCTCGACCCACCGAACCTATCGGATTGGCTTTCCCTTCCCCTCTTCGGACCTCTACTGCTGTCTCTGTCTACATTTCTACGAACACGGTCTGGACCCGAGTCATCTTCGTCGCTCGTGAACTTCGCACGCAACGAACTAGTCTTCAAGTCGCTCACCCAATCACTGAGCTCTGCCTCATCCTCAATCAAGCTCTTGGACGCGCGAATCTCTCCTCCATCACGATTCGGCCTCCTGAATTCGGGTCGGATTCTCTCTGTTCTAGTAGAGAAACTGACGCGGGACCCTAAACCAAGGTATGTTAACCTCAAAGGAAATGCCTTTGAGAGAATAGGGACTGAGCGGAAGGAGTAGATTAGTGCGCCGGAGTTCATGGAAGCGGGATAAGTACAGGGAAGAGAATGAGTAATGAAGCGTACACCGAGAGGGAACTTCAAGGGCATCTCTTGACTTGTAACTACCGAGTTCCCGTCGTCGGTGACGGGAGAGATTTTTGAGGATAAGGGGAAGAGTCGAAAATGTCGAGAGGGTTTTACCGGTTTTGTAGAAAACACGATAGGGTTTTAACTAGGGACATTTAGAATGATTCAAAACGACGACGTTTCATACACCGTATAAACACCGGCATGTAGTTTGCACCCCTGTTCCTGAGAAAAACGGCAAGTAGTTTGCTCTCATGGTTTTGAAAACGGAAATAGAGAGCAAGTCACCTTTGCTCATATTTTATTTGTTATCAAACATAATAATATCTCAATTTACATAAAACATAATGGTACATTGCCCTTATAAATTATATGATAAAACATAATTGATTAAAAAGTTGAAATTGTTTAACATGTGTTTTTTCTTTCCAATATTAGTTTCTGGTATAAAAAAAGAAACAATTATAGTAATTACCAAAATTAAATGTACATGTTCAAAGTATGTTCATTTGATTATGTGTGTTTTCTCAATTTTTAAACAAAAAGTAAAGTTATATAAATTCTAATTAATAATTTCATTTTCTCCTTTGGATTACAGTTTTTAAACAAAACTTTGTTAACATTTTGTTGAATAAAATATCTGGTTTTCGTTCATATCATATTAATTTTCACAGATTTTTTACTATGGCTAATGTCTTTAATGTTATTGAATCATGCAATAACCATGGATCATACATTTCACTTTGGAGTAACCATGGATCACTTGTGTTGCAATCAAATTGTACCAATAAAATGTCAGTCATTTTTATTGTATAAGTATAATGTTATTGAATCAATCATCCAGAATAGCATAAGAGATCTTCATGTGTGATTGATTTTAGATATTGCGGTGATGAAATTACGCACCATATTTCTTTAGTTTGAATACAAATGAAAAATCATGTTTTATATTAAAATTAACATTGACAAAATATTTTGAAAGTAATAATATATGTTAAAATTAAATCGGTAAAACTAATTTCTATTAATTCAGCTTTATCTGGATCTTCCTTTCTTTCTTAAAACATGACGTTCAACAATTGCAAAACAGATTATCTATTACACTAGAGAGCCAAAGAGGAAACATATGAACTTTTGAAAAGTAATGATTTCAGATGCAAATATTGGAATCGATGCATACCCAATTGTAATTTTTTAAAAATCAGAAAATAACCTCCAAATGTGAGAAAACGGGACGTAGTTCGCTAAATTGGCGGTGAAATGTATTTGTATGATGCTTATCTTGGTGACGTTGAGTATCAGATAAATGACTAGATTTTCTTGGCGATAAACTCAGAAATATGTTAAAATTGGGATTTGCAAACAAAGACATCATTTTTTAATATCATCATACAGCCTTTGCTTCCTAGTATAGAACAACCTCTGAAGATCTGACAGCATATCACATTCAAAGAGTATCGATGTTCATTTCTTTGAGAAACACTAGCCAACTGATAAGACGAAAACGTTTGCAGACATCACATGGAAAAGTGAAATAACCTGTACGAAGTAGTTTACACCCTTTGCCTTTGAAATGAAACGAGAGAAACAGAGACCATTTTTTCTTTTTTTCTTTTAAGCTTTGTGAGGCTCTTGACAAGACTGTGCCTCTTTGACATGCTTCTCGTATTCATCTTCTTCCTCTTCCTCTTCCACTTCAGCTTCAACGTCCTCTTCCTCTTCATCTTCTTCCTCACCTCCTGATCCCAAGCTTTTGCTGACACTAGAAGATGAAGCTGGATTCCTTGCTTCTCCAACTATCTTCATTATGTCCTCTATGCTTTGAAGAGAATAGCTTGTGTTGTCTCTCTTGTAATACACAGCTTGAGCCGACTCAAGCAGCTCCTTTGGCAAATTCTTTAAATACCAAGGATGATTCTTGATCTCCTTAAGCGTGATTCTCTGTCAATTATATTATTGACAATCAGAACCGGAACATCTTCCTACAAGATATAGCCTGAAAATTTGAAAACTGGAATGGTTTAGATACCTTAAGTGGGTTAGTGACGAATATGCGAGAGAGAAGGTGTTTGCATTCCTGAGATATGTGAACGTAGTCCGGGATCTTATATTGTATAGCCATTATACGCTGAAGAATAACCATTTTAATTGTTACATTATTGAGACACTTGAGCAATAAGAAGAGTAATTAGAAAAATTAATGCAGTTGATCGTTGAATATGGAGTTACTTGGATTGTTTTCCTGAAATTCTTTGGATCATTAGGGTCCTCAAATGGGTAAGCTCCAACAAGCATCACGTAAAGGGTTACTCCACATGACCACACATCCGCGTTCTACAAAAACACAGCCATATGAGTGCAAAATCAGTCTATGTGCTCTACGACAATCACGACAAATATGATTATAGAGACTGCCCTATAAACATCCTACACATATCGGTTATCAGTTATCACCCTGTAAATTTTTTAATTAAGAGCTAAAGACCCTATGCTTGGACACGTGCAGAGGCCAGTCCACTTAAACCTTATAAGGAGTACACAATACCCTGAAAAGTTTTACACAGACCACGCCGGTACAAGGATATATAAATCCTACTATAGTATCTCTGAGTAGTCTTTTCTAACGATCTTTTTTTTTTTTCATATTTTTCTCTTAACTATCTGCTCACTTTGACAACCAATCATGTGTTAATGACAAATTGATATGTTTAGCAAGACATGAGTAGAGTACCTTGCCATCATATTCTCTGCGAGAAAGAACTTCAGGTGCTATGTATGCTGGAGTTCCAACAGTCGATTTAGGCCTAGAATGTAGTATAGATGACTACAGAAAAGGAAATAAAACATATATAGGATAATAAGAAAACAGGAAAAAAATATAAGATTAAAGAAACGAGTGAATAGTTAATGATAGTCCGTTATGGATTGAGGATGAAGACCATTGAGCAAAGAAGAAATAGTAGATGAATGAGCTCACACCTTAGAGTAACCAAAATCACAGATTTTCAAAAGCGGAGCAGGGCTCCCATCAAGCAGTGTGTTCTCAAGCTTCAGATCTCTGTGGCATATTTGCTGCACAGAAGAAAAGAGAGGAGAAGTCAGGACATGTTATGCAACAGAGGTAATATAGATTCTAAACGAGTCATTGCCCATTTTCCCACGAATAGCATCATCCACATCACAAGGCATCAACAGTGGCAACTGAGATTCAAAATGATTCAAAATAAGATGAATATATATCACAGAATCAAGACATTGAAACCCAGGTCAAAACATCTAAACAGCATTTCCTTTAATAAAATACAGAAGCACTAACTTCCAAATCTAACTGAAAGAATCCAAGTCACTGAGATCATGGATATACTTCTCCACAGATACCTCCTCGGGCAACTTTACTTTTCGGCTTAATGAATATACATACCAAGGAGTGGCAGTAGTCGACGCCACAGATCAGTTGTTGAAAGAAGTACCTGGCCTGAAAAGATAAAAATCAAAAACAAAACTTATTAACATAAAATGTAAAAGATGAAAGAAAATGACGAAGAACAGATAGATTAAAGTCCAAGACTTTATAAAGAGAAAATCACCTCAGCTTCACTGAATCTACCGGCAGTGCAGATTCGATCAAAGAGCTCTCCTCCAGAAGCATAATCCATCACAATGGCAAGATGAGTAGGGGTCAGAATCACCTGGAACCGAATCAAAATAAGATCCCAAGAAAGCTCTCTTAGAAAACTAAAAATTCCAAAAAAAATTACACTTGCCTCCTTGAACCGGATGATATTAGGATGCTTAAGTGATCTGTGATTGATAATCTCTCTGGCCACGTTCTCATCTATCTGCAGTCCATGATCAAACATACAAAACAATCAAAAGTCAAATCATCATCATCATCATACTGATCAGCTATTTTCTAAGCCCCCAATTTGTCACATGTTTCTGCAAATCCCCTCAAACGATGTAGCAAACAAACTTCAAATTTCGATAATACTCACTGAGGTAAAAGCAAAACCCCCCCAAGATCCTAAACCCCAACTGAAACTTCAAAAATAGTAAGACAAAAAGGTTTTCTCAGGAAATCAAACGGAGAGAGGAAAGTGGAAACTGACCTTGCGGCCTCTCTCGATGTATTTCATGGCAACGAGCTCTTTGGTGTCCTTGTGCCTTAGAAGGCGAGCCACACCGAAATTTCCAGTTCCCAGATCCTTCACAACGTCATACTTGTCCATTTCCAAAATCAATGATCAGAGTGAGTATCTTATGTACTTGTTATATATATATATACGAGCACGAGCACGATCACGGGATGGAATAGATTCTGAAAAGGCGATTTAGATGAGGATCTGAGAAAGCGAAGCAAATTGAATCGATAAGAAATGGTGAGATCCACATGTGTGTGTGTGTGCATCGATGGCGGCGTAAACGCAGGAGATGGAAATGGATTGGACCACGTGGACGGTGAAGCTCGATTTCCAATGACCAGCTTTAAGTTGAGTGCAACGCTAATGATACTATTTATTCACAGATTAGCTTATGGCTAATGATATTTAATTAAGTTAAATCTACTCATATAGGGAAAATATTCCTAAAGGGCAATAAAGCTAAAAACCAATTTGACTAAAAAGGTCGTAACATATCTACAGTCAAATATTCTAAAGATAAAAATGATCCAAATACATATATATATTAGCACAAGACTCTATCTTCCATCCAACAGATCTAGCTACTATCTTCTTCCTTCACTTCCAGTGTAAAAGCTCTACTTGCCTAAAGTTAGGGTTTCAAGCTCAGATTCGTACTGTAAGAAGAAATAAAAACATGGGTAAAGCTTCGGTGATACTATATATCACGGTGGGGATCCTCGTGCTCTTCCTCATCTCTTATTCCCCGAAGAAGAAGAGTGACCACGATCACCACCACGGCGGTCACAGCCAACATCACCGCCTCAAACTCCGATCTTCTTTCAATTTCAAACCCACTCGACACGATCCGATTCCGTTCGACCCTCTGGTCGCCGACATGGAGCGCCGTCGCGAGGATAAGGAGTGGGAGCGGCAGCACATTGAGCATTCTCACCCTGAGCTCGCCTCGCATTCGCAGAAAGCAGCAACCGGTGGTGGGCATGAAGCGGCACCTGGCCACGAGTCGCAGCCTGAGTGGGAGGATTTCATGGATGCCGAGGATTACTTGAATGACGAGGAGAAATTCAATGTCACCGACAGGTCGGTGATATCTTCAAAATCCATTTTTTTTTATGATAATTTTTTTTTTTGTTAGAAAGAAAGGATTTTTGACTGGTAATTTGCAGGCTGATATCTTTGTTTCCAAAGATTGATGTTTCTCCTGCGGATGGGTTTGTGACTGAGAGTGAAATGACTGAATGGAACATGCAGTCTTCTGAGAAGGAGGTCATGCACAGGACTCAGAGAGACTTGGTTGTTCATGACAGAAACAAGGATGGTTTCATTTCTTTCTCTGAGTATGAACCACCCTCTTGGGTCCGTAATTCCGGTGAGCTTCAGTTTCCTGTTTTTTCTCACTCACTTTAGAATCTTTGCTACTTGCTATCTGACTGATTGCAAATTTGCAATTTCCAACGGACTTAGGCCTGTGAAGTAAAGAATCTCACTTTTGTCACTTCAGGGGACTGCTAATGACTTAAGATGTAATTTTATCAGATAATAACTCCTTTGGCTATGACATGGGTTGGTGGAAAGAGGAGCATTTTAATGCATCAGATGCAAATGGTGATGGTTTGCTGAATTTAACAGAGTTCAACGAGTAAGCGTTTTCGTCTCCTGTAGATTAGAATCAAACCTATCAAAAAAACGTTTCTTCTCATAATGCTCTTTCTGATTAATTCTTTCCACATAGCTTTCTTCATCCTGCTGATACCAAGAACCCCAAGTTGCTGCTATGGTTGTGCAAGGAGGAAGTAAGGTACTCTACTGTAGCCATACCTGATACCTCTTGGCATAGCTTTTAAAGAAGCCTTCTTTTTTACGGACGGGTTCTTCTCCTTCCCTTTCACAGAGAAAGAGATTCAGATAAAGATGGTAAGATCAGTTTCGAAGAGTTTTTCCACGGCCTCTTTGACACTGTAAGGAGCTACGAAGAAGATAATCACAATACTACGCATCCTTATCATGATTTACCTGAAGGCCCTGCTAAGCAGTTGTTTGCTCAGCTAGACAAAGATGGTGACGGGTACGTAAATTAAGAAGAGAAGACGTCATATTTACCATATCTGTAAAGACTATGCATCCCTTAACATAGCTCCCTCCCACTGCTCTATAGGTACTTATCGGACGTCGAATTGCTTCCCGTTATCAGTAAAATCCATCCTACCGAGCATTATTACGCAAAACAACAAGCTGACTATATTATATCACAGGTACATAAATTTCATATCAAATGGCCTGGTTTGGTGTTGAATTGCTCGGTGTTATATTGTTCTCTCTTTTTCTGATCTTCTCAGGCGGATTCAGACAAAGATGGACGTCTGACTTTGGCAGAGATGATTGAGCATCCATACGTATTCTACAGTGCCATTTTCGATAACGAAGATGACTCTGATGATGACTATGGCTTCCACGATGAGTTTCGTTAGTTTCATGATGAGTAAGCAAGCATCTGCCACAACCCTGGATTTATTATATAATCTCCGTCCAAAAATATTCAAACTTGAAACACTAATCGATATTCTCCATCGCATCTGATACACACAACAGAGGACGAAATAACATCAGGCTCAATTCGTTATAACTTCAAGGAACGTTGCTATGAAAACAGGTGATCAAAGTTACATCAGGTCCCATGTTTTAATCTTCTTTATACATACCTTTGATCTTGACTCTCTTACGGCTGCTCTTATACTGCAGAGTCCAGTACGAATCTCTCCCGCGGCTGATCAACTGGTGATTTAGAAGTTAGAAGAGTATTTATGATTCTAAACATCTGAAAGAAACATACTTCTCTTTGGATCTTGTTCAATTGTTATGCCTTCATTAATCAATCATTATACGTGACTTTTTCGATTTTGTATGTTCTGCTTACACTTTAAAACTTAATCTCTTATAAGCAAAGCTTGTGAAGATAAACAGTGTTATACATCAAAGTCGGCACTGAGCCATTAAAGGTTTCGGAAAACTAAATTGAAAATAAGGGAGAGAGATGTCTTAACATTACACCGCTTCATTATTTCATGCAAGGAACGCTAGTGCTCAGTTTGAGAATTTGAACCAAGTTCGAAATCCTACTTCACGACACAGATCTTAATAACCGAGGCAGCTCCAATACGGTGCAACGCCACGACTGCATCACCACGGTTGCACAGTCCTCTCTGTGTTGCTGACTTCAAAGCGGCTTCAATGATAACTTCCGTGGACTCGCTATCTGTTGCCTTCGCGGATCCTTCAGCCAACATGGGGATTAAACCTCTGTATATCAGACTGTGCCTTGCAGGTGACTCGTCACTACAAGTCCAGTCGAAGGAATCGGTGGTCATAACAGGGACAACCACTGACAGAATCGGAACAGCCGGTCTGTATTTAGCTACAAGCTTAGCGGTTGAACCTCCACGAGTCAACACAATGATGAGCTTCGCATGCGCTTTGTTGGCGGTCCGTACAGCGGATGATGCAAGACTCTCCAGTGGGCTCATTGGAAGCGGAGTTGCTCGGATCATCTCTTTGAAGATTGTGTTGTAATCAAGAGAGCTCTCGGCTTCGATGCAGATCTTAGCCATAACTTTCACAGCTATCTCCGGATAAGCTCCTGCTGCACTCTCGCCGCTAAGCATCACACAGTCGGTGCCGTCAAGAACAGCGTTTGCAACATCGGTGGCTTCAGCACGGGTTGGCCTCGGTGATTTGATCATTGACTCCAGCATCTGAGTGGCTGTGACCACTGGTTTACCCGCAAGGTTACACTTGTAGATCATCAACTTTTGAGCCAAGAAAATCTTCTCTATCGGAATCTCCATCCCGAGATCACCACGAGCAACCATGAATGCATCTGTTTCGCGCAATATCTCATCGAAATTAACAACTCCTTCCTGGTTCTCAACCTTCAAAAACACAAGTGAGTCAGATTCATGCCTCAACAATAGTATACATATAACGCAATCGCCATAAGTGAAAAATTAAGTACCTTGGACATCAACATTATGCTTTTAGCATGAGATCCAAGAACCCTACGGACATTGACAAGATCCGAACCTTTACGGACAAACGAGAGCGCAATCATATCGATGCTGTTGGGAACACCCCAACCGAGAATGTCTTCAATATCCTTGTCTGTCAAAGTGGGAAGATCAACAACAACACCGGGAAGATTCACGTTCTTCCTTTCGCCAAGCATGGCCGTGTTTTCACACCGGCACCTAACGGTTCCAGAGTCGGGATCACAGGACACGACAGCTAGACTTATGCTTCCATCAGCACAGAGTATGGTGTTGCCGGGCTTCACATCCAACGGAAGCTTTTTGTAGCTCATGGATATCGTTGTCTCATCTCCTTTAATGTCGTAATCAGTGGTTACAGTAATCTCCTGGCCTTCCTTCAGTTGTATTGGGTTCCCATCTTTCAAGAAACCAGTACGAATCTCAGGCCCCTGCGAATTCAACGACCGAAATCAAATGATGATTGTCTCAAAAATCAGAGGGTATAAGTTCAACAATTGATCTAACATTGCTTATGCATCAAGATTTGTTGAGAAGCTGAAGCAAATATTCATAAACCATATAAGCGAGTGAAGATGATGTATGGGAAATAGACCTTGGTGTCAAGCATGACAGCAGCGAGAATGCCGGTATTATGCATAGCGGCGCGGAGGTTGTCGAGGGTATCCTGATGGTATTCATGGCTTCCATGAGAGAAGTTGAAACGAGCGACGTTCATGCCGGCTCTCAGAAGCTTTTCGATCATAGGAACAGTGCGAGAAGCTGGTCCTAGAGTGCAAACGATCTTCGTCTTTGGGATCCTCCCATCGTTAGGCAGCTCCTTCAGTATCCCTTCTATGTCTATGTTCGACATTTTTTCAATTCTTTCTTCCTTTCTTCTCACGAATTCCCCTCCTGCAACCAAAACACAAGCGAAGGAATTAGGAATTTCCCAAATTTGTTAGCTCAAATCCGTCTTCCTTCGTTTCTAGATCCAGAGAATAGGAACTTGTAAACACAAGCGGACATAAGTTCCACAGATTCACTCAACCGAACATAGATTTCAAGGAAGTCAACTTTTAGAAGAACCCGAGTGTCTCAGATTTGGATCCAGGAAATAGATTGGAGAAGAAGAGAGTATAGAGAATCGGGGGAGTGAGAGTTTACCTTTAGCTCCGATGCTGGATTTGTTGTCGTGACGGAGTCGGAGCAAGAACCCTTGTTTTTCGGGTTGGACTTGTGTGATGACTTTCTCTGGTTTTGGTATTAAGATTACTTTATGAAACGAAGTTGGTAGCTATTACGACTGCCACGTGAACTCGAGTTTAAAATTAATTTTTTTTTTAAAAAGAGTAGGGATCCTAACTGAGAAAGAACAAAATATACTCGTAATAAGAAAGAAAATCGACTAGTTGATTTATACACGTTACGTCATGAGTAGAATATGCGTTGGATCGAGATGTGTGATTCGTAATTTGTTGTGTGTATCCATGACTTTGGTGGGTCTCATAGTTTTTGTTAGCGACAATAAATACAAGCATTTCATACATTTTCCAATACTTTTGTTTGGTTCTTTGGGAATTTCAATGGTCATATTCCCAAAACCCATATATGTCTCTCTTTGTTTTCCCTCTTGGCTTTATTAAGGAGCCATTTCTTCCAGATTAATTTTCTTCTTCTATTGAAAGGATTTTTATTTTATTTTATATTTCCTTTTGCACGAAAAAGATACTACAAAGTAAAAAAATAATGCATCATTTGTTTCGCATAACTTTACCTTTTTGACACTGTGTCTGCAAAATGATGATATTTGTTGGAAATAGAATCTGACATCTTTAACTTTTAACTAATGAAAAGAAACATTTAATTTTCTAGGGACTTGTTATGAAAAAAAAAAATTGTTTTCAAACTGCCTCTCCAACACAATCTCTTGTTATGCATCTATCTCTTTCTAAGTATTTTAATTTGTTTACCAAAAAGCCAGAAACAGAACTGAGCTACAATATAATGCAATAATCTATGTGATTTGCTGGAGGTTATGAACTACCAAATGAGTTTGGCAAGAAATGTTACTTTTTGCTGGCAAAACAAATCTCAGATCTTAAGATTAGTTGAAATCACAAAACAAAGTAGTAGCTAAACTACTTCCACTTGCAGAGATCTCAACATGATGCAAAAGGGCTTCAAATGCGTTTGGGCGGAACGTACTGCACTCGCTCTTCTTGGCATAGGAACTGCCAGTGGATTTTCGCCACATACAAGTCAAAAAGAAAAAGAACGAATCAATATGAAACCGGATTCGTTTCTTTAGGACCCAATGTCCTTATTCGAAAACCAGAGCTCAGGATTGCTTATTATGTCTTTACCTGCATTTCCTCTGGGAGTGCCTCTGAGACAGCAAGGGCGTAGCAACCAGGAGCAAACTTCCCTGAAAACAAGAATTGCAAGAGTGTCAGAACTGCCGAGAATACACATAAAAAACTATAATGCAGTTACACGAAACAACTAAGATGGAGTCTAAAACGGGGGTTGTGCTGAATGAGATTTTGATCGTAAAGACATCGTTGAAGTAGTGTGGCAATAAGGAACAATATTAACTTCATACACAACATTCCCTCTTCCAAAAGAGAAAGATGTGACTAACATAAACATAGCAGTCATGCCTCAAGTGCAATGGTTGGACACAAACGAACAAGAAACGGAAAGAAGAAGCAAACTCAAAAGCGGGAGTTAATAGTTCAAGCTTCAGGATTATTAGGAAAAACAGAGCTCAAAACATACCAATTCTTAACCACCTTGCCGCCCAACTTCTGCGTGGATCCATCATAGAGATTGTACTGCAAAACAATCATAATGTGAGTTATAGGAAAATTGGAGACAGAGAGACATAAATCAACACTACCACTATGAAGATTGTGTTGACTTATAAAGCATAATCTTAAAAGCAGCAAACTTTAAAGCAACGATCAAAAACGAGAAATTCGAAACCAAAACCGCATTATTCTTCTTATCAACAAGCAGAGTCACATCCCAGGTTCCGAGACTTGATGAACCAGTTCCTATTAAGTTCAAATAAAGGATTCGAATTTTAGGTCATACCCGTTGAAATTAGGGGTGGTAACATCGACAATACGCTCAGGATCTTCTTCGATTTTGAAGAAAGGACAGTTGTCGCACCCGGAATCCCTAAACTGTTCCAGATTAGAACGTAAGATATCGCAAAGAGAAGAAAGACGCAAACAACAGTGAGAGAGAGAGAAGCCACACCTGATCGTAGGTCTTGATGAGGCGGCATCGAAGACAAGCCCTGAGCTCGTGGCCGAAACTCGTCGGAATCTGAGCAGGACGCGCTTCTCCCATTGTGATTTGTCTCCAAAATTCCCTACACTTCCAAATTTCAAGGTTTTTAATAAGAACGATGACGTCTCCGTGATTTTTTGAGTTCCGTACGTGAACATTAATACCATAGAGATTTTGTCTGTTTCTCTAGTGTGGGCCTGCACGTGGGCCCTAATATTGTGCTTTATTTACGAGTCCTTAGGAGAAGAAAGCAAGAAAGTAGTTGAGTTATCAACGGAATGCAGGAGCTTCATGATCATTACTATTCATATTTTGGTTTCATCTTGGCGGAACAAAGCCATGGAAATAGTAGAAAGCTGCAAGATTTTTGCTCTTCTTTGTTTTTACGTGAACAATCACCATCGCTCTTCTTTGTTTTTACATAAACAATCACCAGCCATCACATCAGAGTGAATGATTTTGATTTTTGCTGTCTATCTGCATATCTAGGATCAAAAGTTGGTCTTGTAGTCGAAAGGGTAAACCTTATATGCTTATTGAGAGTTTGCTTTTAGCATTTAACTGGAGTTATTGTATGGCCTGGTAATAATTGGTTGTACAGATAATAGATATATAAAGTTTTCAAAAGAAGATGTAACGATTCAAAATTAACGATTCAAAATTAATAGCGCAGAAGAAGACAGTTTTGTCATGATGCTTTCAGGCATAAACTTGGGGTTTGTATATTCGATAATACCAAAAAGCCAAGCTTTGAAAGTTGTAACATTTTGAGTAAATCTGAGACTAAACGCCTATACCGAGCAAGGCTAACAAAACTCAAGTCAAATGATGAAATAGTTTGCAAGAAAATGCGATAAAGACGGCAAGTTTATGTTAGTTGTCAGCTGGTGCTCCATTTTCGACAGGAGGCGAAGTGCCCCACTTTCCTTCGGTTTCCGATGGCTCTAGCACATGGACTGCGCCATTACTGAGCCCTAGTGCAAACTGGTTTGTCTCCGAAGGATGAGCCGCAATCACTAGCGGATATACTCTTGAGCTGCAAAAAGCACCACACATTTTTCATCATGTCATCTCATAAGTTTGACACTTCTTGATTCATGAACGAGAAAAGAAGAAGAAAAACATTCAGTCACCTTGGGTTCGAAGGCAAGTAAGCTGTTGGGTTAATCCGACATCTCAATCTGAGATTCGAAGCAGTAAGGACATCGACACTACCATTCTCAAAGCTCACAAAGATTGACTGGCTATCACATGAATATGTAGCTGATGTGATTGGACCCGTTGCTTCCCGTCTAAACCACTGTTTCATTCATAGTAGTAATAATTCATTAATACCCAATACACAACATCAACTTCATTATTGTATATACTGTATGATTTATTACCTGCTTTAACCAGTCCATCTTTTGAGCATCATAAATGGCTATTTGCGTTTCATGGACCACCAACAGATGAATCTGATCCAGATGGAACTGCACACGGGTTTCTGAAACAGCCGGCATTGATCTTCCATTTTGAACTTGCAAATACTTACTGCTCTGCTTCTCCCAGCCATCTGTGCTCCAAATGCACAACTACACACCCAAAATGTAAGCATGTTACTACAGTTTGACTAACTTTCTCAAGTGCCACATTCAGAAGCCAAACTCACTACACAATACCCTTACCTGTGAATCAGCACCTGAAGAGACGAGAATGTTCAGCGCCTGTGAGAAAGCAAGACCTGTTATTCTGTTCTGATGACCATTCAACTTGGTTTTCACCTGGCCAGTGCATAGAAAACACGCAACTTGTCATTATATTACCCAGTTATGTTACCACCCAAATTAATCATTCATAGTTTCAATCCAAGCATATACCTCGTCAATACGAACGTTGTAGATTTGGATAGATGAATCTTCCATGCCAATGGCAATAATATTATTGTCCAAAGGATGAAACGCAAGGAATGTTGCTGCAGGCGGCGGAGGCATGAACGTCGTCATAGTCTGTATGTTAGATAATACAGCATAAGAACATGACATCCTTTTTTTAATCTATATTGCCATGCTGATAAAATAAAGAGCCGTCTCCTGAAGGCTGAATGAAAATTTAAAGGGAAGAAGATAACGTTTGTCACCTTGAATGTCATCATGTTGAACAAAGAAATTTTTCCCCCTGAAGCAGACATAACGTAGGAGTCATTCTTTGAGAGGGCAAAACAAGGAATCGCCTCTTCAGGGTTTGCATCATTTGTGTCATTCGTCATCATTATCCCACTTGTAGGTAGCCATAATACTGGCTGTGCACTAGCCGTTGCCTATAAGAAAATTAAAGAAAGGCCATAATTTGCTGAGTGATCATAACCAGAAACAACAAATACTCAACTTGAAACTAAAACAAGGAGGCAAAACAGACCTTTCCAGCCAAATTGTGATCGCTTTTCTGCCATTTCCACAACTTGTGCACTGCATTAGATGCCAATGCCAATACTCCAGATCCAGAATTTGTGTATATTAATCTGGAAACCTGAAACTCGCACCACATAAAACATAAGTCAGCAGGCTACATAACAAATACCTTCAGTTAATGCAAGATATATCTAAGTCAAGTAACAATATTCTATAAACGTTGACCATTTCGTTATGAGAAGATAGCATCTAGCTTGCAGGTCGAAGCATGCTTTACCTTTGTCACTGCCACATTGTCGGCAAGCCTCAAGGAGCAGCACTGAGATGGCTCTGTAATCTCTGTAACTTTCCAGGTTCTAGCTCTTTCCCCTAAATCATCAGCGACTCTGGGCTTCACATCAGCCAGAGTTCGCACATCATTGATCTGAATATGTAAAACTGTTTAGTTCATTACACAAAATAATCACCAGACTTCAAGAATACAGATCCAAATTCAGACTTAAACTCACCTCCATAGCTGTAAAAGAGGTAGATCGATCTGCCATAGTTATTCCTGCATTGGCACTTGAAGTACCAAAATTACCAGCTGCTGCAGGAACCTGCACACCAGATTGTGTTAACAAATAGCGTACAATGTCCACAGAGATAGTATTCAGGAAAATATACCTTCATGACGGGTGCAGGGGTAAACGAGCGATTTTCTGCCGTTCTCAGCAACCTAATTCCATCATCATTCGCGAGGATTCTAACACCATGGTCACTGGTTGAGACAGCTAAAAGCATTCCTTCCCTATTAAATCTAACACAAGGAGAAGCCTGCAGGTTTTGCACGAGTAATTAGTTGCTAGTTAGGAAGTAGTATAATAGCTAGAGGCCACGGTCATTCAGTAGTATTACCAGTAAGCCACCATCTGCATGAATAGTTGTCAAAGGGTTTGTGTTGTCCATGTCCCAAATTTTGATAGTCGACTCATCACCAGCAGCTAAGAATCTGTTCTTGGTTGTGTCAAATTGCACAATCCCTACAGCCCGTTTTCCAAGGCCGTGATATGATCTTTTTATGGATCCTTCACTTTCATTCCACTCGACTAAAAATGACTCGCCTTCTTTGTTTGTACCACATGAAAACAACCTGTTGCACGTTATTACAGATTAGTTATTTAAATTTCGAAGGAAAAGACAACAGTCAACGCTTTAAGAATTGCTGACAAAATTTGAAAAAGTTGGATGAACCTTTTTCCATCACTGCTGTATGCCATTCTTGTCGAAGAATGGCCAGGTGCATCATAGTCAACTCTTGAACCCACGTTATCATACAACCAGGCTTTGATTTTTCCATCAGTTGCTGTTGAAAAGACAAACTGAAAAGGACCCAGAATGCATTAGAGAAAGTTAATCTCCCACGTGGAATATCATCCGGTTAAGACAGAAAGAAACATTATAGGATAGTAAAATGTATACACACTACATTCAGTCAGCCGACAATTCTATGCAAGGGTATTTGATGTCATACAGACAAATGAATCCCAGCAACCATATGAGACTTATTGTTAGCTACAACAAGAACAAAAAAAAGAAACAATACTTGTTACCTGAATATTTTCCTTGTAGTGAGGACAAACAGAGAATACCGGAGCTTCATGACCCTCAAAAGTGAACCGTTTAGCCCCAGTAACAGCGTCCCAAACCTTTGGATTATTTTGGTTCATGTATGTCATTCCCAACCATTAAAGTGCCAATAGAACATAGATAGTAGTCAGAAAGACAAACCTTAATGACTCTGTCATCGCCACAAGTAACAACAGATAGTTGTTTGTTAGGATATGAAAAGGCAAGATGGCTAACACTTCCTGTATGAGCTTCAATCTGCAATCAGCGGAAAGAGTAAACCATATTGTTGAACATACGGAAAGCTAGTATCAAACTACCGTGACTGATATGAATGTAAGGAATAATTGTTACAACGAACCTCCAGGTGATTCCGTATGTCATTGCCCCCATGAAAGGAATAGATATGCACAATGCTTTTAGAGTATGCCACGCCTGAAATATGAAAACAATATGCAGGTTTTCATGTTTTAAAAATGCTTCTATTCTGTGAATAACCTTAACAATTTAATCACAAAAAATTCCAACTGGTCTTAAAGATAATAAAATTCTGGAGAACAGTTGGCACGTACCAAATAAAGCTCCATCAGGACTCCATGCCACATGATTTACAGATGCCGTCTCATCAGAGTTCAAAGATGCCTATTCACCAATTTGAAAAGAATTAAAGCACTTCTTCCAAGACAGTATGGGAAAATATCCAAAGGGTTAGAGGTAAACCTGCAATTCTTTTGAACATGCATCAAGTTTCCAGACATCAAAACCCTTCTCCACAATCCTTTGACGAGCACCCAAGTCCCACAGGAAAACGTCACCACCAATAGTACCAACTGACAACATATACTCTCAGTACCCATACTTGATAAAAAAAATGAAAATGCAAGAAATGACAATACAGAATCTGCATGTTAGAGAGTATGGCTTCATAGGACATACCCAGTAGTAAGATTTGCTGAATTGGATGGAAGTCCATGCTCATGGCAGGTGAACCTTGAGCAAGAGTTGTAACAACTACCTTGGGCAAGTCATCAGGTGATACTCCATTATGTCCATGGGGATGGCCAGAATATGAAACTGGCAAAATGTTTACTGGAATATTACTCGCCTGAAAATTTCATTACAAAAA